GCACACGTTTGGATTTCAATCATTAAAATTGTCTTGAAGTGACGCACTTCATTTTTCTCTGCTTTTTTGTCAATTTTCGAGATGTAAAAACTTCGCAAATGATAGCAAATACATATTATTAGTTATTACCTACTAAGAAAACAAATTCAACAGTGGTGAACTATATTGAGGTGTAATTGATCGTTAAGGAAAATGCTCGGGAAAATGTCAGAATTTTTGAGTTTGTTGATTTCTACCCAGCGAGCACAAACATCCCTGGAATGTTTTGAGATGTTTCGAAAATGTTGGCATGAAAATGTTATTTTGAGACGTAATATGCACTGACCAAAGAGGTCTTTGAAGGATATTGAAGTATTGTTTTTGTTCTTCTGTGGCATTTCTTTGTCTGCCTACTGAGAGGTATCCCTGGGATGTTTTGGGATGTTTCAGAAATGTAGGCATGATGAAGTTTTTTTGAGGCGTAACATGCACTTCCCAAAGAGGTTTTAGAAGGAAATTGAAAGTATTGTTTTTGTTCTTTTGTGTCCTTTCTTTGTTTGCCCCACCACAATGTCTCATGCTTACGTCACAATACGATGAATTCTGATTTATTTTCGATTTTGTTCTTCTTGTTCGCAATTGGCATTCGCGTTTGCAGCGTGTCACGCTTACATCACGGTTACATCACGCTTACATCACGCTTACATCACGCTGCTAACGAACAGAAAGGAATTTGGTGAAGTTTATTGTGTTAGAAGACTTGTTCAGTTTGTAATAATGACCATCAGATGCAAGATGTGTTGTTCGGTGACTCACTGTAATCAATATATAAAAGTACGAATTCATCAATACACAGCTTCTCCGAAGTTGCAAACTTATGCATTGTGGAGAACATTCCAAAAATTGGGAAACCTATTTCCAATTATATGTCTGTGAGTCTGTGTGTAGTAAGCACTTAAGCACTACTCAGAAACCGATTAAGAAGGTAATTTCATATCGAGAAAATATTTTTATGTTCAATCTATTTTTAATGCATTTTTTCATTCAAGGGAAATGGAATCCTAATGCAAAAGTTCATTTTGACAAAAGGCTTCAGAAAAGTACCTCGAAAATGTTTTTTTTACAGCGATTTAATGTGCGCAAAACGCGTTGAAAATGGTCTGTTGTGTCCATGAAAAGGCTTTAAAAAGAACTAGGGAGAAGGTAGTTTTGTGACATATCAAGGACATCTCGATAATTGCCGCCTGCGGCGGACATTGGCTGTTCTATAATAGTTCTATTCATGTGTGAACAGAACATCGCAGTGGAGGTTCAATGTCTCGAAATCTCGTACTTTTAACATCTCTGAGATGTTTTTGTGCTCGCTGGGTAATGATTGAAAATGATTTCTTAGTAGCTAGGTAATGATATGTATTTGCTGTAAACCCTTTCAAGTTAATCCGGTACCACGTATTTTAATGTAGATTTTGTACCTAATTTCCGAAAATGAAGGTTTATATCGAACCTTTCCACAGGTACCTAATCCTTCAGGTTGGGAAAGTAATATAAATAAATGTTAAGCAAGCCAAGGTTAGTTTAGTTCAGTGTACCAGTATATCACCTGACGAAGCTACTGATGTGTTAGCGAAAATGTCGTGTGTTTGAGAATTTTGTGGAAATCTGATCGTTTGTGAAGTTTATAGATTTGCCATGGATTTCCATCAAGTAACGTCCAAGTCAATCTAAAATTTTCAAGATGACATTTCTCGTTTATTAGAAAAATTATAGAGGAAATCTGATATTTTGAAAACTTTCGTTAGATCATAGACGAATGGTTAGATTGTATCATTTTGCTGGACTGAATTTATGTATCTACTCATTTCAAAAACACCTCGTAGGTATACATCTACCATTAATTTCACTCCTACAGTTCTACTATTGTTTTATTGATCTTGCCCATTCAGGGGCATAACTAACCATAAATATGTTTCTAATTTGGTATACACATTCTTCGTCTACTTCAATACATCAATTTTTCTTGTTTAAATATGTGAGTACAATATAAGTGTTAAAAGCGTGAAATATATAGGCGATGTATGTCGACCAATTCGATTCAATGTTACAGAAAAAACTCAAGTGAGACACTCTGTAAATAGGAATAGGTACCTGTCAAAGTAGGGATCGATTTCAAGTACCTATTCCCCCATTTCAACCCACTTCACCATTGAGGTTATACATATCAATATCGATTTCCCCACTGTCAGCAAAACAGATTATATAACGGACTAATTCAATTGTAATCATATATTGAACTATGTAGGTATCCCTTGTCAAGGTGAATCTTTTATTTGTGCTCCAACTACCGGAAAAATATAATTTGTGCGGCTTTACTCACATGTAACGATCGCAAATCCTATGATTCCGAGCACATAAATCGCCTTGCCACTGACAAACATCGTCGATTGTTTTTCCTCCGAATCATATACGAAATTATGGAGAATGATCCACGGATAAACTGGCCGGAGCGATTTCGAAAAGAGCGCTGCGGATGCGTGTCTATCTGTCCGACATTTCCCACCGATCTGATGTCGATGATGTCATCGCGCCCCTCCCCCATTTTGCCGTCGCGACGTCATCAAACGCCGGATCGATTCGCGCCCTTCGTGCCAGTTCCGGGGTGGAAAAAGAACGAGCCTCTAGCTATACCAATTTGAGCAGTGGATCTCTGGATTCCCGTGACATAAGAACTTTCTTCTTGGAAATATATGTTTTTCGGGAAATAAAAAAAAGTTGACCCCTCACGGGGAATGAACACGAGCCGCAGGCGTTTTAGTCGCATACATACATACCATTCGTCGTACTTATCATTAACTATAAAGAAAGAAGTCGAAATATCGCGTGTTTTGAGTGACGTCATGTACACGCGAGAATTCAGAGAGCCACCGATGAAAGTTGTGTAGTTAGACGCTTGTGGAAAAAGTAGTGAAAGTAAGTTGGTAGTATATGCAGCAGTAGGTTACGAAGGCATAGAAGTGCGCCACCCTCGCATATACGTCGGTGGCTGAATTGAAATTTGTTGCAGCTGTAGCACTTCTGAGTCAATAATTTAGTCGCCGATAATGTGTATTACGGCCGGCTGGACAACTCGACGCCGAAAAAGTACATGAATGGATGAACTGCTGCAGGAGAGGTCTGTGTTACAATTGCTAAGCATATATAGATGGTCGGTGTTATCTGGGGGCAGTCAATCTACTATTACTTTCCTGCCTAGTAAAACAAATAACTATTTCCTTCGGCATAGAAAGTGGCTTTTCTCTGATACTTCAACAGGCAGGAAAGGTGTTCTTTCTCTGCCTAGGCAGGAAAAGTTTGTTGCCATGCAACGTTTCAATAAACAAATTTGAATGAAATTGGTAATCAAAATTGACACTCTGACATTGGGTGAACACAAATGATGGAGTAATCAAATAAAAAATTACACAAAATCAGTTTTATATAACATTTGGAGAAAATATATATATATGCCGTGTGAAGGCAGCAAATGTATATGTAGATTGACTGCCTTGGCTGAATTCCCAGCAGACAATCTACTACTTTGCTGACTAGTAAAACAAATAACTATTTTCACTGAAACATCAGGCCTATAATGAAGGCTAACATTTTCAGTCTCACCAGTTTGAGGTCAATGTCAAAGTCAAAAATTCTAAAATTTTGCCGGATAACCCTAAAGGCTGTGGCCTTTTTACCGGAAATATTCGAAAAAAAATGGGTGTGTTTAATCTATGAGTTATCGAAAGACTTGAGCAGACTTTCGATTTGTTTCCCAATGTGGAACTTTAGGAAGGATTCTTAGATTAATGGAGAAGAAGATATCGTATGACGAGCCCAAATGACACAAGGGTCTAGCTATTAGGAGTGATGGAAATATTATGTAGATGGTGCGCGTACTATAGGCCATCTTTACGTAAAACTTAAGAAAAATCACTCGACCGCCTACTATGATTTCTCTACGTCTCATTGAGCTAGACGTTGATTCTACATTTTTCCGCTGGATGCATGGTAATGCTGCTATATTCCTGCTGTGACGAGTGGAAATAAAATGACAAATGGTATTTTAGGTACGGAATACATGTAATTTTGGGTCTATTTAACTCTGAATTCGAAAAATCTGCGGCACTTTGAAAATTGACAGAAATCTCAATTACAATTGTGCAATATCGCCATCTATTCAAAATCCGCTGGAAACATTCTTCTCGGGGCTCTTGGGAGGTCGAGAAGAATTTCTGAAACAAAAACGCATCAGTGAGTACACCATATGCACCATATCTATACCTCATCATCTACTTATTTCCACAGCGAATATTATAGAAACCTCAAGGTTATCAGAAGGTTATTATGAAGAAGGAAAATATTTGTTCTCTGCATGAAAAAGGAAAGTACTTTCAACCCTATAACCTAAATGAACCTTTTTCCTGAAAAGTATATTTTTTGAAAAATAACTTGTGAAAAAATGTTGACGCCTCGCAGGGATTGAACCCCAGTGGTGGAAGTAGATAACTACACAGACCATTCGCGATAGAAAATAAGCTTACGCCACCTATCGGAGTTCTTGAAAGCTGTCAAAGCGGCCTGTTTACTTTGTTTTCATTGGTTCACATTTGTTTTTGTTTGCGCTTATTGGTCATAGCATCATTTACATCCAAACAAACGGCTCAGCAGTGTTCCAGTTGTTGCCGTCAGATGGAGCGACGTGTTATTTTCTATCGCGGGTAGTCGTAGTTTCTCAATGTAAATATATTAAAATATAAATTAATGACATCCAACTTTCTAGTAGTAGCAGTAACTGCTGACAAAACAGTACAAAATGTCCTGAAAATGTCCATAAAATGTTTTACCCATTTATCCATAAGGTCGATAGAAGCCACATTTAGAAGATACTGTTGCGAGTCACTCGTACCAGCAAGTGCCTATAATGCTGATATTATTTAGGTTGGCATTCCGGCCATTCCGTCAAAAGAACCTAAAGGAAGACGGAAGACGAAGAACAGAACCATTTTTAGTAGTTTAGTTTTCATTGTTCTATTTTCTTATTTTGCAGGTAATGATTTGAATTGAAGATTCGAAGGTCCAATAACTAGTGATTCATATCTCTAATTTACCAAACACTGGTACTCAATAGTAAAATGTACTATGGATTTAATATCTTCATTCAGTAACCTTTCTGTGGACAACAGGCAATCAAAAGTAACCAGTTTTGCAGCTATAATTTGTGGAACTCATACAGAGTTCTTGCTTACTCATTTTCCCAACTCAAGACATCTACTAATAACACAGTTTGGAAAAATTGGAAACCTGTATCAAGTGAGAATTGACCAACCTGAAAACGGATTGAGTATCACAAACCCAGTGTACACTATTTCATCATTGATTGGGGCAGAAAATATTGAAGCAGAAGTAGCTGCAAGATATCTTACTGAAAAGCTAAAAATACAAAAATCTCTGTTGTTGTGCCTGAGCTTGAAGGATTATAGTAGAAACTCACTGAATGCCATCATCCAAGCTATTCAAGAATATCATACAAATATTTAGAATTGCTCACAATCATAACATTCATAATGGCATTAATTAAAAGGGCTAAGAAAGCTGAGAGCTTTTTTGGCCAAGTAGTTATAGGTCCACCAGCATCAGGTAAAACAACATATTGTGGGAGAGTTCATGCATTTTACAAAGAAAAACTCAACAGAAAAGTTGAAGTTGTCAATCTGGACCCAGCAAATGAGAATATGAATTACAATCCCATGATTGACATAATGCATCTCATAACTGTTGAAGATGTTATGAAAAACTTGAACCTAGGCCCTAATGGAGCACTCATGTACTGTATGGAATACTTGGAAGAAAATTTTGACTGGCTGTTGAATCAGCTAATCACAATCAAAGACAGTTACTTGATTTTTGATATGCCTGGGCAAGTTGAACTGTATACCCATCATAACTCCATAAAAAATGTTTTTGAAAAATTGGAAAAGTTGAACTATCATTTGTGTGCAGTTCATTTAGTTGATTCACATTATTGTTCTGATCCTTCAAAATTCATTTCCACTCTGTTGCTTTCCTTATCTACAATGATGCAAATTGCCTTACCACATGTGAATGTCTTAAGCAAGGTAAGATTGGCTCCAAGTTGGTTCATGCAATAATTATCCATTGCCATAAATCATTACTCTCATCCCTTTTGCCTTTATCAATGATATCAAAAACCTATGATGTACACTTTAATGGTACTACTAAATCTGGGATCCAATGTTTAATTTTATTTAGGCAGACCTGTTGAGAAAGAATGCCTCCAAACTGGATTTTGGTTTGGACTTCTATACAGATGTTCTAGATCTTGATTACCTCTTAGGTCTCCTAGATGATGGACCTTTCACAAAAAAATTCAAGAAATTAAATGCTGCATTGGTTGGTCTTATACAAGACTACAGCCTTGTTGGGTTTGTTCTACTGGATGTCAGATCAGAGAAAAGTTTATTGGAATTAAAAAGTGCTATTGATAAGGTTTGGAGTAGATTACCTATTTGTGGATGGAAATATTGATTTTGACAATTTTAGGCAAATGGATACATCTATGGCAGTGGTGAAGAAAGAAATATACAAGCACTACTTTCATGTGCTGTAGGTGCTAGAACAGAATCAGAAAGATTTGATTCTGATTATTTGTAGTATGTAATAACTTATTCTCTATGATATTTGGAATAAATTGGTATCCCAAAAAGTCCTTAGTTTTTAATTCCAAATTATTGTTTCATCATCCTATAGCTCAGTAATTGGAAATGAATATAAACACTTTGAAGTGATTCCTTCAATATAAATAAAATAACATTTAAAAGAATCAAGAAATTATTTATTTACTTGTAATGAATATCAATACAATGATAAATTTTGATAAAGGATAATTGAGAATTCATTTTGCTGGAGGTTTGGCCTTCTGTTTCTCCAACTGTGCCCTGAAAATCCATGAGATAGTTTAAGGAAGGAGATGATTGTGTGTCACAAAGACCCATTTTTTCATAATTGATAACTTCCCATTCTAATTTCTATATAGGATTGAATCAACTTATACTTGGAAATACATATTATTTCTATAAGTCCAATAATATACTGAAAATTTGATGTACCACATCTACTTAACCTCAATCTCCAAATATTTACCTAAGCTGTTTATTGAAATCATCCTCAACATTATCATCTTCCCAATTATCCTCCCAGACACTGATATCTTGTTCATCCTTTTCCTTTCCAGTCCAGTCTAGAAAAGCAAAAAAATGTTTGTCATGTTTGCCTTTGAACAGGCAGAACATTACAATCCTACCTTCTACAGGAAATTCTTCAAATTCATCATCTTCCTCCAAAACTCCTAAATCTAATTTCGGTTTTTCACTCATTTTGAGACTTTCGTGTCGGCAACAAAGGCAACAAGAATGAAAAATAGAAAATCACAATTCTCTATCACGATTCACAAATCTTTTAATTTTGGTAATCGAGATTGAGACGGCAATCAGTCAACGACCAACGTCAACAGTCAACACGTCTACACTAGTCAACAGTGCGGGTTATACCCGTCAGACAGTCCAGATATTTAGCCGTCATTGGTGCAGTGTTGTTCCTGGCTCTAAATTTTTCGTACCAGATTTCGTTTGCAACAAGTAACAGACTTCAATCTCCATGTAAATCAATGTAAATACATTGAGTTCATTGTTTCAATCAAAAAGTCATTGTTTCTATCAGAAAGCTCACGAAGCAGAACATAATCGTCAGATTTATGACAAAACAGAGAGGACGAAACGAAAAAAGCGTAACATCCTCCATGAAATAGTAATAGATTTATTAGTAATGACAAGAACAACACTGTTGACAAACGTCTCTCGCCAGTCATTCTTGCCGATTTTTGAAGACAAATGACTATCCATAAGGAAAAGTTTTGAAACGATCAGACGCATACTGCTTTGATTGAAAGGCTAGTAAACGTCATTGTCCACCGAAACGCATGTCTTTGATGACTACTATAATAGCGCATGGCGCATGCGTATCATGCCACCAAATCCTTATGGATATTCGTTTCATATTTTTGGCTTCATCCTGGCACCCGTTATGATCCGTATTGTTTCATATAATATGATATCACAATGACTCCATTGTGTTGTTTCAAAAAAACTCTTCGCCCATGACTTTTAGTAAAGAGTTGTTCGACACATCTCAAGTTGAAGACAAATTAATGTAATTAATGCTCGAATTATTCATATAACAATAGATACCCAGCCAACACATCTGTGACATGACATCTCTGAGATGGCGCCTTTAGGTAACAGTGCGATATATCACAAACGTTCTATCGCTGCGATGTTCATGAGCAAACACATTGGTGACATGTCATCTTTGAGATGTCGCCTTTAGGTAACAATATGATATAATATATCACAAATACAAATGTTCTATCGTTTTGAAATATTCCTGTGATGTGAATCTATTTTGATCTTTTTACCTTATTTCATAAAAAAAACAAGTGAATTTCTTCTTCTTATTGAAATTGCATTAGAGCCAAAAACATACTTCAGTAAAAAGTTAAAGTGTGCCTATATATCAGAACAGTGAATTGACAAATATAAAGTACAGTGGAGAATAATTCGAGATTGTACAGGAAGAGTTAAACTGTCACAACAGGAGACTTTGTTTGAATTTAAAAAAGAATATTATATGGAATATTTCAGGCACAGTTATTTTTAGTAATAATTGTACAACACTGAAATTAAATTATGAATTGTTTTCCAAAATTTAGGCAAGAATGATATTAATGCTCATGCAGATATGATGACTATATTTTCATAAGAATAAAAATTATCTTTTGAATATAAAATACTCTCTTCAGTTCAAAGTGTATTTATATGTTTTTCAAAGATTGTTTTTACATAGATCCATGGAACTATAATGAGAAAAACATCACAACTGGTGGACAAAATATAATATAATATACACCTTGGTAGTAAAGAATATTATTACCAGGGATCCTTGGAATATAATCTTGGTGTCCTGGGTACTGGATAAAAATTATTTTCTTCACTAGGCATGGATCATAATTAAATATTATTCAACAGAATGATGAATTTATGCCTGTGCAGTTAATGTCAACAATTAATATCATGATTTGATGGGTAACTGTTACTTCTTATGGCAGGTATATTTATTAGTTCATCTTTAAAAATTGATGCAAACTATAATAATATTTTACTTCTTCAATTATTTGTTTCATAAAAGCAATCTTAGGTACTTATAATAACTTATCAGTATTGCATGACTAGCATTAGTATGTACAATTCAAGTTGTTCATTAAACTGTTTGGGTCCTCTCCAATTTCAAATTGGCCCTAACCCTTATCATCTTCCATGGAATTTTCAGAATCCCTATCAAGTAATTCTCATCCAGTTGTCCAAACAAAGGGTTCCAACCTATCATTGATATCCAAATAGTTGTTCAAAGTTTCCATAGATTCCAGGGTTTGATTCAGTAGCATATGGCAGCGATTCAACTGATGAGAGAGCTCTATGACCTTTGATAATTTTTCAGCATACTTGGCAAACTTGCGTTGTTTGTCTGTAGCAACCAACACCATCTTGGATGTTTCTGCATCCACCTATAATCAAGGATCATTCAACTACAAACAGTTCAATTTATCTTGTCTCTAACCTCTCTGATCTTGTGAGAGAGCTGATTTTGTTCCTTAGCAACCAAATTAGCTGCTGCAGTAAGATGTCTTTGATATTTCAAGCAGAGATTTTTGAATGGGCTGGGGTCTAGTCTCTCTAGAACTTCAGGATCCCTTGCAGCTGGAAGATTCAGAGTGGCTCTCATAATCGGCAAAAACATTGGAATACTTTGGAGACGAATAATTTCTGGGTCTCTCTCAGTACCTGTGAAGAAGTCTGGAATATTCATCTTGTTTTTGCCATTGAATTTTTCTATTTACCTGGTGTATTTGGATTAGCTCCTCTGACAACAACAATGTTATGAGCTGTATTAGATTTAATTTTTGACTGCTTTGATTGTGGTTTAGGAGTGCTGGATTTATTTTTCAAAATTTGCTTGTTAGTTAATTTAGGTGAGTCTGAAAAATACTCATGTAAATAAATACCTAATCAACTACCTATTATTTCACATTACTCACCACCAATTGGTCTATTAACAGTATAACTTATATAGGGTAAGTCTACATCACTGCATACACTTGGGCCAGGAGAAATGGAACCAGGTCTACCATTATCACAATTTTCTCCAAATTCGGAACTGCCGCCACCGGCTCCGGGATTTGCTATTGTATGTTGTCGTCTGAAATTGAGGGGCTTATGCCCTTCTTTATTGAGGCTGCTCTGTCTTGGGGTCGATTGTGCACCAGACTGGCTTGAATGTTCTGAACCCATAATTAATTCTATCAAGCAAATTGGTATATATCCAGAAATTCCTTGCTCATACGTATCGATAATGATACATCATTTCAAATCTGAAAGATGACTGCTGGAGAGCTGGAAGAAAACGTAGAAAAACAAACCAACTTTCATCACCTCATAGTCATAGTGCCTCATATCATCTAAAAAATATCTTTCATCTTTGATTGAACAGGATTGAACTCTGGCACTTCTGGCATCTGGCAGTTCTGGCACAGAACACAAAATAAGACAAACGTATCATGAGATCATAGAACTAATACTAGTTTCATGCATGAATTGATATGTGAAGGAAGTGCCTCGATTGCCGTAAATTGCCGTCAAATGTGTTCCGCGCTGTCACTGAATTTAAAAATAAACCCAGTTGAAGTGATATACCCATCGACGCACCGCACACCCATACCACCCATACAGTGAGTCGATAAAGGTCGTTTTTTCATGATAGAATGCTCGAAGAAGAATAGAACGATGAAATGAATTTGAGGAGTGAGAATTTTGAAGGTAATGGCAACTTATCTCAGAAATCTTCATATTTCATTAGCATTATCTGGTATGGCATTACAAATGTAGAGGTATGAAGTGAAGTGTCCTACAAGGGAATAAGGAGTTTTTGCAAATACTGGTTCTGAGATTCTGAGACTTCTGGGACATCTGCGATGGTTTGCATTGTTCCTGGAATATCCTAAAAAAAAAACATGAATTAGTATTATGATTTTCTAATTGCGCCATATGAATATAATATACAGATGTGGAAGAAAACATGAGTCCACCCTTCTCAGGACACTGCTTCATTGAAACAACGACTGTTGCTTTCCTGTAGGGCATGAATAATTTGGAAAAGAACTGGTATAAAACCACTGTTTATACCTAACTCTTGAAGGCGACACCCTCCTTTGTAGAGAGGCATTACGAACGCCAAAGTTGATACACTCCCCTCGTGAGGGTACCTGACGTGATTCCATACACTCACATTAATGAATGTCGACTAATTATTCGACTGAAGAAATGAATAATTTAGTGAATCGATAAAAGTCGTTTTTTCATGAAAGAATGTTCGAAGAAGAATAGAACTACGAAATGAATATGAGGAGTGACAATTTTGAAGGTAATGGCAACTTATCTCAAAAATCTCCATATTTCATTGGTCTATCTGGTATGGCATTACAAATGTAGAGTTCTGAAGTTAAGTGTCCTACAAGCGATTAAGGAGTTCTTGCAAATACAGGTTCTGAGATTCTGATACATCTGCGATGGTTTGCATTGTTCCTGGAATATCCTAAAAAAAACATGAATTAGTATTATGATTTTCTAATTGCGCCATATGAATATAATATACAGATGTGGAAGAAAACATGAGTCCACCCTTCTCAGGACACTGCTTCATTGAAACAACGACTGTTGCTTTCCTGTAGGGTATGAATAATTTGGAAAAGAACTGGTATAAAACCACTGTTTATACCTAACTCTTGAAGGCGACACCCTCCTTTGTAGAGAGGCACTACGAACGCCGAAGTTGATACACTCCCCTCGTGAGGGTACCTGACGTGATTCCATACACTCACATTAATGTATGTCGACTAATTATTCGACTGAAGAAATAAATAATTTAGTGAATCGATAAAAGTCGTTTTTTCATGAAAGAATGTTCGAAGAAGAATATAGAATTACGAAATGAATTTGAGGAGTGACAATTTTGAAGGTGATGGCAACTTATCTCAAAAATCTCCATATTTCATTGGTCTATCTGGTATGGCATTACAAATGTAGTTCTGAAGTTAAGTGTCCTACAAGCGATTAAGGAGTTCTTGCAAATACAGGTTCTGAGATTCTGATACATCTGCGATGGTTTGCATTGTTCCTGGAATATCCTAAAAAAACATGAATTAGAATTATGATTTTCTGATTGCACCATGGAAATATAATATACAGATGTGGAAGAAACATGAGTCCACCCTTCTAAGGACACTGCTTCATTGAAACAACGGCTGTTGCTTTCCTGTAGGGTATGAATAATTTGGAAAAGAACTGGTATAAAACCACTGTTTATACCTAACTCTTGAAGGCGACACCCTCCTTTGTAGAGAGGCATTACGAACGCCAAAGTTGATACACTCCCCTCGTGAGGGTACCTGACGTGATTCCATACACTCACATTAATGAATGTCGACTAATTATTCGACTGAAGAAATGAATAATTTAGTGAATCGATAAAAGTCGTTTTTTCATGAAAGAATGTTCGAAGAAGAATAGAACTACGAAATGAATTTGAGGAGTGACAATTTTGAAGGTAATGGCAACTTATCTCAAAAATCTCCATATTTCATTGGTCTATCTGGTATGGCATTACAAATGTAGAGTTCTGAAGTTAAGTGTCCTACAAGCGATTAAGGAGTTCTTGCAAATACAGAGGTTCTGAGATTCTGATACATCTGCGATGGTTTGCATTGTTCCTGGAATATCCTAAAAAAAATCATGGATTAGTAATTATGATTTTCTAATTGCGCCATATGAATATAATATACAGATGTGGAAGAAAACATGAGTCCACCCTTCTCAGGACACTGCTTCATTGAAACAACGACTGTTGCTTTCCTGTAGGGCATGAATAATTTGGAAAAGAACTGGTATAAAACCACTGTTTATACCTAACTCTTGAAGGCGACACCCTCCTTTGTAGAGAGGCATTACGAACGCCAAAGTTGATACACTCCCCTCGTGAGGGTACCTGACGTGATTCCATACACTCACATTAATGAATGTCGACTAATTATTCGACTGAAGAAATGAATAATTTAGTGAATCGATGAAAGTCGTTTTTCATGAAAGAATGTTCGAAGAAGAATAGAATTACGAAATGAATTTGAGGAGTGACAATTTTGAAGGTATTGGCAGCTTATCTCAAAAATCTCCATATTTCATCAGCCTATCTGGTATGGCATTACAAATGTAGAGTTCTGAAGTGAAGTGTCCTACAAGCGATTAAGGAGTTCTTGCAAATACAGGTTCTGAGATTCTGATACATCTGCGATGGTTTGCATTGTTCCTGGAATATCCTAAAAAAAAAACATGAATTAGAATTATGATTTTCTAATTGCACCATGGAAATATAATATACAGATGTGGAAGAAAACATGAGTCCACCCTTCTAAGGACACTGCTTCATTGAAACAACGGCTGTTGCTTTCCTGTAGGGTATGAATAATTTGGAAAAGAACTGGTATAAAACCACTGTTTATACCTAACTCTTGAAGGCGACACCCTCCTTTGTAGAGAGGCATTACGAACGCCAAAGTTGATACACTCCCCTCGTGAGGGTACCTGACGTGATTCCATACACTCACATTAATGAATGTCGACTAATTATTCGACTGAAGAAATGAATAAGTTAGTGAATCGATAAAAGTCGTTTTTTCATGAAAGAATGTTCGAAGAAGAAATAAACTACTAAATGAATTTGAGGAGTGACAAGAAGGTAATGGCAACTTATCTCAAAAATCTCCATATTTCATTGGTCTATCTGGTATGGCATTACAAATGTAGAGTTCTAAAGTGAAGTGTCCTACAAGCGATTAAGGAGTTCTTGCAAATACAGGTTCTGAGATTCTGATACATCTGCGATGGTTCGCATTGTTCCTGGAATATCCTAAAAAAAACATGAATTAGTATTATGATTTTCTAATTGCGCCATATGAATATAATATACAGATGTGGAAGAAAACATGAGTCCACCCTTCTAAGGACACTGCTTCATTGAAACAACGACTGTTGCTTTCCTGTAGGGTATGAATAATGCGGAAAAAGAACTGGTACGAAACGACTGTTTATACCAAAGTCTTGGAGGCGACACCCTCCTTTGTAGACAGGCATTACGAACGTCAAAGTTGACTAATTATCCGACTGAAGAAATGAATAATTTAGTGAATCGATAAAAGTCGTTTTTTCATGAAAGAATGTTCGAAGAAGAATATAGAACCTAGAACTACTGAATGAATTGGAAGAGTGACAATTCTGAAGGTAATGGCAACTTTTCTCTCAGAAATCTCAATATTCCATTAGCCTATCTGGCATGGCATTACAAATGTAGAGTTATGAAGTGAAGTGTCCTACAAATCACGATAATTATTATTGCAGTCTGCACTATCTCACACAACACCCGGTATCGAAAACAAAAAAGTATATTCAATTCAAGAATACAGGGTCGTTTTTTCATTTGGCATTTAAAAACGGCGCATTTATTAAGATTGAACTAAACCGGGTGTATACAGTGTGACCACGAAATCATTGGCCAGGACGTCATTCAGTTGGTGTTGGTGTTATAGACATTTGACATTTGAATCGGAGATATATATATCTATAGTTCCTCAAAACCCATATTTTCCTCAATAAAACAATTGAAATTTATTTCCCGTTTTACCGGAAATAGACCCAGGTCGAGAATTCATTTCTCCTCTATGACATATCTCATAAGTGGACATTAGTTTTTGAAATGGCGGCGCAAGAAAACATTTTTCAAAATCAATATGACAACTCTGTGTCGCCATTGATCATTTTAATGGAAAACGCACGGCACTGTCTGAAATGAGAATGACTTGCAAAGAAATTTATGAAAATATCTCGGAAAATGTGCATATTTATATTTGAAATTACGCTCTCTTCATGTAAAATATTTTCGACAATGCAGTATTCCCGCTTCTATCTAAAAGTAGCAACAACTTTGTTATTTCACATTTCAGACTCTCCATGAAGAACTGATTTCATCGATATATCACACTTGGGGTATAGCTCGGGGTCTAGCCTCGGGTCTAGCGGTAATGATTTCAGAGATATATAGGGTGCTCAAAATCGAGAATTTCCAAATATACGATTTTTTTGTAGCTATCTACTGACATTCCATTGGAACAGATCCAGAATCCTGAGTCTTGAACCACCCTGTATCTGTTCCAATTGAACGTCGGTATAGATAGTAAATCAGAAATGAGGATAAGAACATAAAAGCCGTTTCGACCAAAAATGGATAGTTTCTACACGAAAATATCCTAATGTTGAAAAATCCCGATTTTGAACACCCTATATATTTCTGTAATCATTCCCGCTAGACCCCAATAAGTGTGATGCACCGATGAAATCAGCTCTCCAGGGAGGATATAAAATGCAATATAATACAGGAAATTCAATTTGAAATTATAAAGTTGTTGCTACTTTTCGATAGAAGCGGCAACACTGCATTGTCGAAAATATGTTGAACGAAGAGAGTGTCGTCATCTCAAATATAAACACGCACAGTTTCATGAATTTCTTATGACCGACTCTCGATATAAAGATAGTGTATAATGCTTGTCGTGACATACCCCGTATACTACAAAAACCATGGAGAAAGGTTTTCTACAAAATCTTGGTACTTACTTATGGTATATACTATTTCAGAACCAACTAATAGTCGCAGCATCATCCTCCTAAAAATCCAAAATTCTGCCGAATATTCTACACAGAAATCATTCGATTGATTCACGTTTCACTTAACTTCACTTTTGAACAAACTCCACTTTTTCTAACCACATCATGAAATACATACAAAAAAAACTCAGTTGTATTATATTATACACACAATAAAACTGATACAAAACCCGGTATATTAAAAGGAAAAGTAAATTCCGAGGTAAATTCACTGTCAAATCACAATAATTATCACTGCAGTCTGCATCGAAAACCGTTTGCAAACTGTTTCATATTTCTTTATCATCCCGAATAAATTTCTTGGTGAGTAATGCCATACGTTATTCATTACACAATCTATCAGTAGTATGAGGAAGCAAATAAGAATACAGGGTCGATTTTTCATTTGGCATTTAAAAACGGCGCATTTATTAAGATTGAACTAAAAAGGGTGCATACAGTGTGACCACGAAATCATTGGCCAGCACGTCATTCAGTTGTTTTTAAGTCATAGACATTTGAAATTTGAAACTTGAATATATCTATTGTTCGTCAAAACCCATATTTTCCGTGATAAAACAATTGAAAATTACTTCCCGTTTTACCAGGAATAGACCCAGGTCAAGAATTTATTTCTTTTTTATGACATCTCGATCACAAGTGAACATTTGTTTTTGAAATGGCGGCGCCGGAGAGATTTTTTAAAATCTATATGGCGACACTCTGTGACGCCATTGATCATTTTAATGGAAAACGCACGGCTCTGTCTAAAATAAGAATGAGTTGCAAAGAAATTCATGAAAATGTACATGCTCAAATTTGAAATTACGCTCTCCTCGTTTAAAATATTTTTGACAATGCAGTGTTTCCGCTTCTATCGAAAAGTAGCAGCAACTTTGTTTCATTGTATTTTCAAATTGCCTCTGAACAGCTGATCTCATCGATATATCGCATTTGGTGTATAGCGGGAATGATTACAGAGATATATAGGGTGTTAAAAAATCTAGATTTTTCAACTTTAAAATGTTATTGTGTCGAAAGTATTCCATTATCGGTCAAAACGGCTTCCATATCCCTATATCTTAAATTTTGATCTACTATCTACTGACATTTATTTGGAATAGATACAGGGTGACCAGAATTCTGAATATTGAACCACCCTGTATATGTTCCAATTAAATTTCAGTAGATTGTGAAGTTTATATAGGGATATAAAAGCTGTTTTGACCGATAATGAATAGTTCCGACACAAAAAAAATCCGCAAGTTGAAAAATCTCGATTTTGAAAACCCTATATCTCTGTAATTATTCCCGCTAGACCCCAAATGTGATATATCGATGAAATCAGTTCTTCAGAAAGAATCTGAAAATACAATGAAACAGGGAAATCCATTTGAAATAACATAGTTGTTGCTACTTTTCGGTAGAAGCGGCAACACTGCATTGCCGAAAATATATCAAACTAGGAGAGTGTATAGTCTCAAATATAAACATGCACATCTTCATAATTTTCTTGTGGCTCATTCTCGAGAGAAAGATAGTGTAAGCTCGTATCGTGACATACCCTGTATACTACAAAAACCATAGAGAAATATTGTCTACAAAATCTTAGTACTCACATATTGTATATACTATTTCAGAACCAACCAATAGACTAAGCGACATCCTTCTCACAATCCAAGATTCTGTGGAATATTCTCAACAGAAATCTTTCGATTCACGTTTCACTCAACTTCACTTTTTACCTAACTCCACTTTTCCTAACCACATCATGAAATACACACCAAAAAACCTCAGTTGTATTATATTATATACACAATAAAACTGATACAAAACCCGGTATATTGAAAGGAAAAGGTAAATTCACTGTCAAATCACAAAATTATCACTGCAGTCTGCACTGGAACTCACACAACACCCGGTATACGAAACGAAAAAGTATATTCACTAATTGAATTACGATAATAATTTTTACTGCGTCTGCATCCACCGAAAGCCGGTCGTAAACTGATTCAACATTCAACTGATTCATATTTTTTTATCATCCCGATTAAATTTCTTGGTGAGTAATGCCATACGTTATTCATTACACAATCTATCAGTAGTATATGAGGAAGCAAATAAGAATACAGGGTCGTTTTTTCATTTGGCATTTAAAAACGGCGCCTTTATTCAGATTCTAGATCATAGATACTAAACAGCGAGCTAAACAGGATGTATACCGTGTGACAACAAAATCATTGGCCAGGACGTCATTGAGTTGTTTTTATGTTATACAATTTTGACATTTGAATCGAAGATATCGTTCCTCAAAACAAAAATTTTCCTTGAAAAAACAATTGAAAGTCACTTCCGGACATATCGCAAGTGAACATTTGTATAATAATGGCGGCGCAAAAGTTATTTACTCTAAAAATCAATATGGCCACCCTGTGGCTTAGTTTTTGATGAGCCCACTGGGGTAAACTAGCCATCAGAGGGGGAGGGGCTAGAAAGGACATGATGGTCTATTATAATGATGTGATCTAAGATATTGCCTATTTATGAATTATTTAAAAGGGAATAAATCTACGCAATCGGGTGAGCATTTTAAACTTACATAATATCACCTGCTTAACACGGTTCTGGATTTAAATACGCTATCCGAAAAGTAAAATATATGATTAAATATTTTGATACGTGTCTACTTTATTTCGTACAGATATTTATTTGAAAATTTATGGGGGGGGGCTGGAAAGGCCTGGGGGTGGCCCAGATCTCTCAGCCGCCCCCATAGTTACGCCAGTGCATACTGGATTAATTCGTGGGTGGTCTGTGGATTCGCTAGTCGCTTCTAACGCGATGCAGCGTTCCCCCACCACGCATTTTATTTCTTGCGTTCTATCTGCAGACGCTAGAGGGAACGTAGTCATTCCAGTGTTTTTTATATTCCAGTTTTTCTTCCTGTCTGTGTGACTTGTGACCTTCTGTCAGTTCGGTCTTTGTCACTTTTCACTTTGTCATCGAAATCACGAAAGCATCCAATGAAACCATGGTGATTTGAAAATGACACTATAAATTCAATTCAAATTGAGATTCTCATCCTCAATTTTTTGCACAACGTAATTTCTAAAATTTTCATTTGATTTGTTTGTATTCTCATTCTTACGGTATTTCAGCATTCAAAGTGATGCAGGTAGTAATCAAATTTCATTAAAAATTTAAGCCTGATGTGATTCTAGGATCATTTAAATAAATTAAAAATGTTTGAAGAGAAGAAAACACAATTTGTGTCTTCTATAAAAATAAAAGGAATACACCTTTTACCTCCTGTGGTGAGTCCATACAATAATCTTAACCAGTCTATTTCCTGTATTTATTCCATTTCAGATAAATAATAAGCAACGTTCTGAACTTCAGAGATACAAACAACAAGCCATCAAACTAGAAAAACGTTTGGACAACTGCAGAGAATTGAAGAAAAACCTTGAAGAACTCCTAAGCCTCCAATCTTTCTCTGATAGACCCATATCAGCTGTTACATTCAATGACAACAGTCATCTTGATGCTTTGGGCTTATCAACATCAAGAAGAAATTCTCACTCAAAAAGACCTATGAAACTCAGCCATGACATTGTAGATGTGTCTGAATATAGCAGTGATGGCATCAAATTAATTGATGAGATAGGGACAAATAGTACTGATTTGAGTGAAGGACATTCACTCCATAACATGAACAGTAAAGAATTTAATGAAACTGACACATCTCTAAATATATCTACTGAAATCATGATTTCACAACCCACAAGCAGTCAAGCACCAATTATCAATAATTCTGTTGATCAGATTTGTCCTGTATTAGATTTAAGTGAAGTCATTGAGGGCACAAGGAGTTCACCACTGAATGATACTTCCCAAAACATATCTCCTATATTGTCAGCTAAACCCAGACTGATTAGAAGTAATTCTTATATTTTGGAGGCTCCAAGCCCTATATTGCTAGCACACCTTGAAAAATATGGTAATGTTGAAGAATTGAACACTGGAGAGCAATCAAATAAATCACACTACTGGTCTTCCTTTGAAACCAATGATATTCCAAGTTACATTCCTTTGGAGAATAGTGAGTTTAGTAGCATGAATACTGTTTACAACAATGACATGAACAAAACTGAGGATTCTCTAAAGAATAAAGGCAGTGATATTCCTAGAATTGAGGTAATTCAAACAGACATTTCTGTTCAACAAATAACCCTAAATGGAGATTCTGAAACTAATGAAAACCTGTTGAAAAACACTTTGAATCTCTCAGATTCTGATAGTAGGTTGATGGAAGCATTGAAGACTATTCCTGAGGAATACTCTAAACAAATCATTGATTTGATTGAAAAACAACACTTGGAACAATACAGTAAGGTAGATAATTTCAGAAAAACAAAGGAACAGTTTTTGGATGCCAACACTTCACAGACTCCTGGACCAAAGGAAGTAAAAGAATATAATTATGGGTTCACTCCACAAAAAGATAGACCCTGTGATGATCTATCCACTATCAGTAGGTCTTCTAGGATATCTTCTTTATCACCCAGCCAATCAATTTATTACAGTGGATCTGCCTCTGGTACCTTGATGCCTACAACACCTTGTTCTGATCTGATGAATCTTGAAGAAGAAAATGATGCAACAAACAAAATTGGAAGATTTGATACTGCAGAAGAATCTCTGAAAAATTTGGAAGACAATTTTAGTTTGCAACTCTCATGTGAGAAGTCTTATAAAGAATTGTTTCCTGAACTGCAGAAGGTAGGATTTTTAAAGTGTTGGGTAGATCCTGGGACTCCCTGAAGTTTAGATTTGTTTTTGCAATCTCTCTTTGAAGTGATCTGATATAGGATTTAATTTTTGAACAGTATTATAGGTTTTGTATAATATGTGAACCAATTTGAAAGTGTTTTACTAGGTTATGGAGTGTTCAAGTGTATATTCAGCAGAAAATATTCAACCAAAAGGGCTGTTATGTTTTCTCAAGTTCTGACTTTCCAAAAAAAAATTCAAATCATAGCACCAGAACTCAAAATATTTTTTTTTTCAATAAACATTTCTCTTATATTGAAAACAATCAAATCATCTGGAATTGTGAAACAATTTGAAATTGATTTAGTTCAGAAAGTCACATTTGGCATATTGAATGATTTTTGTTTCAACTGCTCTTTGAAAAAAGTCAGGAAAACAAAGAAACTAAAACATGTTGTGAAAATGAAATATATGTTGCATCAAACACTTTACCTAACTGCAATTTTATATCTTCACATAAAAAAACTGTAGCAAATTGTAGTGCTAATGAATAATGAAGAGAATTTCAGAAATATTCCTGGGAGTGAATATTCCCTGGAAATAATCCAGCAGCTTTGGAAATATTTGCTACTGTCTGAAACTTTCTTTCTCAATTTCTTTATAACCACTAATGATCACTGAGAATTTTTTTTTTGTAGGAATGGGCTGCTAGTGTTATATGTGCCCATGTGAGGGGATATCTTACCAGAAGACTGCTTAAAACAGAAAGGGTGCAAAATCTAATAGAGACCATCAAGGATGCACTCTTGTGTGCCATACAGTTACATAATGCCGAAAATATTGATGAGTCAGATGTTGAATTGCATAGGAGATTGATGAACCAAGTATGTTAAATATTGATAACTAAATGAAAATGTGATTTAGAAATCCTGCAACCTTCTCACATGATTCAATCAAGGATTCATTTACTATGAAAATGTGGCTATGTAAAAAATTTCAGTGCATATGATTTGAAATTGATTTGAACATATTTGAAGCTACTTCAGTCCACTAGACTCAAATCCAAACTTATTTCCTATGCTTATACAGGGTGGTGCAAAAGAAACAAAGGGGTTTGAATAGTGAATAACTACTTTATATCAGTGTCTATATTCTGTCAGGTGGTGCCATCTGTCAGCAGAATGTTTTACTTGTAGTAGCACTCTGTAATGTGTAGTCATAAGGGTCTCCATAGGTTGACTATAGATGGCAGCATCATGCTGTGTATGACTACAGTGACTTATACAAGGCAGTGGTGACAATAGTTGGCAACTATTTGATTGGCTGTCACTGCAGACATCATTAGGAGGCAAATTTTCTCATGTATACCTTGGGTTTATATGGTTTTTGTGATGATCCAGTGATTTATTTTTCTAGTACATTTCTGTTTTTCAAAATGTAGCAGTGATTTTTAAAAAAAATCGAGCAGTATGTATCCGTATTTATCTTGATGCACATAACCTAAGAGTCTGTTACTGCATACCAAGTTTTATCTTGCAGTTGCAGTTTTCATTTCTGTTATAGTACAAAATGCCTAGATGTGTAGCTGTGGGCTGTGTTAATTTGGCTTCAACAGATTCATAAGTTCTCCGTGAGGTATGTATTTTAACTATTCATTCTGTTGAAAATCTTGTGATTCACATAGGTATTTTGGCAAATACTCAAGTTAGAGCTTTTTTCAGACACATTTGAGTATATGTGGAAGAAAATCAGATAAGATGGAAGCCGTAGACTGAAAGCTGATGGCATTAACAACTATATTTTCTCTCACAAAGCCTCATACCAAATGAAAATTGCTGATAAAATCCAAATAAGAAATTGTGATAAGTGTACCTAAATATCTCATATTGAAGAAAAGACAAATGGGTCCCTACAAGTTCATTAGTTCTGTGAGGTGTTTTAACTACTCATTCTGTTGAAAATTTAGTGATTTACATACTTTAGCAAATACCCAAATAAAAGCTTTTTTTCACACATATTGAACATAGTATGTGGAAGAAAATCAGAGAAGATGGAAGCCGAAGACTGAAAGCTGATGCTATAACAACTATATTTTCTTTCACAAAGCCTCTCATACCAAACAAAAAGCTCCTCTGAAGAAAAAATTGCTGATAAAATCCGAATCAGAAATTGTGATAAGTGTATCTCAGTCAAGTGCCTATTAATTTCTATAATTATATTTGTGTTGTATAATATAATCAATGTACTTACTTATTTTTTTAAATATACCTTGATGTTTTTTTTTGTATGAAGTTTTCCATTTCTTCATGAATGACAGATAAAGTTTTTTCAACTAACCGGCCATTTCAATAATTTTGAGACGGTGATATCACCACAAAAACTACTAAAAAATATCGGTTGAGTAACTGAACATAATAAAAAAATATAATTAAGAACCCACTGAAGGGGCAAGTAATTCAAATCTTCGCGCACTAATTTTGCCTCCTAATGGCGGATGGGCGGAGCTTATACGACTATTGTCTCCACTGTCTTGCATGTGTATGACGCAATATATGTAAACACCTGGAAGACTGTAAGAGAGACTACCGGTTTTTCGAAAAGCACAGTGTGTCAGGGGCACAGGCAAAAAAGTGAAGACAGAACCTCATTGTTTCTTGTTATTTGAAATATCACAAAATTTGGCGTGTTTTGTTTTTTATTCACCTTTCATTCACCTTCACCTCACCTATAGTGGAATGATTATGGAAAAATAGGTACTCTTAAAAATTAGCCATAGCATAGACCGTAGGTAATGGATACCATTCAAGAACCTCTTTTCGATTTTTTTCTAACGTTTTTCTATTTCTTCTGATAGTGCTGAGATATTGAGCTTAGGTCAGCCTGTACAATATATTGTGACATTTGAATGAGAATATATAATTTCAGTTTTGTATTCATTTGCCTTCCTGATCCTGTAAGAAAAATGGAATTTCACTTTCGAGTCAATAAATAAATCAATAATCATTTTCAAATAATGATTGAATGCAACATTATCCTTTTTCCTATTCGCGGGAATCAATGTTACCAGGACGCGCTCGGTTTTCATCGTTCCATGTCAAAGCCACGTCAAAACTGGGGGAAAACAAACTCAATCCTTACTCAATCCAATTAGTGCCATTAGCTTGTGTACTGTGTACTGATAGTGGTAAGTTTTTACATTTCTTGGCATTAATTGTCAATATTCGATCGATAACGCCTATTGTAGATGTTCTTTCGGCAGATATTTTGCTCTATTTAGATGGAAAAAGCCGACCAGTAGTGGAAGGAGAAGCAGTTCTCCGTGCTAATCTTGTGATTTTGTGTGAGGCAGAAGACTTCAACAAAAGGCACATTTTTGCACTTTGTCTACAAACTTCGGCGATGAAATCTTCCCCACATGAAGTAAAATTGAAGTTGGAGTCCAGAGGAACTCCTGTAGAACATTTGTATTTGTTTCTGCAAAGCAGGGACAATCTGGGTATTGTTAGCTGTTCTTTTGTGTGTCAATTTATTTGCTCGTCATAATTAGTTTGAATTGTCTGAACTACCTATCTCCAATTCTTCACCCGTTCACTGTTCACTAAACTGATAAAAATGTACTAATGTAAAAAATTTAACCAACTCAACCATCATGACTATCAACAGTGCCAACACTTTATGTCATTGATAAGTTTGACTACAGCTACAGCAAGCTGAATGCAATGTAGTCTATGCACTTTTTCCATAGACAACAGTTTGTTTTCCCCCAGTTTGAAGTTCGTATTATGTAACCTAGATGTCGCCCACTTCGTGAATCTCGCGAATATACTCTTGAATAAAAGCAAGAAACGAGGAAATATTTCAAATAATGCGAGCGTTTCCCATTAGCCAACATGAGATAAAAAGAGATAGGTATCCGTAACCACTGCGGGTTGCTTGAACAATATTTTTGTTTCGCTCGCCATTCAGAGGATCCCTTCCAGGTGTTTATATTGAGTTCATTGGTATGACGTGACAGCAAGGCCCTACCTTGGAACTAACGCCACTAGATGGCGATAGCAGGACTGGATCATCATGCAGTATGCGGTAAAATTCGTTAATTCCAGGTTTCCGCCGCATGCTACGCATTCCACGACGTCTTCTTCACTTTGTCCGTTTCGGAACAGATGTCACTGATATCAGTTGACAGGCAGAGGAAAATCGACAAGGCGAAACGGCCCGTTTCCGCACCTACTCCTCGAAGATCCCGATCAAATTCTAGTCGATCGTCGACCAAAAGTTTAACGCCCATGTCAAGGAGTTTAACCAAAGTTTGAGGAGTAGGTATTTGTTTTCATGCTGGATTTTTGTGAAGCGAGAAATCCAGTGAAATTCTTGGAGGGTTGAACATTGAAAACTAGATGATACAAATTAAGATCCAAATACATTTTTCGCACTTTATATATTTTTTCAGGAAACTGCATATATTTTTGCGTTATTCACGAATGTCATAATTTTTGACTATGAGTTTATTGTGATTATGCGGATTTGTTGCAGACAAACATTGAATTGAAATGAAACATGGAATTATAAAAGAGGAAGTTTTTTTTCTACAGCGTGTCTCACTTTAAACGGCCCCCCTCTATATCTCAGTTATTAGTCATGCGATTCCAACCAACTTTGGTGTGGTATAAATAACCATCAATATGCTCAGTTTTACAGAGATGCACATTATTTTGGGCAGTGCCGTGCGTTTTTATTGAACTAAATATGGGTCGATTTTTCATAAAATCATATTAGGCATTTTTACAGGAAATCTAACCTCATATTATTGTTCCTCATGCTTTCGAACCTCCATATGCAAAAAATCACCTAATTCCGAATCAACAGGATTGGCTTCATTTTTTTTCATTTTCAGTCTTGAATAAATAGTGACTTCAAATCAACTACGAATTTTGGAACGTTCAATGGCTCCGGTAGGTGGAAAATCATGATTTGGAAGGAAAAACGAGTTATACTTTTTTATGTTGAACTCACCGTTTCCGAGTAAATAATTATTACGTTCGCAAAAATGCTGTTTAGATGTGCCTGTTTTTCTGAAACCCTTCATAGGCATCTTATGAAAATCCACATGTGTGGGTTTGAAACCATGAAAAACAATATTATGAGCTCAGTTTTCCTGTGAAAAAATGCCTAATATGATTTAATAAAAAACTGACCCCTATTCATTTCAATAAAAATGCACGGCACTGTCTAAAATGATGTTCGTCTTTGAAGAACTGGTCATATTGATGATGATTCATACCGATACAAATCTGGTAAAGATCGCACGACTGACAGCTGAGATATAGAGGAGAGGCCGTTTGAAATGAGACATGCTGTATATAAGAATGGTATTGGAGATGGTGGTCCAGAAGTTTAGGATTGAAAACATAACACTAATTTTAATGAAATTAATACCTTCCACATTCATCAAACGATTAATAATTGAGGAGTGAGATTGAATATTGGAATGATGTATAAAAAGTTGGGTTCTTCAAACATTTTACAAAACAAAGTGACAATTGATTTTCTCTCTTGTTTTATAATAGTGCAATTTTTGAATGCAGTTACATTTTGGGGAAAATCATCTGATTTGTGCATACTACACATAAATATATCAAAACAGTGCTATTATTTTTAATTGTCATAATCATAATCAAAAGATAAATTTCAACATTCTGGACTATTCATTGTATTCATCATTAAAAAAAACTATTTTCATTATAGCAGTTCTTAATCACGAAAAGGATATCTATGGGAGATAATGATACAATCTTTTGTTTGTTCCTTCCTTGTAAAATCAGATACTATGTTGATATGTGTTACTGAAAAGTTGTAGAACCTGACTGAACTGTCTTTTCCATTGCCTACACATTTTGTGATATTGTATTTTTGTAGTATTTTTTAGTATTTTTAGAAAGTTGAATTACAAACTGCCTTGCAAACAATAAACGTGATTTCTACTGATAAATATTTTTTATTCAATTAAGCTTCCTGTTATTAATTTTGAAATTATAAGCCAACAAACTGGTGTTGAAAATGTATATACAATTCACGAAATAGTACTTAGATATTACAATAATAACTTAGAGACCTTGCATCACAATAAACAAAACAATCAGTATTTTTTACAAATGATGACACTTCAGATCATCTCAGAAAACAATTTCAAAATACAACAATTATGAAGGCACATAACAAACTTTACGTTCTAAGTTCTATAATATATGTATATAGTCTGTGTAAATTATCACTTAGTACGGAATGATTCTAAAAACCAATATTTACATGTTACACATTTTGATTTGGCTAAAATTAGTAATTCATGTCCTATAATACCCATACATAAAAATTTAATATGACAACATGAAATTTATAAAGAAGAAATTGTATAAATATTTCAAAACATGGCAGTATGGACCATTGAGAACAAAATATAAATTATCATCAGATCATGAGGTTTACTCATCTCAACTTTTTTATTTAATGCATATTAATGCGATTATACACACACTGGCACAATTAGGGGAACGGGTAAAATTTACACTAAGTTTGACATCAATTTTCTCTCGAACCGATCACTGGATTCGAATTTGTTTTTCACGAATTGTAGCTTCATTCTTCACGAATACATCTGAGAAATAACCACCTCCAAACGATTCGTCTTTATATCATATACAGGGGTGTAAAGAAAGTACGGATTTTTCGGTATTCTTCAAGATATCCTGTGGAGTGAACCACTGATAATTGAAACGATTTTCCAACACCAAATTATAGCCCAATCTATCCCGAATATTTTCGTTTTTTATCCATCTTCATATCCCAATTATCCAAGAAAATATAGAGTTTCAAAGAAGAGGTGGATATTGGTATTAATTTTACCACCTCGAAACTCGAACTGGGGAGAACGTGTCGTTTTTCAACTTGTTTCTGTGAGAATTTTCACTTCAAGATGAGAATTGTTCACAGTTTTACCTATCGGTTTACTGTTTAAAGACACATATACGAATACTCTCATAAATATACAGGGGTGATAAAAGTTGCTCCAATATTCTTTCGAAATGCTATTTTTGTTAATCAACGTTGGCTATTTTGTTAATGTCATTAATTATTGTCAAAGTCAAGCGATTCACAATTCATAAATTTGATTAATGAAAATTCAACGTGAGAGATTTGACTCCTACTGATGTGGCGAGGGCTGTAGCATTAATTGAAAATGACCAGTGGGCCAATGTTCTTTTAACATAATGAGAACCGCATCTGCACCAATTCAATAGATGGCAGGGAAAGACTATATCGCCGAGGTGAACAAAATGAACAATTTGATTTTACTGCTATGGCAAAGGTTTAGTCATGGTTAGGTTAGGTTAGTCAAGAAACCACACATTTTCAGATCCAATTTGAGTTTTGAGGTGTGAAATTGATACCAATATCCACATTTCCTTTGAAACTCTGTATTTTCTTGAATAATTGAGATATCAAGATGAATAAAAAACGAAAATATTCAGAATAGATTGGGCTCCAATTTGGTGTTGAGAAAACGTATCAATTATCAGTGGTTCAGTCCACAGGATGTCTAAAAAAATACCGAAAAATCCGTACTTTCTTTACACCCCTGTATATGATGGAAAGACTCATCGTTCGAACGTAATTATTTCTCAGATGTATTCGTGGAGAATGAAGCTACATTTCGTGAAGAAAAAAATTTGAATCGAGCGATCGGTTCGAAAGAAAATTGATGTCAAACTTAGTGTACATTTTGCCCGTTCCCCTAATTGTGCCAGTGTGTGTAGTTATTTCTTTAATATGCACGGTGATGTGATATATTGGAAACACACAAAATATCTGAAATGTTTTGAAAATGAACAATAAAACAATTCTGCAGAATTCGTCCCCTCCGAGATTCTTCTACCAGTGACATCATGCACGTAGTAGGACGATTTTGAAACTGGAAACTGACATACTGTGTTATGATTGTAGTTTAGAATAACTTCTTGTATTGCAGTTTTGTGTTTTCGAAAAATTGTTATTTGGAACTGTATCATTCCAAATGGTCCATAGTTCCAGATGTTTCACATATTTGAAGTCAACCCACCCCTGTATAAAGTGTCTTTTCTACCATTCATCTCAATATCCTCATACATAGTACTTTCATAAATATAAGTTTATCTCTTCCATTCCAACGCTTAGAAATGTAATTTTCAATGCCCTCATGAATTAGTTATGAAATAACGTTTTTAACTTCCCTTCATAACATTATAGCGAAAAAGGGTAAAATTTTAGAATACTAGAAAGGCCCAAATTCTAACACTTAAGTTTCGTCTGTAATTCCCATTTCATCAGGTGTTCCGTATATAATTTCAAGAAATAATCCAATTTCCACCCATAATATTTGTCGATATATTTGTTGAAGACGTCATTTCAAGTACCATTGCTAACTATAGGGGTAATCTGTGACTATATGCTGTTAGAGCCAAATTTCATCATATTAGATTTGTCAGTAAATCTTATGTCGCTATACTGGCGTTCCGCCTGATTTCTAAATTCAATAACGTAACGTAACGCAAGTACTTCCGTTACACGATAGAAGATAAAATATAGGATTTTTCCAGTACTTTTAATAGAATATCGTTCCGCAAAACACTGATCGTGGCTGCAACGCGAGAGATGCTTATGTCCATCTTTATGTTCGCGTTGTGGAAAGGTGACGTCATGTAAAAGGGAGGTTGGGTTTATTGTTTGATTTACATCAGGAATTGATTAATGCTATTATATAATTGTTCTACATATATAATATTGATTAAGGAGTCCTGAGAGTATTACAAAAATAACAATGCCATCGATTGAGGTGACTAGTTGGAAGAAGTAGATTGCACGTATATTGTACGGATTATAAATATATCTGGTATCTTCAATATATTCATTCATTGATGATGGAGTAAAATGTTCTTCTGGGAAGATCATGTGAGATATAGTTTATGCAAAGTCAGTTGAACAGATCATCAAACGAATGTCGGGCCGCGCTGCCGCACTCTTTGAAATTTCAAAGGGACCGACCGCTGGCGGTGATGTGTGGTCTGTATTAAAGCTGGAGCAAATTGTTGCAAAGATTCAAAATATTTGAAAAATTGTTATGGTTCGGGTTGGGAATTGTTCTCATGCTCATGAAGGTATATAGGGTCGCTGATATGTATGAATACAGGTGAATATCTTGGTAACCTGTTGTTGGATTTGTTTTAATCCTACAGTTGAAAAATCTAGATTTTAAACACCCTATACCTATGTAATAATTCCCGCTAGACCCCAAGTGTGATAGATCGATGGAATCAGCTCTTCAAGGAGAATTTGAAAATCCAATAAAGTACAGGGTGTTTCATTCAGAAAAAGGAAGTTACAAACAAATCTGGAATTACTGAAAAAGTGCAACATTGGCTATAACATTTTCAAATCCGCCACGTTTAGAAATCACACTGTACATGAATTCAAAAAATCTAACAAAAGGTAACCGAGATATTCACCAGTTTCCATACATATCAGCGACCCTACCCTGTATAGCTTGAAAGAAACCTTTAGTTTACATATTCAGTCCTATCTTGAGCCGACGACCGATTTGCAAAAGCTATCGCTGCTGCACATAACAGAACAACAGCTGGCAGTGCCAAAAATTTATAATCCTGGTTATCACCCATTAGTAGAATTGGAATACTTTGAGGCTTGAACAAATTGATAATGGAATACTTTCGACACAATAAAATTCTAAAGTTGAAAAATCTCGATTTTCAACACCCTATATATCTCTGTAATCATACCCACTAGACATCAAATGCGATATATCGATGAGATCAGCTCTTCAGAGGCAATTTGAAAATACAATGAAATAACAAAGTTGCTGCTACTTTTCGATAGAAGCGGCAACATTGCATTGTCGAAAATATTTCAAACAAGGGGAACGTTATTTCAAATTTAAGCATGCACATTTTCATAAATTTCTTTGCAACTCATTCTTATTTTAGACAGTGCCGTGCGTTTTCCAAATGATCTATGACGTGACAGTGTCGCCATATAGATTTTAAAGAATCTCTCCTGCGCCGCCATTTTGAAAACAAAAGTTTACTTGTGAGATGTCATAAAAAAGAAATAAATTCTTGACCTGGGTCTATTCCCGGTAAAACGGGAAGTAATTTTCAATTGTTTCATCAAGGAAAATATGGGTTTTGACGAACAATAAATATATTCAAATTTCAAATGTCTATGACTTAAAAACAACTGAATGACGTCCTGGCCAATGATTTCGTGGTCACACTGTATACACCCGATTTAGTTCATTCTAAATAATGGCGCCGTTTTTAAATGCCAAGTGAAAAAACGACCCTGTATTCTTATTTGCTTTCTCGTACTACTGATAGATTGTGTAATGAATAACGTATGGAATTACTCACCAAGAAATTTATTCGGGATGATAAAGAAATATGAAATAGTTTGTTTTCTACAAAATCTTGGTACTTACTTATGGTATATACTACTTCAGAACCAACTAATAGTCGCAGCATCATCCTTCTAAAAATCCAAAATTCTGCCGAATATTCTACACAGAAATCATTCGATTGATTCACGTGTCACTTAACTTCACTTTTGAACAAAATCCACTTTTTCTAACCACATCATGAAATACACACAAAAAAACTCAGTTGTATTATATTATACACACAATGAAACTGATACAAAACCCGGTATATTAAAAGGAAAAGTAAATTCCGAGGTAAATTCACTGTCAAATCACAATAATTATCACTGCAGTCTGCACTGAAACTCACACAACACCCGGTATACAAAACGAAAAAATGGTCCGCATCATATCCGCACCCACCGAAAACCGTTTGCAAACTGTTTCATATTTCTTTATCATCCCGAATAAATTTCTTGGTGAGTAATGCCATACGTTATTCATTACACAATCTATCAGTAGTATGAGGAAGCAAACAAGAATACAGGGTCGATTTTTCATTTGGCATTTAAAAACGAGTTTCAGTGCAGAGTGAATTTACCACGGAATTTACTTTTCCTTTTAATATACCGGGTTTTGTATCAGTTTTAGTGTGTATATAACATGATACAACTGAGTTTTTTTGTGTGTATTTCATGATGTGGTTAGAAAAAGTGGAGTTTGTTCAAAAGTGAAGTTGAGTGACACGTGAATCAATCGAATGATTTCTGTGTAGAATATTCGGCAGAATTTTGGATTTTTATAAGGATGATGCTGCGACTATTAGTTGGTTCTGAAGTAGTATATACCATAAGTAAGTACCAAGATTTTGTAGAAAACCTTTCTCTATGGATTTTGTAGTATACGGGGTATGTCACGACGAGCATTACACTATCTTTATATCGAGTCCCAACAAAAATAATAACACAAATTATTATGTCAAGATTGACGAGTGTCAAATTCAGGAAAATCTATAAATGTCAACTTTATTTCATCGTCTTACGGTACCGATTGCAGAACGTTGAAAGATGCGTAATGGAATCTATAAATCAGGGGTAAAACTATGAATTCAAGAGTTTTTTCTGAACTAAAAAAAAATGTGTTTAATGAATTCTCATACACCGAGAAGTAAATTTGACTGTTGAAAAGGACCCCGCACGAAAACATGGAAGTTTGGCTCTCGGTCGAATTGGCTGAAATGTTGCTATGCTATGTTGTTATGGGATGGCTCATTAGTAAGATATGTGAGTTTAATGTGAGTTTAAAAAGTTTTGTATGGTTAGTTTCTGAGATATAAGCCGACAAAGTTCGTAAAAACAAAGTAAGCTGGAAAATTTATTGATCGGGACTGATAAACATGTCTAGTTATAACCACATAAATTATAGCAAATCAGGTTGTATACGAGACACGGTCAAGAAATTCCGAAAAATGAATTTTTTTTGACCGTGCCTCGTATACACCCTGGTTTACTTTATGTGGTTATAACTATACAGGACAGGGAGAAAATAATACAGTCAACTCCACCAAAACTATAACTATAAAGTATATTATAGGTATAGTTTTGGTGTAGTTCCGATCAATACATTTTCTAGCTTACTTTGTCATATTTATACTGGAAAAACTGTTTTTTTTTTCTTTGTCAATCCTACCCCGATACGACGATTTTACGAATTTTGTCTGCTTATCACTCAGAAACTAAGCATACAAAACTTTTTAAACTAAAATATTTTCCTAATTATACAAATCAATTCATCGATTTTATAACTCTTGCCGTTTCAATGAAGAATCACTAACAATCATACAACATATTTTAATGAAAATAATGATGAACAACACGAATTCTCTATGAATATTTCAACCTCCGAAAAGAATCTTGTTCTATGCTTACCAATTCGAATTAACCATTCTTATAACCACATAATATTCAAAGTATCTATGAACCTTCAGATGATCCTTTCAACACACTAATGAAGATATTATGTTATGCAAATTAATAATCATCAGAACGGATTTTGCTCTTTTTTACCTATCTAGTTTCAAATTTGAGAACACCGATTTCAATAGAAACAAAGACATCAACGTCAGAAGCGTAAATTTGGGGCAATCTTTTCGATTTTTGCTTTACCATTTATGAAAATACTACGATTTTGTGGAAATGGCAATACGGTGAATCAGTTGTTTGAAGATCATTTCCATCTAAAGTTTACAGACACACCCTGTAAAGAATACTATCGAAAATGTGAGAAAAACATCATGAAATTCGAGATAAACATGCACTCAATCTTTCCCACCTTGATTGATTTTGTACTCCGTAGGTTAACAGACACGCGCTTAAGTGAGGTTAGGACTGTTTGGATTTATGTACAACTTTGACTATTTGAAATGACTAATTTTCACTTTCGACTATGTTGTAGTAATGTGAAAGACAGGTCCAATTCTCAGGAAGACTCTCCTCAATATGGACCGGAGTTCTGCCTTGAGATCAACACAGACTATTTCGCACAACAGCGGGTAATAACTGGATACATGGGCTGCAAACTGTAAAGAAACAATACTTACATGCATACATCCAACTGTTACGCGAGAAATAATTGTAATTAATCAATTAGCAATGGTAGATGACGAGACGGTTGAGAAACAACTAATCTACTGGCTTATGCAACGCAGAATATTGACTTGATACCTACATACCGGTTTCGGGTTTTTGACCCTAAGACCCTATGACCGCCATCTGAACAAAACATAACCTAACGAAAGTCCGGATTGACATATATTTGCTCAGAGACTGGACCATGGCACATTTCATTCTACTTTGAGCATTTTTACTATTCTGTATTTGTATTTTGAAATAACGCTTGTCAGGCAATCAGCCATTCCCATTTGTCACCGATATGAGATTCAATGTTCTGCGTAACATTAGCCTGGAAAGTAGTATTTTTTCTCCCGTCATCTACCATTGTTGTTCATTTTATTGAAAACTTATGGAAATGACTAGTTTTTACTTAGTTCAGTCCAAATATAAATTTTGAATATTTCAATATCCACATTTTCTTCCAAAAACATGTTTTAAACATGGTGTCACTCTCAGAGTAATAGTTGAAAAAAGTTATTGAGCTTATTTCTTCTGCGGAAAATAAGTGTTTATCCAAGGACCCCTCTGGAACCTCTGCCAAATCAATTTAATAGGATCTTTCGGGAGTAAATACACAAGAAATAATGTTTTTATCGATAAATACATGGTGGAAATATATATGGTGTGCTACTCAGGTATCTTGAATTCGTCTTTTCTGCGCATAACGTCATTGAGAGTCTATACTCGCACCAAAATGATCACGGCGACTCGGGCGAACTGATAACTGTGAGCTCAGACTGCTAGCAATTGTTTTACTCGCCACCACCATGGATAAATACATGTTTAATTGTATGATGTTCATCGGGAAAACAACCTCCAAACATAACGGCAATTGACAGTCATATGCCCGAGATCACCTTTCGCTATCGTACTATAAGGAAGATTTTATTGGGTCTCAACACCAACAAAGCTTGTGGCTCCGACGGAATCCCACCGATTGTTCTCAAGAAATGTGCTCCCGAACTAACACCTGTTCTCTCCAAGTTGTTCAACTACTCTTACGAATTGAGGATATTCCCGTCCAACTCGAAAATTGCAAGAGTACAACCAGTTCCTAAAAGAGGCAAAAAGACCCTACATAGCAACTACAGACCGATCGCGCTGCTATCTATTATTTAAAAATCATGGAGGAAGCTATCAACATCAAGCTCATGAAATACCTGGAACATTCAGGTATTATCAACGATAGGCAATATGGCTTCCGTCATCAGAGATCAACTGGTGACCTGCTCGCTTACGTCTCACATATATGGCAGCAATCTATTGAAAAATATGGTGAAACCTTAGCCGTGGCACTTGATCGAGTCTGGCACCACGGACACCTCGCCAAGCTTCCATCTTATGGCTTGCCTCCCCAGCTATGCACAGCACAGCACAGATCCTGTCCTGGAAAACTGTTCCCATATTTGGAGTGCAGCAGCCAAACATACCGTGAAACTGTTGGATTCTGTCTAAAAAAGGGCAATTCGTCTCGTTGGTGATGCCTCGCTCACAAACTCGCTCAACTCTCTGGAACACTGTAGAAAAGTTAGCGAACTGGCTCAATTTTATAGATATTTTCATGGACAATGCTCCTCTGAAACATCAACGATTGTTCCTCCTTTGGCAATCCCCGCGAGATTAACCCATCGAGTTGAGGCTTCGCACCCCTCCGTGGTTACTTTGGAAACCTGCAGAACATCTCTTTTCAAAGACTCGTTCATCCAACGAACAGCGAGGCTCTGAAACATATTGCCAAGAGAGGTGTTTCCCGAGGCATATAACCTCCAGAAATTCAAGCAGAACACCAATTCCTACCTTATTTTCCTTGGTTCTTATGATGTTCTCTGAACATTACAGAATATCCCTTTTCGTGGGAACCAGAACATAAAAAAAAACAAATCGAACTCACCCTGCCGTCGGGCATCTTGCTAGGTAGATTCTTTTTGTGTTTCGAAACTGGTAGCTTGGAGTAATGTAAATAATATTTCATATTGGGATTATTGTGACCCAGGTATAACACCACGCACTTTTCGGAATTCAGCGGCAATTTCCATAGATAACTACATGAATCAGTTGTTGTTGAACTGGCTCAGAGATATAACGCCAGAAGAAAAATAAAAGCACAAACAAACAAATCGAACTCACCCTGCCGTCGGGCATCTTGAGCAGCCGCGTCATCACCAGCAGCAGCAACGACGTCCAGGCGTCGCGGTGCCGTTCGCTGTCCAACCTCAAAAAGTAGTCGAGCGCCTCCCGGCACACGGATATCAGCGTCGCCTCGACTGCCGGCCAGTGTTGCCGTCTGCCCTCGTCGCCGTACATCTTGAAGAGGATGCGCAGCAAACAGGCCAGGCTCTGCGTCTCCTGCTCGAGCAGGTCGGGCTTGGCGGGACCGCGGTAGCCCGCCTTCCACAGCAGGTTGCGCTGGTCGTGGTCGAGGTTGAAGGTTTTCGCGAACCTGGACCATGAAATGGCTATTAAGGCTGTGTCAAGTCTGTGGTTTGACCGGGCACATACGTTCAGTATGAAGTCTGACCAAGCAGCTGTTTGGGAATAACGGTCACGTTTCAAACCTGCCCACAAAGTTACCACGCTAACTTTTGATGAGAGACGAGTCATCATTGTGGTATCACCACTGTGGTCAAACGAATGACTTGACACAGCCTTACTTTTTCTTTTAACCCGGAGAGACCGCGCGGTGTTGATGATGTCCCAGACGATGTCAAATAACGAATTTTCTGCTTAAAACCCAGATAGTCCTGAGACTTTATTTTCGAATATGTAGTTTTTATCCTAAACTCCATTCAGGGTACTCAGCTGAAAATAACTATGGGGAAAAATTGCATGAGGATTTTTATTTTTCATCAAAAACTTCGGGTACTTTTGAAAGGACCCAATAATGTATCAATAGATTACGAAAACAAAAAGCGGGTACACAATGACAGGTTTTCTGTAGCGCATGCCAGTTTTTCTTGATTGTTTTTGTTACTAAAACTTCAATTCTTTACATCGGCATGCAATTTGAAAACACGGAAGACCCCTTTCAATTTTCTGCAGTTCAATTATTAGCGATTCAATTTGTTTGAACTTTCGTATATTACAACGGCAGGCAGTATTATATTCGCGGTCGCCAAGGTCATTAGATAACGTTACTATGAAATTAAAAACTACGGGAAAACATGTCTAACTTTCAATCTATACCAGGAGTTAGGATGTTTTCCCGTAGTTTTGAATGAATTCAATGTTCGTCGTGGCATATAGCCAGGAAAGTAGTTGTTTTCTGTTGAATAAACCGAGAAAGAATTAATATTTTCATCACATGGAGAATGCGAATTCTAAATGTATTTCTTTATATACAGTGTCTCATTTCAAACGGCCATCCCTCTATATCTCAGCTATCAGTTGTGCGATATTCACCAAAACTGATCATATTGATGGTTATTCATACCACACCAAATTTGGTTGGAATCGCATGACTAATAACTGAGATGGGGGGGCGTTTAAAGTGAGACACGTTGTATACATATCCAATTTTTTTATGTTCATAATTGGGGAGTGGAAATTCAAAAGGATGTAAGTGCCAGAAAAATTTAAACTGAGATATTACATAAAACACGCCAAAAAAAAATTAAAATAAAAAAAAACTTTATAGAAATATGTTTATTGAGTACAGAATACACGATCATATGAACTACATACATAGTTACACATAAAAAACAAAAACTCATATGAAAAACACTAACTCAAACATGACAACTGTTAAAAGGTCCAAAGTGCCAAGAACAAGAAATCGTGAAAAGGGTCTACGTCCAAAGTAGTATTTTACTGTGATTCTGTTCTTTTTAAGAGATCTTCATAAAACGGAAAATGTCAATGGAATATAGTCCATCACGTTTTTTAGATTTTTGAGCTTCTCTGCTCGGCCCCAAAAAAAAAGTACTCTGCTTATCGTGATTTGCAACATCATAAAATTGTTGGAATACTGAGTTTCTCTGGTTGAATGATGAAGATTTGCAGGAATATTTACAAGAACAAGTTACCTGCAACAAGAGCATAATGTGAGTATACTTAGTTTACCGATTTTGAGGTTAAAATTGCTTACCTCTTGTTCAGGTGGATTTTTAGCCGGTATAAGGACATTTTTATAATTTGTATGTTGCAAGCCACTAACTCTGCTTCTTTTTCTCTCATTTCTAACACTCTCAGTAGCATTCTGCCGCCTATTTACTGCAATATTACAGGCTTGTACATCACCACGCACGTCCATCTTGTATACTAACGATTATTTGGGACTTGGCTAAAGCTCTCGGGAGTTATTCAGATTATTAATGTTCATATGGTCTCATCAAATTGTCAAAATACAAGGTACTCTCGATAGAATAATGACGAAAATAATAGTCGGCCATTTGTCATGGTCTCGGGATATTACCTGTGAGTATTCCATTTGAATACGGAATACGAACGGAATGAAACGATGGACCCACCTGTGCGACTGCAGCAGACAGTCGGCTAGCCGCATCAGATGCGGCGCGCCCAGCAGCCGGTACACGCCCTGCTCCTCGCGCTGGCACTCGCCCGCCCCCGCCCCTCGTCCCGCCCCCCCGGCCCCGCCTCCCGACGCATCCGCGGCGGCCAGCGCCAGCGTCTCGGCGTCCTCTTTGCGCGACGTCGCCGGATAGAAGGCCACGTTGTCGATCGTTTGGATCAGCTCGAGCTGCACGGCCGACTTGATGGCCAGACTCTCGAACACCTGAAGCGGAATTCGGTACCTCAGAACAACGAATACACTAGATGATAGATAGTAACGCCTTCAGTGAAGCACGAGTTCAATTTTACCCGAAACGGTCCATAGTCTGGCTTTCAGACAGAGAAATTCAGCTAGTGTTGAGAGAGAGAAAATATGTCTTTCCTAGAGTGACTTTATTATAAAAAGTGGCGACAATTAATGATAGTGATGCACTTTTTGATTGGTCAGACCTCTTATATGGAGGTGCATCCGCCTGTCTTGTTTTCCCTATTCAGTTCTACGCATTCTATTTCACTTTGTCAACGCTTTGTCACTGTTTCTCGCTCTTTGGACACAAAACATCCAACAATCAGACATGAAACTCTATTCGTCGATACCTTGGATATTAACTATTAGAATACGTTATTTGGGACTTGTATGTCTGAGATTTTTTAGATGATGAAATTAAAATATCGAATATCTAAACATCAGGTGGGCACTTTGAAGACACAAATTCATTGCTGCATGTGAGATAATGTTCAGATTTTTAGTTATTCAATGACTTGACCAAAAACGACATTCCGGAAACGGCTGCCATTTTGAGATCTACTCACTCTATACTCTAGTCATCCCCATCTATCCTTGTCTTCAGTGTTCCAACGTATAATAATGAAAATGTTACGTTGAGAACACTGAAAATGAGAAGAAATAGAGAAAAGGGTCATTCTGACTTTATATTGAGGTTAATATGATCAGCTCCGTTTCTTCTCATTTTCAGTGTTGTCAACTAAACACTTTCATCATTATACGTTGAAACACTGAAGACAAGGACAGATGGCAGTCAGAGCTAGCTGAACTTCTCTATTACAACGTTAGAAGACGCACGCGTGTGTGATACGGTTAAACCTGCCCTAGTCCCCTACCTCTTGAGAAAGATATGGTTAAAGCATTTTATCCCCCAAAATTGAATATCATGTTCAACTTGTGTTTTTATATTTTCTCCTCCAAATCGTAGTGACCATATTAATCAATGAAAATGGAGGCTATTATTTCTCCAGATCAAATTAGTTTGATTAGATTCAATACGTCGTCCAGAACAAGAAATCCTCCTTTATTTCCCTTGACCTTCCACTTAACGAATTATGGCAACAATAATTCTATTTCAAGGCTTCAAAGGAATTATGTTGTTCCACATCCTTGTGACCTATTCTGTGGCAGTCTAAGTAAATTCAAAACTAATGTTGTGAAAATAATTATGAATACCTAGTTAATGAACTATTTATAACTTTAGTGCTACATTTCTATAACTATAAATTTTCATTGCTCCTATTATCATTCGTTATTTTTTTAATGGTGTAACCGTAGAAATAAATAATGAATGAATGAATGAATAAATAAATTAATAAACAAATTTCATTGCCCACCAGTAATCGGACTCACTGTCGCCACCATCATTGTTGTTCATTACCCCGTTTTGTTTACTGCGCATCCATAATTTCATGCCACGCGCACCAGGCCATTATTTCAACACTTGGATACAAAATATCTGTAGAATTTTGTCTACAGAATATGGAGCTGGTTTCCACTTGACACAGCTAGTATAGTAGTTTGATAAAACAAATTATATTTTTGACATTTCAGATTGCCATTGAAAGTTTTTATTGACATTTCTTAATTGTATAACAAATTCTAGTGTTCATGAAAACATCACCAATTGTCTTTAAAAAGGGTGAATAATATTATATATAGTTATACAATATCCAACAATCAGACATTAAACTCTATACGACCTTAGCATTATAAAGCTTTCATAAGTGAATCTGTCAGCTCCTCGCATACTAATCCAGTTTTCAGGCTCATCAAGAGAGTATTTTCGGAAAATCTAGAATGAATCACCAAATTCATATATTCTTACAGAATGGGAAAAGAAAGATAATATGTCATGTAAGAGCACTGGTCTGAATTCTTGAAATATGACTGTTAATGAATATTGTGGAAGACTAACAACTTTCTTTTTTGTCAAACTCCTACCAGTCCGTTCTGAGAAACCATGGACTACTACCAAATACACCTCTGATTATCTTTGTATGTTTGAATGCAAAAATATTAGAAATCTCTTCAGAACGCTCGACAATTTCCATATGTATTCAAATAGATCACAATGTCCTTGAATAAATACCTCGACATTGGACGCACTGAAGTCCTGGTGATTCGGCCTCTTCAAAATGCCCTTATTCGTCCCTACGTCTCCGTTCTGCTCAATAACAGCCGTCGTCTTCATCGAGTCTGGTTTCCACGTCAGAAGACCAGATGGTATTGTCGAGTTGAATATGTCCAGCATGCACTGACAGGTCTTTTCCCAAGTTTCTTCACTGAACTAGAAAGAAGGAGATTTCATTGGATACCAATGCTATTTTATTTGAGAAAACATAGGTCACAGATAAGAATCGCTCAACTCTGAATAAGATAACAAAACATCAATGTTTTCATTTGAATTGCCCCTACTTGGATATGGCATGGACTTCAGCAGGTTCAATTCTCAAAATCCAAAATGACAAGTCAATTTTGTATTGCTATATCTGGGCGGACGTCATTGTCATTGCCCATTGCCCTTATAATAAATAGGTATTTATGTTTATATGAATACATTTTGTCTAATTGCTAGTCTTTCAGAAGAATTTGAATCAAAATTTGCGTTGCAAGTTTTTCGTTTCATCCCTAAATCAAAACAACTTTTATTTTCGAAACATCGCCACTATCACCACTTTCTCTCATTGATTTCATTAATTAATCATTTCTATTTGATTGCCCATCTAATTTTAATTGATTATTTTCATTCTATGATTTCTAGATGTTCTTGTTCAAAGTAGAAAAATGTTCAGAAATATGTAAACACTTCATTGACTAATAATATACAAACATTTTACCAGGTTATGAATGAAGGTAAAAGAGCTAAAATCTAATATTCTTTCCGTGTATAATACACATTTTTTTTCTGTAACAGAAGAAAGAACGAATCAGTATTGAGAAGATATTACATTATTTTGAAATCTGAAAATTATCGACGTGAAATTTTAAGATTTTAACAGGAGGGACACCTGCGTTGTAGACATCTTTATCATTCTTATGAAGTAATCAAATATCTGATGTCACTTCTGTCAGTCTAATACTGTGATTTGATTTCAAGAAATTGCGAATTTAGTGGTTGTTTAGTAATATACGTAACCGCGAAGTCGAATGGAAGATAAAAGGACTTGCAGTTCTTTCTCGGATACGGTATTATTGACTTATTTTTCGGAACTATAGCACAACAAAATCCATCAACAGTGATGTGATAAATATTCGGGAAAAAAGTACTCACTTTTTCCACGGGAAAAAAGTAATTTATGAAAAGTGACATTTTATAACCTGTCAATTGAGATGAAATGCCAAACTTTTTTCCTGTCACAGAAAGAAATATTTATCTAGGCGTTCAGATAATCAGATATTGAGAAGTTATCACAAGTGGCATGCTATCAAACTTTTAGCTACAAACTACCATGAGTAGTCAGGGTTGTAACTTCCCTAGACAGACGATTGTGAAGATCATTGTTTCTAGGTTAAGATGGTCGTATTTTGCACTTACTTAGTTGTTCTTCCAGAGGTGCACCTTGTGTTGCAATCATAAAAGTGTGGATTGAAATGAGTGCGTTTGTATTCGTCTATTGTGCTTTAGTGCACTAGCTACTTTATACCAAACATTACCTTCAACTCATTTCAACCCTGAGCTATACTTTCCCCTTACCTTTTGTCCGTTCGAGTTCACCAAATTCTCCAAACAATTCGTTCCGGACCTAGCCAGCTGCTCGTTGTTCTGCTGAACGCACCAGTGCAGCTGCGCGTACAATTCCTCCAGCAACAAGGGCCCCAAAACGTCGAAGTACTGCGTGAAGACGTCGACTATGGCGTAGAGGGCGTGGTTGCAGGTGGTCGTCATCCATTCGGCTTTCTCCGGTTGCTTTTCGGGAAGTTTCATGTTGTCGAATATCCTGAACAGGATTTTGAACAAGTCCTTCCACCAGTGGCCCCTGAAGGCATCTCCGTGGGTTTTGATGATTTCGAAGAGGACCGTAAGGGCTCGTGTCCTTACGTCTAGTTTGCACCTATGCACAGAAACATAGTTAGATACAAATCATTAGGGAGTTCAGTTTTGAGAAGAACTTCCGAGTGGAACTGAGCAACAAGCGCGAATGGAGCATAGAATCCATCGAAGCGCTGGGAACCAACACCATTACTTGGTATACGGACGGGTCTAAAACACCCGAAGGAACTGGAGCAGGAGTCATTGGGCCTCGCACCAAATACTTCGAAACCATGGGACAATTTCCCAGCATTTTCAAGAGGAAATACACGCCATAGATAGAAATACCGGAAGAAGGATATCGCGATTTTATCCAAGCAGCCATCAAAGCGTTGAGCTATTCTAACATCAACTCGAAGATGGTATGGGAATGCCTAAGCCAATTGAATGGGCTAGGCAGCAACAACAAAGTGATCCTCCTCTGGGTGCCGGGGCATATCGGAGTGGAGGGGAATGAACAAGCAGACACTCTGGAAAGACAAGGGGCTTCAACGCCACTGATCGGACCAGAGCCATTTTGCGGCCTTGGAAATTTATATTTCCAAGGAGAACTTGAAAAGGCGGAAGGAGCCTTGAGAGCTAGACAATGGAGAATACTTCCAGGACTGCGGCAGGCTGAAGATCTCCTCGGAAATTTCAACCGAGAAAGATCGAAGACACTGATAAACCTCAGCAAAGGAAGTCTCAAAGCAATAACAAGGCATTGCAGACTCAAAGAATACCTAAGGAAGCTAGGCTTACAGGAGGACGGCAACTGCAGATTCTGTGAGGAAGAAACAGAAACACCTCATCACATACTGATGGAGTGTGACGCTGTACATCACAAAAGATTGAACATACTGGAAACACACCAGCTGACTGTGGAAGAAATACCACAATTAGATCCTCTCAGAAACCAAATTCGAAGGAATTGAATCTTCAGGGGCAGCTATGAACAAGAAATCCTTGATATAACAGAAGCAGATCTAATTAGGTCGCAGCGCATCTGTCAACATCCAACCTAAAAATATCAATACCCATAGATACAAGTAAGTGTCCTTGACACTTTTCTTTCTGAAGTTTTGGTATATACAGGGTGGGCCACCAGTAACGCCTTGGTCTCTAGAAGGCTAACCACTTATCTTCTTGGAATTCTTCCTCTCTAGGAAGTTGCATGTCAACATAGGCTACCATTTGAAATTATTTTGAAACATACAGGAAGTCCCCAAAAATCACAAAACACTGAAGTTGAACTTTTTTCAATCGAACACCCTATATATTATTTCATTTCGAGATTCTCCCTGGTGAGCTGATTTCAAAAATCCATCATAGTTGGGGTCTAGCAGTTATAATTACTGAGATATAGGGTGTGAGAAATCGAGATTTTCCAAGTTCAAGAATTTTTTGTGTCGAAAATATTCATAATTGGTCAAAACGGCTTACATGTCCCTATCTCAACTTTTGATCAACTATCTACTGACATTTAATTGAAACAAATACAGGGTGGTGCAGAATTCAGAATCTTGATCACCTGGTATATGTCCCAATTAAATATCAGTAGATATTTAATCAAAAGGTGAGATAGGGACATGTAAGCCGTTTTGACCAATTATGAATAGTTTCGACACAAAAAATTCTTGAACTTGGAAAATCTCGATTTTTCACACCCTATATTTCAGTAATTATAACTGCTAGACCCCAAGTATGATGGGTCTTTGAAATCAGCTCATCAGGGAGAATCTTAAAATGAAATAATATATAGGGTGTTCGATAGAAAAAAGATTAACTTCAGTGTTTTATGGTTTTTGGGGACACCCTGTATGTTTCGAAATAATTTTAAATGGTAGCCTATGTTGACATGCAACTTCCTAGAGAGGAAGAATTCCAAGAAGATAAGTGGTTAGCCTTCTAGAGACCGAGGCGTTCCTGGTGGCCCACCCTGTTATAGAGTAGAGAAACCCAACAAGCAGCGACAATAAAAGTAAACTACAAATGAAGAAACAAGGACATGCATATGATTTTCTCTTAGGTAAAGGCTTCTTGTATCTTCTTTCCTCTACATGTTCAGGGAAGAGTCCATTCATATATCTTGTCGTTCTTTCATTTTTGAATGATAGTGCATGGCGTCTCCTCCAGTGGTAAAGGTACGATACATTTCATCCAGTATAACGACCAAAACATTGGTTAGCGATTTCAAATTTTTGACAAATGTTTCATAGCCAAGAATTGAAAAAGCTACATAATATAGTTTTCCAGGCGTGATCATCCAAAAAGTGACACAGTTTTATTCACAGGGATGAAAATTTTGAATGAAAACAAATGAGTAACTCTGTGGTTGTATTTATATTGAAACTGTGATTTGAACATCCTTGAAAATTGAATAAACCTGATCTGTAAATGCACAAATTGTTCTCATGACACTGAGAAGTGTCAAACTATAAGCAGAGCACAACTTCCAAAGAAAAATATTTTGCATTTCCATGTTGAGAACGGCAGCAGATTCGTTCCCGAAACGTCCAAAGATGAGTAAAAATTCGATATTTTTTCAATATATCTATATTTCTTTCCTTCAAACATTTTTTTCAAACAAAGTGTCACTGACAAGCTACTGGGTTTTTCTTTCAGGCTCCGTGATAGAAAAATTTGTTAAACGCAGTGACATTTTGGGGTAAATCATCTGATCATCTCATCAAGTAAAATGAATGAACAATATAGTTGAGTGAGACAAAAAAGCATTGGCCGTGATTATTTAAAAACAAGTTATCCCGAGAATAACAAATGAAATACAGATCAAGCAAGTATGTGAATCTTGAAGGCTTTCCTGATCAAAATAACACTCAACTATACTCAACTATAATATGGTGTATTTATATCTCTTGCTTGGGTATGAAATGTTGAAATGCCAAATCTGCCGAAATTGGAAACAAATCAGGTATGCGTCCCAACCCAATTTGCCAACCGTAACAATGTTGTTTATTTTTGATGACCTAGTACATTCGTTTTAGTTCCTAGGAGCTCAAGTTCAACTTAAGCTCCTAGGAACTAAAAGTGTTGCCTAGCAACATACCTATGTTTGTGTCAGTAATAGAAACGTCAATTCGAGAGCAAATTTTGGTATTAAAATGGACGACTTTTGTTTAGGTTGCAGAAAAACATTATTAGTATTCCTTATCAAATGATTGAAAAGGACTCAAAATATAACTGACTCATTTTCATATAATTTTCGCTCACCTGTTGACTACGCAGGACAGAGAGAACAACAACGGAAACCATCCGCGCACCCACACACGATCCTCCTCCGTGACAGTGACGTCACTCTCCATGCCGCCGTGTTCCGCGAACAGATGCGGCGATCCGGCAACGCTGCCGGCGCAAGCCCTCACCAACCGAATGGCCTCCATGCTGGTATCGGGAAACCTAGCGTTACAAGCGAACTCCGACAGACACTTGACCGCATCCTGAAAGGAATCGATCATCGTGGCAAACTGTTTCTCGTACAGCTCCACGATGATCTTCCCCGTGGTCTGGAAAGCCAGTTCCACTATGGCTTCTTCTTGGTCCCCTGCGGCTAAGTGGAACACGGAGAAAATGTTCTTCCACCCCGAGCGGATGTTCTTGGCTTGCGAGTTCACCATTTGCGCGACACACCGCACCACCATGTCTCTGATAGTCGGCGATTTGTTGTTCTTCATGATGTACTCGAAGGGACGGAGAAAGTCTTTTTGGAATCGGAAGTTGGAAAACTCTCCTTTTTCGATGAACTTCATCGAGAGTTGGCGCAGGCTGTCGACCGCGAAGAAGCAGATTTCCTCGTTGGGGTTGCAACCGACCGTGTTGAAATGTTCGCCGAGGACCTGCCAGATTTTCGACCATTGCAGACGGATTCTGCCCATGTTGTAGTAGGAGATTTCGACGATTTTCTGGAGGGAGAACATCCTGGGGTGGCCGGGATGGGCTAGCTCCTCCAGGGATATTTTGCACAGGGCTTTTACGAAATCTACCACGGCATCACCATCTAACCTAGTAAATTCGAAATTAGTGATTATAAAAGCTTCCTTTATTTTCTCCATGCCGGATAATATTTGAATATTGATATTTGATTCACATTTTCGAGGAAATTCACTAAAAATATACTAGGTGGAGGCCACAAACTGAACCATTCCCAGTAAAAATTCAACCTTCATTTACATCACAACTCAACTGATTTGTAAAACTCAATTTCTGAAGTGAACTTTAGCTTGACATTGTTCACATGATCCATGTTTATGTTCTAGGCAATTCTGTCCTGTGCTTCTGTGTTCTGTTTGCTGTATTCATGAAAATTTGATATTGATAGAAACATTAATTAACCTCACTATTCCTGTGCAAAAATAGAGAAGCAAAGAAAAAAAGTTTGAATTATGCCACTGACTGTGTACGAAATTTCTTTTGGTTCCTGCGAAGTGTCATTCCTCAGGAATATACTTGAAGAACAGTTTTTATTGTCGGGACATTTTCGAAAGGCGAAATCCGCCATAAAACGTTGGTAAGACACAACATATACGTCCAAACGATTTCCACTTGTTTGAAATATACCTAAGATACTCCCAGGTACGTCCCCTACTTAAGCTACGATTAACGTTATGGAGGAATTGATTATACCAGAGAAGGATGGCCGATTAGAGGTACTCTTTTCAAAACCAGGTAGATTAACAGAGACGGACTCGAAATTGGCCTGATTAGATTGCCAAATATTACCCATTATAATTAATATTAATATAAATGAAGTCATCATCCGCATCAGACGCAGACCAATGAGAAATCGACGACTGTTGGAAAATGTACCTGATAAAGCTAGCATATAGTTTCATTTTGAATAGTTAATGTAGTGTAATGATATAATAATACGTCTTAATACCTATTTACTCATGTTAACAAATTCTATTGATTCTACCATACCCAGATCACAAAAGATTGATCCCTTAATAATTCTAAATCCGATCCTGGCTATTCACATTTAGACAGAATTGACTACGGACATGCCTGCACTACAGTAATCTTGCCACCCCACCTGTATTCTCAAAGACATTAGTCATTAGTGTAATTAGGGCTGGTCGGACAACTGTCATTCATTCTTATCATATACATTCCGTCTCACCAACGTTTTATGGTAGACTTCGCCTTCCCAAAATGATCCGATCATAGTCAACAACTATAGCAACCAGTATTCCAGGCTTCGTCCAGGGCTTGTAATTGAAGACGAGATTCCCTTAGCCCCTGATTCAGGTCTGACCAATAACATTGACCTCTGGTTTATTGAAGACACAAACACAGTTTGTAGAAGTAAGTGAAGTAAATCGCCTTCATAAAAAAAATCTGGCGCCCGAGTTATCAAAAAAAGGTCCCTGAAGTCCATGTCCAGAAGCGCCTAAATAATGGTATGGATATCTAAATGAACTCGATTGGTCTTAAAGAAAAAGCTATAATAGCTTAATTTATATATATTATATATGTATAGAAATTGCAGTGTGAATGTAATGAATAAACAACCCATAGACCCATCTGGGGTCGCAGTGGAGGAGTGGTATTCGCCCCACTCACATGGAACCTAACCTAACCTAATCCCTTGTTGCCACATCTTTATCTGATTTGAGGCATCTTGGAAAAAAGAAACTAGTAAAACAGTCCACTCACCTGGTAGACCCAGTGAAAATCCTATCGACGGCGACGACGACGCTTTGCGAGCTGGTCTGCCCGATGCGCTCCTTGGATCCCGGGTCGGGCGGCTTGTGTCCCGGCCCCGCCAAAAACTCCGGCCGCACGCCAGTGCCTATCAGCTGCGCCAGCTCCAGCTGCGAAATGCACTTGAGCACGTCCAGCCAGCTGACGCCCAAGTAGTTGCCGTCGGTGTGCGCCACCTAGATCAGCGAAACGGCGATGAAAATGGCCTCGCGGAAAAAATCGAGTAGTCGGTTTCTCTACGGTTTTAATTTTTTTTTCTACTCACATAACTAATCAGTTATTTATTATACAAGGAAAAAAAGTAGTAGATTTTAGCTCCAGGTTGTAGCGGAGAGAGACAAAAAACCGTGAGCTAAAATCTAATATTTTCCCGTGTATTATACACTATTTTTTTCTGTGACAGAAGAAAGGACGAATCAATATTGAGAAGATATCACATTATTTTGAAATTTGAAAATTATCGACGTGAAATTTCAAGTTTTTAACAGTAGGGACACTTACGTTGTAGGCATCTTTATCATTCTTCTGAAGTAATCAAATATCTGATGTCACTTCTGTCAGTCTGATTCTGTGATTTGATTTCAAAAAATTGCGAATTTGGTGGTTGTTTAGTAATATACATAACCACGAAGTCGAACGGAAGATAAATGGACTTGCAGTTCTTTCTCGGAGACTGTATTATTGACTGCTATAGCACAACAAAAGCCATCAACACTGTATATACATGTGATATATATCCGGGAAAAAAGTAATTTATGAAAAGTGACAATTTATAACTTTTTTACCGTCACAGAAAAAACTCTTTTGTTCCCGAGTCACAGAGTGTTTGGAATTTTTTAATTATTTCCTCTTAATACCATTTGATCGTACTAACCATGATGAGGGTCTTGATCGTGTCGATGTTCTTCGCCTTCATGTCGGTGATGGGCGATGTGGCGTTCAGCAAAGTGAAGCGCGACAGGGCTTGCACGTACGCGTCACGCTCCATGGGCATGTGGAAGATGCACACGATGCGGATGGCGCATCTTATGCCTGCAGAAAGATCATAGTATTGTAAGTGACTAAGTTGAAATGACCCGGTAAATGAATGGAAGGCCTAGGAATCGCGGTAGCCAAGGAGTCAAGAATGTTTTCCTGTAGTTCTCATGTCATCGCAAGGTCAAATGATGACCTTGGCCACCGCTAAATGCCATATTATGACGAGCTGGCGATTCATCTTGTTCATTATCAGAATTTGGTTTGAACTAGAGTTCCTAAATGTACTTGGCACTGCTGTTTTGACGTTTTTTGTATATTAGAGTACGGACACTAAGACAAGCAGTGACAATCAAACATAACCACAAACGATTTTGAAGCAAATCATATATTTTGCCAGACAAGGACAAGAATATGTTTTTCGCTTAGATAAAGGATCCTCGCATCTTCCATCCTCCACAAGTCCTGGGAAGAGTACATCCATATATCTTTCTTTATCTTTGATTTTTGTAAGAGAGGGCATAGCGTCTCCTCGAGTGGGTAGAGGGTACAATAAATTGATTAGAAAATTATTTCTTCTCGAAATATTGAATGATAAGGCTGAAGGACCTCAATGGAGGTCGATATCAAGTTAGTAGGAACATAATATACATCAACGAAATACATATAGTATTCCTATGGAATTAGTCTCTTATATGTAAGTACATACATATATTCGTTCAGTTGAATATTTGTTTACCACAAAAGTTCAGAATGGGGTAAAAACTGATAAATTTCAAGAAACATACTTTTATTAGTACAAGAGTGGTGAGTTATAAGTAATTAATAAATAAACAAATGATATGGCAACAATAGCACCTGATTTCAGTTAGGATAAATAATATATAGGTTCTCCAAGACATACGGAAGTAGTTATGAATGGACTTCAGCGCTCTACTCACTATAGATCGCCGTTCACATTGCTAAAGGGGATTGTTGGTTGAACCCGGCCATCGGAAGATCATTTTCAATAGCTAACATAAATGGTGCACTTGTTAAGCGTTCTTGTTCTGTGCTCTGATAATATCTTGCTTGTATCTTGGTACCCAAGAAGTGGTTCAAAATCGACTAGGAGCTATGTAGTCGTCTAGCACTTCTCAACTAGGCATGACCATGCACATTCAGACTTGGGATTTCAACTTTGAAGAAGTGATACACGAACAATATATTCAACTCTTTGATATAGATACATCAATATCTGGTATACATCAGAATTTCACAAAGTGACTATATGTTTTCACAAATTTATTATAAGAGTTCGTATACGAAGATGATCAAAAGAATTCTTGGTTGAACAGGGATGTTGAATCAGTTTGAGTCAGTCAATTCAGGAAGTTTCTGCTATTTCATCATCAGACTATCGATCATGATCTTCATGGTGGCTATTGCGATCTCTGCTCCAACATTCCATCACAAGCAATAACCAGAGTCTAAATTGGAATAAGGTTCTTTTTGATACTTGCTCAGTTTATAAATTGTGGGTTCGGCTCTTTCTCTCAATACGATCCTATACTGCAATTTCCTACTAAGAATCTTATATATCTCACAAATTTTGTGGCCTGAACCTATATTCCATGCCGACTGCATCATATTCTGTTTCCATTTTTGTAGAATTACGTTATCCGATGGAAATTCGAATAGAGTGAATTGATTTCCCGTGTTCTAACAGTTCGAAACTGCACAAACTTTCTCCTAATTCTCTCAATTTGTCAAACCTTTGAAATTTATGTCATGTATGTCCGTGTACTGTCAGTTCCCGCTTTTTCCATCAATTTATTCGTGGTTATGTCTGATTGTCAGTGCTTGTCATAGTGTCCGTACTGATATACAAAAAACGTCAAAATCAGCAGTACATTTAGGAACTCTAGATGCGATTAGTGTTCACACTTTTTACTCCTCAGTTTTCGTTTGTGGATATTGGAACACCAAAAATTTTAACCCCACATTTTATTGACAAGACTTATTTAAAGTTTAAACCGAAGAATAATTATTAAAGTGCCCATTATCATTTCCTGCGAATATACTAAAAATATGCAATTTCCTTTATAAAAGCTACAGGACATCCAGAATCCTCATCATTATTAGATGAGTAAGTACAATAACTAAAACCACTACAGGAACAATGATATAACATAGTATTATAAGTTTGTTTTGAGTGTTGAAATTAACCATTTTGAGCTATGCAATAATGTAACAACTCTGGATCAATGAAAATATTTCACATTTCAAAACTTTAACAAGTCTTGATTATTGTATAGAGTTATTATTTATTCATTTTCAAAATAACATAGATATCAGCGTACTTTATCAATAATAATATAGATTTTTTTTATATAATATAAACATGATTAAAAAAGTTGAAAACTTGACCATGATCATGTAATTTTTTTTTCCTTCCACTGACTAACTCAAATTCATTTTCTCATTGAGTACAGTTAAAATATTAAATACATCTTTATTCCATCTAAAAAAAACATGTTGCCTATGTATTTTATCATATATAATCAAATTTCCAAAATGGAAATGAAGTTTCTTTCAGTTCTATAGAGTAACTAGCACCATCTCTTTGTCAGTACTGGAACTTTCAGTTGTTACAGTATAGCACGTGAATGCTAACAAAATGATGAATCAGAGATCATATACAACTCAAAATGGTTATTTTTGAGTTGTTACGCTATTGACCATTCTAAAACACGTGATTTTGACATGGTTTCTTGAGGGGCACATAAACTATCTGTTAGGATATCTTTGATGAGCATAGCCCTGGCCATCCCTGCCACATCCACAATATAATAACAGTTTCACCAAACAACATTATGAAATTCTTTCGGATTCCAAGGAAAACGATCCCACTAATTCTGGTTTCAGATGACAAATCTTGACAAAATACAATGTTTGCCCATCAGCAACCTGTCAAATGACGTAATTCTGGAATGATTAACTGCACTATGGAATCGATGTAATATTCATCAAGCAACTACAAGTATTATCAACATCAACATACTGTTTTCTATTCCTCAAATAATGTTATTTAGTCTGAGTTCCTTACCGTCCAAGCAAAGAGCCGCCACCTCGGGATCGTCGCAGTCCTGCAGCCCGACGCTGAACGCCGCCAGGAACGACGTCCACGCCATCTTGAACATCGGCCTCACGTGCTCGAGGTGCTTGGCGAGCGTGAAAGGCGCCTGCACGTGCGACACCGACTCCATCAGGTTCTTGGCCGCCGTCGAGATGGCCTCCATCTCCATGTTGAACAGGATCTTCCTGCGCTTCTCGGTGGTGATCAGCTTGCCCGGCCTGCTCACCACGTTCTTCATCTTGAAACAAAATATCGGTTTGGATTGTGTTCATTTATTTGCATTCATTTATTCAGTTTATTTCGACTTATTGCGCTCCTCGGCGGTGATCAGCTTGCCCGGCCTGCTCACCACGTTCTTCATCTTGAAACAAAATATCGGTTTGGATTGTGTTCATTTATTTGCATTCACTTATTCTGTTTATTTCGACTTATTGCGCTCCTCGGCGGTGATCAGCTTGCCCGGCCTGCTCACCACGTTCTTTATCTTGAAACAAAATATCGGTTTGGATTGTGCTTATCTATTTTCATTCATTCATTCAGTTTATTTCGACTTATTCATAATTCGTCGCCCTAGAATGATCTGGTACTATCTGGACCAAGTATAGTTGCTCAGAATCGTGTTGCGAACTTTTGACTCCATCTATTTCTTTCCATTTCAATCGAACATATTTTTTGTTCTGATCAAGTATATTTAAATGGGTTGAAGTTTTCATTAGTTGATTTGTTTCCTTCCTTCATTCTCAAAAAAATGTTAATTCGAACATCTGAAATATAGATAAGTAGAACTTTGTTCCGGAAGGATTTTCTATTCAATTAAACAAGGTTCTAACTGACAAATATTCAATAAAATACATCTTTGCTTCATAAAATAATACGAGAATACTAATTCTATAGTGGAGTAGTTGTATTTCTCTCGTTATCAACCAATTTCGATCCTTCATGAACATTTGTGGAAATTAGCTTCGCGTATTTATTTATCTATTTAGATGATGAAATGAACATATCAAAAATCTAAACCTAACATCTGGTGGGCACTTCGAAGGCGCAAATTCATTGCTGCATTGGAGATTCCCTTCAGCTTTGTAGCTATTCAGTGACTCGACCACGCCTGTCATTCCGGAAACGGCAGCCCGTTGGACGTATATTGTCGTCACTCTATTTAATCTATTCACTCTAACTATACCTTGATCTCGTGTCCGGCTATCTCGTCGTAGATCTGCGACAGGTACTCTTCGGGTACGTCTTTGCTGTCAGTGTTGCCGCGATTCAGCTTGACGTACTGCTCCTTGGTCATCTTGTGCTTGACCTGCGGAGAGTGCAGATCGGTGGTAAGCATGATGATGGAGAAGCCGAGCACGTAAGCGGTGTCGGCGCTGGCAAAAAGGCCATTGTTCGGGTTGCACTCGCAGTACCTGCTGGCGAACTTCTCCATCAGCCTGGAAAGGAAGGATAACGGGTAATTTGGAATATTATTTTATTCAATTATTTATTGAAAATGTGGCTTCCAGGCAGAAACAAGTTCTGGAGGTATAGTTAACAATAATACATAAAGAGAAGATTGAAAATAAATTTTTGCTTTACCTATACTATGGAAAATATCACATTTACCTCGACTATCGTATAGTCAGATCCTCACATCTGCGAAACGAGTTGAAAGTTCTATCGCTAGAGAATCGCCGCAACCTGTGTCTTCTAACCTTTTTGCATAAAATAATGCCGATGGATGATGCATAAGTATTATTCACGAGGAGACAGACCACTTATTCCCGACAAACCTGTGAATTTTTTGAGCCTACCCCGGCATCTGGAACTCGTCCAGGAAGTGCCTCAGCGTCGCCACGAAGTCCATCTTTGTGAAGTCCTTTAGGTCCACGTACGCGTATATCCCCCTAAGACCCAAGTTATATTACACATGGAAGTCACACAGACCAGATGTCCATTTAAAAGAACAAATTGTGTGAACCTCTTGAGTCCCAGCACTTCATGTCGCAAAATAACCCCTTGAAAATGTGTGCACTAATTTTGTTATATACTTTGTTCCATTCGTTATAGAAACATGTTTTGAATGATAAAATCGTTTTTTCTTGTACTTTTTGAAGAGCAACAGGTCTGAGTCACATGTTCACAATTTGAAACCAATGGTAAGAAAAGGAGGTAGGTGTATCTTAATAAGGCTAATTGATGATTGAAAATCAGACTTTAATAAAATTAATTCTAATTTGGTGGAAAACAAAAATGTGTTGTCGATCTAGGAATACTAGTTCAGTAGACGATCTGGACTACCCTGAGCTTGCACTGAGACTCCTTGTTCATCTTCATCTGAGAAATCATTTTCTTGTGAACCTGATGAGGATCGAGTGCTAAATGTTGGAGATGGGTCCAGCTCAATTTCTTCATCATCATCAACTATATCAGATTGATTCAGAAGATCTTCCAACTGGTCATCAGTTAAACCTGTAACAGTTTGTTTGGATTGCAGACAAAAATAAACATCACATGAGAATGACCTGAATGCCTTCAAACAGTAATAAATATTAGGAAGTGTATAAAGACCTCAGTCCGAATGTACTTTTTGATTGATTGTCTTTATTACCCCAAGAAACATAGTTGTTTATAATAGGGATACATAAACATTATACATAATGTTATACATACAATTATGAAATTATAATAAGATATAACAAGTTAAAAAAAAAAATGCAAATAATCATGCAATATAATAATAATAATAATAATAATAACTCGTCTTTATTCATCCATAAAATTATAAAAAGTGATATAGATGAAATGGCGAAGTGTCACCCAAGGGTGTTTTTCAACCTAGTCTTTTATAAGTAGGTATTCAAATAAGAAATGGAATTATCAAAGTCTCTGAAGCAGATATTTTAAAGGACAAATTGAATATTCATCAAGAGAGCTGAAAGGTTTGAAAGATTATGGCTTAAATATTGTTAGTGAGAAATGAATACATATATTTCATATCAGAATAGCTAACTACAACATATAAATTTCAATCGATTCTCAAAATAAAAGCAAATCAACTTACCATGACTTCGCCTGGTGCTTATGGCCACTAAGTTTCAATCACTAATATTGGTCGCTGTTGCCGTTTCAGTCCGTTTGTCTATGTTATCGACTGCGTAACTGTCTATTATATTTGGACGGAATATTTAAAATGCAATCGAATCATTGGTCATCAAATTAAAGGGAGAAAAATATTTTGTACTTTGAATAGGACACTGGGACGGAAAGCTAGTTCCATGTTTACGACTAGCGGGACTGAGTGACATGTGTAATTATAATAATAATAATAATAATATTTATTCTCAGAAGATTCAAATATAAAGGTCGATACATTATAGTGTATTGTTGAACGGGAATAAATATAGACCAATGAGTATTTGATAAGGATCTTCGTGATTTGAATATATGTTCAGATCTGCTTTAGCCGAGGCTAGACTGTATATCTGAACATAACATACTTATCATATTTATTATATTTAGTAGCTATAACTGACCTATCGATTACACCATAAACTAGTAAACTAAAATGTATATCTACTTGCAGTTAGTGGTACGATGATAAACAAAATGAAAGCATTAGAATTAAATTATTATGGTAACTATTTGATAATATATAATCATTGTTGAAACATACTAGGTGGATAATATTCTTTATTTCTGACAGTGACATTATAAGCTTATATCGTCATAGTTACGATATCTATTATGAGGGTCATAACTCCCTTGGGATGTTATAGATGCTATAATTCCCTCTAGCTAAAATTAAATAAGAAATGCATAGCAACAACCACGCAATAACGTAGCAATAAGGAATCTCCTATTCGCGGTAGTCAAGATCATCATCTGACGTTCTGATGACATTGAAACTATACGGAAAAACATGTCTAACCTCCAATCGGGAAGGTATCTAATGAATGAAATCAGTCAGAAATAAAATTATCTATGTATCACGGGAATTATAGAGCCTCAATAACCTCTGGCAATTGCTGTCCCTCGGGCCAGAGGCCCTCGGGACGCAAACTTTGCCATCGGTAATTAAGGCCCTCATAATTCCCTTAATACATAAATAACTATTATTTCTGACAGTGACATTATAAGCTTATATCGTCATAGTTACGATATCTATAATGAGGGTCATAACTCCCTTGGGATGTTATAGATGCTATAATTCCCTCTAGCTAAAATTAAATAAGAAATGCATAGCAACAACCACGCAATAACGTAGCAATAAGGAATCTCCTATTCGCGGTAGTCAAGATCATCATCTGACGTTCTGATGACATTGAAACTATACGGAAAAACATGTCTAACTTCCAATCGGGAAGGTATCTAATGAATGAAATCAGTCAGAAATAAAATTATCTATGTATCACGGGAATTATAGAGCCTTAATAACCTCTGGCAATTGCTGTCCCTTGGGCCAGAGGCCCTCGGGACGCAAACTTTGCCATCGGTAATTAAGGCCCTCATAATTCCCTTAATACATAAATAACTATTTTGATTGAATGGAGAGATATAATTTATCTACAGTATCATAATGAAATGATAAGAACAAAAATAAGAATAATAATGAGAATAATAATAAGAACAATAACAGGAACGATAATAAAAATGATGATAAGAGGAATACTAATAATAATAATAATGACGGTCCAGAGGTTTGAACAATATCATCATTATAGTAGTGTCACTGGTGTAGTTAATAACCAACGATCTAATATATTTTTTATATTTTTGGATTCAACCCCATTTTTTAAATCAAGAGGTAAATGATTATAAAGGCTCTGACCAATATACCGAAAACATCTTTGTCCAATGGACTTCTGAACTCTTGGTAGAACGATGTTTGCATTACTTCTGAAACGTGTATGGTACGGATTATTTTCTAGATTTCGTAAATTTCGTCCTACTTCATTATTTTTAACTAGATATAGCAGCGCAGTTTTGTAGAATAATTGCCTTATATCTAATATTTCTGTTCTTTCAAAAAGCAATTGTGAATCGGTTCTATATTTAGAACGGTAGGTCTCAGGAGGATATATGACCAGTTTGCAGAACTCGCCGTAAGTGTATAGTAAAAATAGAACAAGTCCCAGAATTGAACACTGAGACACTCGGTACTCAACATTTTACAACTTTTGCAGGAGTATTATGTATTATGTATGCAAACAATCAGTTTACATACTGTTTTTATAAACATACCTGTCAATTTTCTGGGCCTCCCCCGGCAAGCGGAACCCGTCCAGGAAATGCCGCAGCGCCGACACGAAGTCCATCTTCGTGAAGTCCATTTGGTCCACGTACGCGTACATGACCAGCTTGCAGAACTCGTCGTTGTCGCCGAGGAACTCGCCGATGTACGTCTTGTCCAGGCGCTCGTCCGTCTGCAGAAACTTGGCCACTTCTTCGTGGCTCTGGCCGAGGAGACCTTGTTCCTGCAGGTAGGATATGCCCTTGCGCGGTTTGCGATTGAAAGTGTCTATGCCCGTTTCCCATACCTGAAATGGGGTTGTACAGGGTGAACAACTAAGAACGGCTGTCGGCCATATCTCAGCAACGAATAATGATACAAGTTTGGGATAGAATAACGGCCGGTTCCATAAATGTCGTCAAAAAGTAACTTTACAAAAAGTCGTCTTTATCAAAAAGTCGACTTTGATATCGTCAAAAAGTCTGATGCGTTCCATGAAGTGGAAGCCAACGTCCTTTACCTAAAGATTCGTATATGTATTTTTCGTCATATCTCCGGCACTAAATTTGGTTTGAATGAACTATTTTTACACATCTGACGTTGTCAATTGAATTTGTCACATCGAGTTTCAATTATAAATTGCATCATAATAATGAGCACAGACACGCAATCGAAATCAAAAAGGAAAAAAAGCACGCCATTCACAAAAGAAGACGAAATTCGCTTGCTGTTAACCGAAAACTCTGACCTACAAGAGCTAGTTTTCTCGCAGTTGCTAAAGAGGAGTACTACAAGAAAAAAATGGAACTGATGGTGGAAGAAAGCCATTTCAGAAAAAATGCAGATAGAAGAGAAGAAGAGAATCACAAAGGAAAAATGGAATTGTTGAAATTAGAAATTGAAATCAAAAGAGAAGAGCTGATACAAGTGAAAGAAAAATATGCATTAAATGAAAAAAAAGTTTAATATAATATATGTTGGAAAAATGAGTTTTTTATAAATTGGTGAAATGTTCTCTAATAATTAATTGCTGAACATTCAAAGCTGCCATTCTATGGGGAATATCAGCTACATTGTTCACATTATTTTCTATCTGAAATTCATCCAAATTATCCAACCATTCTTGAGGAAAGTTTGCATTCATATCTAGTGCCATATTATGCAATACTGCAGTAGCTATGATTATGGACATCACAGTATCCAACTTGACCCTCATTCCTAAATGCAATACAGGAAAACGCCGTTTCCACACTCCATATTGTCTTTCGACGGTATTTCATGTTCTAATAATTGATTCATTAAATAGATTTTCGCTTTCATTTTCCACTCGAATCAGTTTTGTCATAAGATATGGTTCGAGCTGGTAGCCACTATCTCCCAATAGAATATATCTTCCATATCTTCCATCTTCAAATTGTTGTTTCAACCTGCTATTATTGAAAATAGTCTGATCATGGCATGAGCCAGGCCAACGTGCTACAATATCCCTAATTCTCAATGGAGCATCGCACACAGTCTGAACATTCAATGCAAAATATCCTTTTCGGCATAGATATATTTCTGCTTCAACACCTCCAATCTTCTGTAGTATTGCTAACACTGTAGGCTTTGTCAATCGAAATCTCTGGAAGAATTCAATATCATCAAATGTTTGGAGGCACTTTTGCCTCTGTGTGTAGATTTTCTCTCTCCTGAAAATCATTATATTATCTTCGTCACTCTCTGACGATGAGCTACTCGAACTTTCCATTAAACGATTCATTTCGAGCGAATACTTTGGAAATGTCAATCGTAACGTCAGGTGAAAATAAATCAAAGTAAAGTCGACTTTAACCATAAAAGGATCATATTTGAGACTTTACAGATAAAGTTCCTTTTTCGTTGAAGTTCCTTTGAAAATGAATTATGGAATCGAATCCACCACATAAAGGAAACTTTTTAAATGAAAGGGAACTCTTAGTTAATTATGAAACCGGCTGTAAATCTAATGGTATGCATATCATTACACGATGTAATAGAGATACTAAATCTCAACAGACCAACGAAAACCACGACATGTTAGCTATTCGCCAACGGAAGATATTAACTGTTAAAGTTTGAAGAATGTTGGATATGACAGCCATTCTTAGTTGTTCACCCGTGTAGAATACATTCTGTATATGATGATTGTTTTTTATAGTTACTTTTTATTATGATTATGATGTTGACATTCTGACTTGAGCAGTCAAAAAAAGTCTAATAAAATATTGAATATCTCGACTAGAAGACGAAATTGACGACTGTTACATTGATCTTTCGATTATATAAAGTATCCAGCCCTGTGGAAGACTCCGCAGAAGAAATTTTGACTATGAATATGAGCAGAAGACTTGCTGCTGGTAGACATAGTCATTTAGACGATAACTACGAGTGGTCTAGGAACTTTGGTCAGTCAAGGAACATGAATATACAAGAAGATCAAACAAATTCAAGAGAAGATTTAAAACGAATCACGATAGTAGATGTACAACGTGAATAATCTGAAGAATCAGATCTCAGGAATAATGATAAAAACACCAGGAATACTGCAATCAATGGTGGTGAATAAACAAAAATATCGAATGCATCATCTCATCATTTGATATGATCTAAGAATTCGAGAATGTCAAAATCAAGCATCGATTCTCAACAGAAGAAAATTGCTTTTGAAGCGGAAAAAGCAAGACAAATTTTGCTAGATGAAGCAAGGTACACACTTGTCGAGTTTACGCCACAAACCTATTTCGGACTAGGCCGGGAAGTATCACATCGTTGTTGTCACTGTAACTATGAAAATCTTGGTAGATATGGTTTCGATAAATGCAGATGATAATAACCACAGCAGTGAAATATCGGCTGACAGCTTTTTGTCATGAAATTAGACATTTTGATTTTTGAAAGTTTGGCTGCAATTATCGCAATAAACTATCGAAAGCAGCTGCGATAGTTAGTTTGAAAATGTTGATACGAAACACGTCCGAAAACAGTTTTTTTCGACTAGTAGACTTCCAGGAATCCAGGAAATAATGAAATTCGGCACCTTAGAAAAACGCAATTTTTGATGACGTCATGAACCGAACCGAGTCATCGTTATCAGAATTCTGGCTCTCGCATAAAAAGTAGGACCACATATTTCGTCGTTGCCAGATTTGTAACTAGTAATTACCTTATGAGATTCGATATGACCAATGACAACAGTATTAACATTCATAGAAGATAATAGTTCAACCTGGGCCCTAATAATCACTCATTGAATACTTACTTACTCGTAAAATGCTTCAGTACCAATAAAAATATCCCAATACTCTTAACAATGATCGAGATTTTATTTAAACCCATATTATTTTGTGGCAATGGCAACAGCCTAGATGCCTAGAGTTCCCAGAATAACAAGAGAAAGAAAAGTCTTTTACAAATCCATGTACTGTCTCTAATGAATCGAGATTTATTGATAGCAACACAGTTGTTAATCAAAGTCAGTAACACAATTCCAAAATCTCGTTAAAATAGTGAATTCACAATTAAATGTAATCAACAACATTCACACACAGAACGTGACAAAGCGACAGGACAGAAATGAGGTTGAACGATATACCAGTTATAAAATGGCGTCCGCCGCACATGCGCATGAAAATTTGGTTCTGGCCATCTGGCAGGAGACCGAAGCTTTGCAACTGGGTGAGGTAATCTGTGACCTGGATGGCGGGTTAATCAAAAAGAATAACAATTCCAACATCAATATTCAATCAACCATCACAATCATACCGGGTCTTCAACAATTATTGAAAACCACCTGACAGATTTCAATGCAACCAAGAATACATTCGTATCTCTTCAGCGTGGGTGGATATGAAACGCCGCATCAAAATCGGCCACGTGGCCAATCATTGTTGAAGACACGTTACAAATACAGTCCCCTATCATACCAACCATTGAACACTGCCATACTGTCACAAATGAGGAGATATTTGAAGCCAAATTCCAAAATTCTTATAAAATCATATTGGTTCGAAGTCATTGAATGGTCACGTCTGTGTTTATTATTTCCAAAATTATCAAACCACTAACTTTCGATTAGTAGTTGAACATAAACACAGGCATGGCATTGATAGATCATATGAAAGTTGTGAGGAAGTCAGTACAGGGGTCAATTCCGATAATTTGATTCGATTATAGATCATTCAGTGATTCGATCATTTACCACTGTGCCCGAACCGTCGGAGTTCGGGACAGAACAGAAGATGCCCTTTCTCTAAGGTCCCAGAAATATTAGATTCATAATGTATACTTATAGGATAAGTTGAGTTTCTTATATTTAAGAATAAACATGTGTATATGTTTTGTTTGAAAACCGTTTTGAGTATTATTTATTATTCTCACTCTTGAGGTTCATTCTCTGACGGATCGAGAGCACTACTTAGGCAACCCCCGCCTACAGTTTGTGACAAATACTAACCTCCTTTTGTTGTTTGAGAACCTCGAGCTGTTCCGGCGAATCCAGCACCTCCTTATTTCCACCGCCGCTATCGCTGGAATGAAAGCTGGCCGTTGACCCGCCATGGGCCGACTTCAACGAACTATTGTCGTTCTCTTTGCTCGGCTCCTGTTCCCCCACGGTGGACTGCAAATTCGGGTTCACGTACAGGTCTTTGCTCCACTCCACCATGCACTTCAGGATCGAGACGAGACACTCCAAGCCGCGCAGTTTCATCGCCCTCTCTTGGTTCTGAGAGGCTCCCAGCTCTATGGAATGCCTACCTTGCGCCACCTTCAAATTGTTCCACATTTGACATTCAATCTGGCAGTTTTCGAAACAGACTAGGCCCTATTCTCGACAAGTGATCTTTTGAAACAATGACAATGAGAAGTTGTGGAGATTATGAGTGAATTGATATAATATACTCCATCAAAGTAAACAGCACCATTGGATTCACGTACAGATCTTTGCTCCCTAACATACATTTCAGAATGGAGACACTCCAAGTTGCGCAGTTTTATCGCCCCTTCTTGGTTCTGGGAGGCTTCCAGCTCTATGGAATGTAGACCCTGCGCCACCTTCAAATTGTTCCACATTTGACACTTATTCTGACAGTTTTCGTAACAGACTGGGCAGAGATGTATAGAAATTTAACTGGTGGGCTCACTCTTCAATTGGTTCGTCAGACTAACTCTCGATATGGAACAATTGCAAGCGAGTTTTGGACGTGGGGTTCAGGTATTTGACGATAGAGGCGCCATAATCGGAAAATCGTTCAAAACCTTGGTTCTGTGAGGGATGAATCTATTTCCATCATTGTTCTGTGGTCGAATTCCGCCAGTAACATCTGTCAATTCGTATTCAGCGATTTAGATTCGAAAATTCGGAAAATTCGTACGAGATATAAAGTGTTTAGTGTTTTAATCCTGTAATTATAATTGTTGTTCATTAGTGTTTAATTCTTTAATTGTTGTTTGGTAGGTTTGTTGTTTGTTTGGTTTATAGTGTTTAGTTTTTATATTTCATTATGGACTGGCGTTGCTGCAATATATGCGGATCGTATAAAAATCCGCAACTCCGTATGTTTTCTGTACGAAAAGTAAATACGAATTCAACTAACTAACATTATAAGATTAAGATCATTAAAGTACAGACTTTTAGAAAGATGCCATTAATTGGTGATTATTTTATAAATAAATACTGTGCTCAACATTTTCATTCAAATTTCAATTTGAAATATAGAAGCAAGAAATCTTTTTTGTAGCCGATTTTAATAAGCTTCACTTCTTTCATGACATGAACCTATTTAAAGCATGAAATCTGATGAATTTTCTATTTGAAGAACCAGAACAAAGAATGTATCAACTATTGAAATAGACCAATATCGTAAATCATAATACACAGATATGGTATCGGGTTCTCACCTTAGGAATTTATTCACATCAGTTCACGCAAATATTTCAAATCACTGAAATAATACTGTTGTCGAACAGAGATTTTCTTTTTTCTATGGTGAATTAGGTATTATACAAAAAATTTGAAACTACCCTAACGAACACTTGACCCCAATCTCAGAAATAACCATTTTCTCAGCTCAAGAATATTTTTGACATATTGACGTTTCGATCCTTTGATCAGAAATCCGTTCACTGCTCTGATCCAAATCATATAGGTACGTATCCAAATAGTTATCGGTCGGTAATATGTTTCCTGTAAATATGGATTGTAACCAGGATGAGCTTAGCGAGATTTACCCACGTCAAGTATGTTTATCAAAGGTTTATCAGAGTAGGCGCCATCGAGAAACTTGCAAACGACCTTCAATAGGGAGCAAGCGCACCAGTTAAATTTCTATAAATCTCTGACTGGGCCCTCTCTCGACAGGTTAACTTTTAATACGTATAAAAAAACACAATGGCTGAAAATAGTGGGACTTTTCTGTAAATTGTGCCACATTTGACATTTATTGCCACAGTTTTTGAAACACACTGAGGCCCTATTCTCAACAAGTTATCTCTTAAAACAGTGACTAAAGAAGTGGTGGAGATTATGATTGAATTTATATAATAAGCTCCGTCAGAATAAACAGCCAGTTTGAAGTGACGTAAAGATCTTTGCTTCCTAACATACATTTCAGAATGGAGACACTACAAGTCGCGCAGTTTCATCGCCCCCTCTTGTTTCGGGGAGGCTCCCAGCTCTATGGAGTGCCGACCTCGCGCCACCTTCAAATTGTTCCACATTTGACATTTATTCTGACAGTAATAGACTGGGCCCTATTCTCGACAAGTTAACTTTTAATACGTATAAAAAACCACAATGGTTAATTAATTAGTGAGGCTCTTCTATAGGTCGCGTGCACGATGACCGACCCTGGAGGCAAAATATTGAAACACAACCTCATTTTTCTGTGAATTATTGAAACACAACCTCACTTTTTTACAGAGAAATCAAAGGATTGTATTAGTTTTTCACAATATTTTGGCATACGAATCGTGTTTTTAGCGCTATTCATTGATTCAAGCATGCCTTCGCATTGTGCTGTTGTACAATGCACAAAAAATGCACCGAGAGACGAAAGAATATGATTTTTCAGGTAAATAGTAATCTCACATAGTTATCATTATGAAATGTTGTCATTCCTTATTAAAATTCCTTCTGCCTTCTGAAACTTCTGCAATACTGCTAATAGATTGAAAATGTCAGACCAGTCCTCTCGATTGATTGCATGAATCCAATCTTCTTGCATTTTTTAGAAATTTCACGTGTATTTCTATTAGCCCCTATTGCAGAAGGAATTCCTATGAGAAATCAAAGAAATTACCAGATTTCAAAAATGAAAACTATATGTAACTATAGTAGGTACTTACTTTTACAATGTGATGGCATGAGCGAATTGATGAATAGCCGAAAAATACGATTCGTATGCCAGAATAATTGTGGAACTATTTTGATCACTTGTAAACAAATAAGAAAAGTGAGGTTGTGTTTTAATGTTGTGCCTCCAGGGTCGGTCATCTGACAGTTCTTGCACGCAACCCATATATTGTGCCACATTTGACATTCATTGCGACAGTTTTTGAAACAGACTGAGGCCCTATTCTCGACAAGTGATCACTTGAAACAATGCCTGAAAAAGTTGTGGAGATTATGATTGAATTGATACAATATGCTCCATCAAATTAAACAGGAAGTTTGGAGTGACGTACAGATCTTTGCTCCTAAATATACATTCCAGAATAGAGAGAGACACTAGAAGTCATGCAGTTTCATTGGCTTCTTCTCTTGGTTCAGGGAGGTTCCCAGCTCTATAAAGTGCCTACCCCGCACCACTCTCAAATTGTTCCACAATTGACATTCATTCTGGTATTTTTCAAAACAGACTGGGGCTCTTTACTTGACAGGTGAACTTTTGAAACGTAATAAAAACCACAATGGCAGGAAATAGTGGTGCAAAATATTATACCACATAATACACCAAAATAATAAGAAGGTAACAAAATTTTTAATGCTACCTTGGACCCTGGCATTATCAGTTATTTACCTTAAACAGATCATTGACTAGTCGCTCGAAGAGGTTAGCAGCGGAAAGATCGCAGTCATAGTTCACGTAAATGTCCACTACACTCTGCGCATCCCCGCATATCCGCGTCAGGGCTTGTATGACCATCCATTTGTGCTCGAACGAGGAATTGGTCGTCTCCAATATGTTGAGGAATATCTCCTTGAAGAAGACCTCGATCTGCATCTTCAAATGCAGCTTGAAATTGGACAGCAACGCCAGAAATATCGCCAAAGACAGTTCAAACACTTTGGGTATGGAACTAACCCCATTTTTGGACAGAGCCACACATAAATACTGCTTTATGGCTGTGATGAACATTTCGTTGGATCTGAAGACCGGTCCTGCGTTTTGCAGGATTGATAGTAGGAGTTGCAAAGAGAGGATTTTGGATCGGAGCTCGTGCGATTTCGGGTCTGGTGTACCTTCTGGCAGGGGTTTCATGGACAGTTTGCAGAGGGCTCGGAATACTAAAAAAGCGTCCTTTTGCAGTATGTGAGTGAATTTCGCTGTGACTGCTGAGTCGTTTTCGCTATGGATGTCCATGCTTTCTTGGGATGGTATTCTGAAAAATTGAAAATCAAAATAATGGACTTACTCCAGTGGAAATGGCGGCAACTGGCCGGGAAATGCTCAATTCCCGGACGCTTTTTCTCTACTTTCCGGACTAGGCCGGGAGGTATCTGACATGAAATTAGTTGACATTTTAATTTTTGAGTTTGGTTGCAATTATCGCAATAAACTATTGAAAGCAGCGGCGATAGTGAGTTTGAAAATGTCCATACTAAATTTACAATGTAGCTGTTAGTAAGTATAGGTATTCTGTTCAAATTTCAATATAATTTGATACAAATAAGAATTAAAATGTTCGAAATATTATTCTAGAAAGAAATATAATATGGAAATGTGTCTCATTGGTTTGTTATTCTACATGGCTGATGAAAAAATAGTGTGAGTTCTTCAAGTCTTTTTTGGCTCGCAGACTTCCAGGACTACAGCTCGGCATAGAATTTGGTCTACTCTCCAAAAAACAAAAATCTGTATTTTCCTGACCCCGTAAGTTACTATATTTTACAATGCTTAACATTATATGCGATGATTTGCCGAAATGATCAACAAAATCTAGGTAATTTTTAATAATAATGACAACAGAGATATACTTGTTGTATTCAGTATAATTAATCTAAGTCGGACTACTTCGCGGATAAATAAGATTCAGTAGTATCGAATCTGTGAAAACAGTTATAGAATAGAATGTACCATAATTCCAGCAAAAAATATATCGGACACTGAGATAGGGACTGTTTGACCTCGCTATCAATTGGTTATAGGCACCAGGCGAGTTCGCACTAGCACAATTAATGAAGAAACATTTTTAGTGGTTTGTTGATCAGTCGGCAGTATATGAACAGCCTGACAAAATAAGGTGGTTTGCTATCAAGGTTCTATACATGGTTCAACCTTGAGTGTCATTAATCATTTGTTATAATTGCAATAGTCGCAGGACACGTCTTATATTATCATTGGCATCCATAGTCAGCCGTTACCGGCCATGCAGTAGCCACAAACAGCAAGATATTACCTCAATTTCGAACATCAATATTATTATTGTATTATTCACTCAAAAGCCAATGATTCAGTCCAATTTGTAAATGTATTTGTATTGTAAATAAAGTTAACTTATCAAACCCGAAATTATATTGAATATTATAATAATTATATCAACAAACAAGTGATCCCGAACGAGAGCACTTCAAAACTGCCACCGGTCTTTCCATGTGTAACGTATCTGACACCTCATCGCTTAATCACACCCGTGATATCACTGTCCTAGTCATATTCCTGTATTCTTGAGATAACGACAGTCGTACTACTTTGATGTCTGCTACAATATTATATAATTATTATTCGTGCACCACTAAACTCTGCAATCATTCTCACATATTCGTATTTAGGGTTACTACTACCTACTTTCTTCTTATCTGAAATTTACTATATGATGTACTATAATACATCCAGCAACCATAAATAGGCAGTATACAGGGTGCTCGTTTTTTCGAGCACCACCATGGGGATCTCAGTTATTATAAGTAGGGTCCCTTGATGCAAATTGACGTATTTGTCGTCTCAACAGGGTACGGACAGATCCTCATCTCCTATCACTCTAGAGTGTTTATGAAACAGTTATATAGTTCCATCTTTATTCATTTCTGGGGATAAACACTAGATTTCTGACATTTGTTGTTTTTTAGGTTATATTGAGGACATTGACGTATCATACGTAATTTCCAAATGTAATTTCCCATTCAACTCTACATATTATATCCAAATGATGATGATTTTCGAGTTTTAGAATTTTCAACTCCAGCATAATCTTTGAGGCAGTGAGCAAATTTGTCTGAAAGTTTGATATGTTTCACCAAATGGGACTGTTCTTAGGCAGTACCTATCAATAAATGAATTTTGATTTGAAACTAAGCCATATGGTTGAGAAATGGTGAGAAATGTTATGTAGGTATTCAATCTATTGTGCTCATATGTCATGTGTGCGGTATATATTCATGTTGGGAATCATATTTGCAGTAATTTACGAACACTCAATATTTCCTGAATGTAGATATAATTTTTTGAATGGTAGGGCATATGCCTCTTCTTTTAATCTTCCGTTTTGATCAAAACTGTTTCTACTAAAATGCATTCAAAACTTGTGGAGTGGATGATTATCGCCACAATGAGAAAGTATAATATGTGATTTCGTATTAGTTTTACCTCGAATATTTTGCTGACGTATTTACCAAGTTTCCCCATTCGGTCACTTCACTTTCCATGTTCATTTGCATTTGATGGGAAGCTGACAAATTCAAATTTGCCGTCCAACTGATTGATACAGCCTAACGCAGCACATGTTACTATCCTTCCAAAACAGAATTGAATAATGTCATATCAAGATAACATATGAAATTAAAATCTTTTAACGCCTATGAATGTGACGTGACAGCAATGTCATGTCAGGGACGCCAATACACGAAACCAAAGTCACTAGCTGGTTAAAACAGAAAGGAAGCTATGATCTGTCCATACCCTGTCAGATGACAAATACGTCAGTTTGCATCAAGGGCAAAGTATATAACGTATGGTCCGAAAGTTTTGGGAAAAAATCAGATGCCGACAACTCTTAGAAATAAATTTTCATAATCTTAACAAATAATCTTACAATATCTTTCAACTATTCTTATCACTACCTAAAGTTCAAATAATCGACAAGGGACCGTTGTCTTCGATCTGCCTGAGTTTTCCTCTGACGCGTTGCATCATCCTTTGGACGACCCCAGCGTTGATTTCTCTGATTTTTCCCGATATACGACGTCGGAGTTGTTCTTGATTTTGTGCTTCCCATCCGTTATTGTAGACTTTCCGGCTCAATATTGCCCAGAAGTCTTCAATTGGGCGTGCCTGAGGTAGGTTGGGGGGATTGTCCACTTTCGGTACAAAGTTGATGTCATTGGCCCCATACCAATCCCTTGTGATTCTCGCATAATGGCATGAAGCAAGATCTGGCCAAAACAAAATTTCGTCATTCGCATGATTTGTATTCAAAAACTGAAGCAATTTAGAAAGACATCTGTCAATATATCGCTCTGCATTTAAGGCCTCACCACGAACAACGCCAATGTAGGGCTGTGAAATGAAACCAGCCTCAGAAATGGCACACCATACCTAAATTTTGTCCTCAAACTCCCTTTTGCTCTTGAATCTCACATCGTCAGAAACAATTGCGTGATCGTCCGTGTAGAAACCATCATTGCCCTTCATCTCAGAGTTGGTCAAAGTGAAATATTTTTCGTCGTCCATCACAATAAACTTGTTGGCAAAATGCACTCGCCTCAACGCGCGGCAACATCTTGGAATTCATTCTAACTGAGCCTCTGTGTATTTTGGAGCTTTTCTCCTTTTCCTGAACAAAACATTGCGTCTTGATAGGGTCTTAAACACCGTAGTCTTTCCAACATGAAATCTTCTGACCAGTTTTCGCTGTGAGATCCCAATTCTGTGTTTAGCTGCTCGAATAAGTCTCCGCTCTCTTAATTGGTTCAAAACCCGCGGCCAACCGTTTTTTGGCAGGTTCATACATGGTATCCCTTCTTCACAATCTTTAATTGTACGATATATTGTCGATTTACTTATGTTCTGATCTTGAAAAATATCGACAATCTCTCGTTTCGTCATTCGCCCAACGAGATTATAAATACCTCGTCGAAGATCAATTTTATAAGACATTTTGGTAAGCGCAAACCAACAACATTTGCATTGCTTATTTAGATGACAAGACGGGTGACATTCAATTACCACGTCTGCATGATTAAATGCATTCTGTCACTCAATCAAACCAGGTGAATTTTTTTCCCAAAACTTTCGGACCATACGTTAGAAGGAAACACAGAACAAAAATACCCAAATAGAAGTGGCTGATTGCCCGAATGACGTAATTTCAACTACAAAATAGCCACAATGCTCAAGGTGGAATGAAATGTTGCGATTCATTTACTCATGATATAATCTCCAAAAGTAAAAAAAAAATCCAAACGAATTTTTCAATTACAAATATAAATATGGGTGTAAAGCTGTTTTCCAGTGCGGCTAGTTATTATTTGGCGCATGTGCTGTCGTCAATTATGGAAGAAATAAATTTCTTGGTTGAATGTTGGCCAACTTTCTTAGTTTTATTTTTTTAGTTTCTTGCATGAGCACCTACATTACATTCATATTCATCATGGTTTCATATTATTGGTTTAGGTTTAAAATTCATTCAAGTTTTAAAGTTGGCTTGCATGAATCCACCTTAACTTACCTCGTCATTGACGATGTAATGCTTTGTGTTTCAACTTCCGGCGAATTCAAGCCATACTCAACCTGCTGTTTATTCTCCCCCACTTCAGCCAGAACATTATCCAAAACATTAGCCAAAACTTCTTCGACGATCTGCTCCCCAGTCACCTCTACCTCCGCACTGTCGCTCCTAACCTCGCTTTCCGGTCCGTCGATCTTCAATGACTTGACCGACTTCGAATCGTTACTGACCTGCAAGATCTAATTCACTATACCGGGTGATAACAATTTGAAATTCATAAGGGTTATATTATCGATGATGGCGCTTCCCTTGAACCGAATGACAGTTTTCTTCAACCACCTGTTTGATCGGAAGTAGACCCAACTTTTTTATTTCAAATGGCACCCTGTATATTTCTACAATTCATCCATGATCTAAATTATTTCTGTAATTTTGTCATTTCACACTTAAGACCATAGTGGTGATCATGTATTCTAGTTGAAAGTTTGAAAAAATGTAGAGGTGATTTTCGGGAGACTAACTTTCAAACACTTGAAGTCTCCGTTTTGAAGAAAAACAAAAAATTTAAATATCCCAAAAACTATCAACTTTTGCATAATGCATATTAGGGATCAATATACTCCCTACCAACTTCTCTATCACATCTAAAATAGTAGATTGTTTTATTAGGATCAAAAGTGACACTTTGTTTGACAAGCGAATTTTGCATTTGCGAGGCGGAGTGTTCAGCGAAGCCGAGCGAAAGCAAAATTTGCGAGTCGAACAAAGTCACTTTTGATCCGAATGAAACATGCTATTTTTTCTGCAACCGAAACAATTAACTCAAATAAACATGTGAAGTAACCACCAATGCCGTGCCATATGTATGCAATGCAACAAATATTGACAAATAATTCATGTGGTGAGAATATTCTACCTGCATTAACAGCAGGTTAGGTTTTCAAGGATGTTCGAATTGTAGTTTCAATATAAATACAACCACAGTGTGACATATTTGTGTATGGACCAGGTGCTCTATAATGGCAAATACCGCGCCAGTGCCAGCTATATAGGAACAAGACGTGGAAAATGTTAAGTTAGTGAGCATATCAACAATGATAATAGTGATTATTTATTCCTCTCCATACTACACTGTGTTTGACTTGATAATCAAATGAAGATAAACAATATCGTTGTTTGAGACAAAAAAACTATTGCTTGCCGTGATTATTCAAAAACAAGTTATCCATCCCGAGAATAACGAATGAAATACAGATCAAGCAAGTATTTGAATCTTGAAGGCTTCCCTGATCAAAACAAAAATACTTAACTGAGATGTTTATAATTCCAATACTAAACTATAGTAAGGTGTATTTATATCTCCAGCATGAGTATGAAATGCCAAATCTGCTGAAATCGGAAACAAATCAGGTATGCGTCTCAACCCAAATAACCAGCCGTCACAATGTTGTTTATTCTTGATGACGCCCAGTATATCCTTTTTAGTTGGAACTAAAATTCAACTTTAGCTCCTGGGAACTAAATATGTTGCCTAGCAACATACCTATTTTCGTGTCAGTAATAGAAACGTCAATTTGAGAGCTAATTTTAGTATCAAAATGGACGACTTTTGTGTCGGTTGCAGAAAAAGAAATGTATCGAATTACCAATAACCCTGTATATTCAACAAACTGAAAACGTGTCTTTTGAAATGATTGGAATAATCAGCTTTAATCATGACGGGTAATGTGAATGAAATATCCCTCTTATATTCTAGCAGCCTTGACAGACCTGCACAGAGTTCAGTTCCGCCTGAACTTCCGCTTCTACCGCCTGATTTTCCATCCTCGTGAAAATGACGTTCAGCATTTGAGTCAAGGTGGCGCGCGCTGTCGTCTGGTTGATGAGGTTCTTGCTGGCCAGGAAGATGTTGTAACAAGCGCGGACGGCCATGAGAACGGTGCCTTCGTGCACTTCGACATGTTGGCTGGTGACTACCGTCAAAAGGGCTTTGATGATTTGCAATTGGACGCCTGGAAATGGACATGACCTTCTTGGTTAGTAGAGATTGTAGGCGCAAACAACGCTATGTTAGGAGTTTGAAAACCTCCGGTAGAAGGTGACAATGACCTGATGAATAATGTTGATAGGAGCTGTCAAGAAAAATAAAAGATACGTCAATATATTTCATTTTCAAGAAGTTCATTCCATTCGATTCCCCAGTTATCTAAGAGCTACTAATCGACCTGCACCACACGACTGGGCAGACCCCCATAAGAGAATAGATGAGGCATCATCGTGAGCTCTACACCAAAGAACTACTAGTGAATATAAGTTCGAGTATTTTCATTTCAAAACACACATTTACTGCGTCATTTGAACTTCCGTGAATCAAGCGACACAGTATCAGCCACCTTGGATCTCGTGTCTGGATTACAACTCCAACTAGACCAAGTGAATAAAGTAGCAATGGTGTCCCTTGACTTCAAAAAGCTTTCGATACTGTTGATCACACAGTATTATTAGTTGAAGTCAATAATATTTGTAGCTCCATAAGAGAGATCAAAGGTGGTGTACCGAAAGGTTCCGTTTTAGGTCCAATTTTATTTTTAATTTACATCAATTCAATATCATACATGTTGACTGGTGACTACCCTCAGGAGCGCTTTGATGATTTGCAATTGGACGCCTGAAAATGGACATGACCTTCTGGGCTAGTAGAGAGAATACAGGAGCTATATACCAAAAAACTACCAGTAAATATTAGAGTCACTGAATGGTATTAGTAAGATAAGAGTTCGGACACAGAAATAACAACTGTTAGTGTTTTTGAATGTTTAGATTTATCAAGTTACACACATTGCATTGTGACAAGAGCACCGCGCTTTTTCATTAAAAATTGTTTGTATTTCACAATAAATTTTATGAACGTTAGAATTGAAATACAAGTTCATAAACTATTTTGAAGAGATCATAAATGAAAATGTCCTGCTGTGTAATGAATTGTGGGAATTCTCAAGGAAGTGGCAATTTCATTTCTTTTATTTTCCGAAGGAAATATCACTTATTTCCTTAAATATATATTTATATACATATATAATTCCTTTATGTAGCCAATGAATAATAAAAGAGTTTTTTTTATGTTCTGGTTCCCACGAAAAGGGATATCCTGTAATGTTCAGAGAACATCAAGAACCCAGGGAAATAATAAGTTAGGAATTGGTGTGCGAAGCCTCAACTCGACGGGTTAATCTCGCGGAGACTGCCAATTGTTGATATTTCAGAAGAGCACTGTCCATGAAAATATCTATAAAATAGAGCCAGATCGCCAACTTTTCTACGGTGTTCCAGAGAAGTGAGTGAGTTTTTAAGCGAGGCATCACCCACGAGACGAATTGCCCTTTTTTTTACAGAATCCAACACTTACAGGGTATGTTTGGGTGCTGCACTCCAAATATGGGAACAGTATTCCAGGACAGGTCGGATCTGTGCCTTATAGATCATAAGCAGCTGACTGGAAGTGAAATAGCTCCTGGCCCGAAACAGAAAACGAAGTTTTTGGGATGCACTTTTAGCAATTGATCTTACGTGATTTTCCCAAGAGAGGTTATTGCTGATAGTAATACCAAGCATCGAAATGGATGTCTTCAAAGGTATGGTTACTCCTGACAAGCTTATGTTGGGCACAGTGAGATCGGCTTTTCTAGAGAAAAGACATGCTTGTGTTTTGTTTGCATTGAAATCTACCAAGTTATTGGATTCCCATTCGAGAATTGATTTTTAGAGGGTCGCAAGGCATAGGGCCGGGTTGCCATTTGACTGTTTAAAAAAATTAACCTCTTTCCCTACCTAGGTACATACATAAATATGTACCCGCCCAGATCAAAGATCAAAAAAAGAAATTTGAAAATATAAGTTTATCTGCCAGAACGTGTACCCGGCGCACTGAAGATTTGGGTAATAATTCATTCTAGGAACACGGAGAAAAGGCACAATTACTTGAATGGTTCTCAATAGCTACCGACGAAAGTATTGACGTTTCAGATACTGCTCAGCTTCCTCGCCAGCTTCTATTTGTCCGTGGAATCGATGACAACTTTAATGTATGTGAGGAACTTTAATGTATGTGAGGAACTTTAATGTATGTGAGGAACTTTTACAGTTATGTAGTTTGAAAGGAACAACTACAGGAGAAGAACAATTTCGTCAATTATAGCAAGCGTTTCACATATGAATATTTGAGAGCTATCCTATGGATTGCAACTACAAACCTGGAAGCTAACATACAACAAATAGCCACTCAAATTCAGCCTCATATACCACACTAATTTTTGTAGAATACCTAAATTTTTCGTATTCATCAGAATTATGAACTAGTGCCTTCAATTCAATTTGCCACTATGTGGCCCTTGCCTGCCAAAAGGTTGCCGACCGCTAAGGAATTGTATATTGAATACGGATACCGTTATGATATTTTTTTACTGAGCCAAACCAACTTATTTTGCAGTGACAGAAATGAGAATAGAAAACCCCAGAAAATCAAGAGAAATGGCCAGGTTTTATTGTTAAGACTTTTTCCCAGATTACTAAAAATATGTGGAGATGCAAAACTACCATTTGAATATATGGTATAAGCTCAAATTTTTAATAGGAAAAGGTACTTTGTCAGTATTTTGCAATTTATTACTTGAATTCATGCACCCGAGGGACACACAACTTTTCAAATACAGTGTAATTATTGTAATTTTCTATGAATAAATATCTATCTATCTATACTGGAATTCTCAGATTCTCAAGTACATTTCCATTATTTCAATCAACTATATCACTTTTCCAATATTTTGATTTCTTCTCTAGTATCTTATCATAATTAATTTTCAAATAATTAGGCCACATTGATAATATTCAGACTTTTCCATATTCTTCATTATAATTCATATTATTTTGAATCATTTTAAATTATTTCCAAAACTTTTCCATTATCTCAAATACTTTTACAGTACTTCAAATACTTTCAGTATCTTCAAGAAGAAATTTTCAATAAATCTTTCATTCTTCTTAAATATTTCTTGACTTACAAATACATACCAAGTTTTCAAAATATGGTGTATACAATTATTTGCTCCTAATATGCATCAAATACTTTATAGTGATTGTATTTCCAGAATTCTCAATAACCTTGATTAGCTACTTTTTCAATATATCATTTAGTTTAGAATTTTTTCAAAATTAAAATGCATGGCCCTGTCCATAATAATACCAGTGTGAAAACCCTTGTCTGGAAAAGGTTGATAATAAATAAAAACATTTCTGGAAGATACCCTCAACCATAGTGATCAGTACAAACTCACCAAATAAGCAATGTCAAAAAGTTAAAACAGCAGAAAGTCAGTCTCAATTGGGTACTCACCATTATCAAGGGTAGTTCTCAAGAACTACAAAATTTGAAAGGGGTTAGATATACCAACTTTATTGAAACATTGAAAAGGAACATTCTCAGATATATTTTTTATGAACACAAAAAAAATGGATCTATATTAAAAGAAATACATTGAGAATTCGCATTCTCCAAGTGATGAAAATATCAATTCTTTCACAGTTTATTCAACAGAAAACAAATACTTTCCTGGCTATATGTCATGACAAATATTGAATTACATCTATTGAACACACAGGATGAGAATTTGAAAACAAAATCTTCTGAAGTAGAGCATTTGCATTCTCCTTCATATAATGATATGCATATAATATAATTCTGAATATTTAACAGGAAACAACTACTTTCCTGGCTATAGGGGTATAAAATAGTGACAGCTCCTTGTGATACTTATTGGTATTCCTTCTTTCCTTCTTTCTTCCTTCGGATCAATTGATATGATCCAATCTATCAATCTATTGATATGTATACTTTCATTTTCTTCAAATGTACTCCCATATATGTTGCTTATATTTATATTTACGTTACTTAACAAGGATGTAAGATATCCATAGATTTGTAATTCATATATATATATTTTGTATATTAGGCTTGCCTACTTAAATAAATAAATAAATATGGAAGGAGAGGATATACTATGTTCTCATCTTTAATATGTGGTGAAAAAAAAAACAGAAATGCCATGATTTAGATTTTCTTACATTACAACAAGAAAACAGAAACACCAATTTCATCAGCAATATACAATACATGTATTCCAATTTATCTAGTTTGAATATCAGTTTCTTCAGTAGCCATGGAGGTGGCCATAGATATTTTGTCTGGTCACAATAAAGTGTGAAATGGTTTTTATTTATGCATATGGGCTCATGCCATCACAAGCACCATTGCATCAAGGATTTCTAATTTTTAGTTTCTGTTTCCATACTGGTCAGAATGTTGTATGTCTCTGATTTATCATATTGATGGGTTTAATATTGGTCCAAATTTGGTTAAAATGGCAGGAAGAATGGCATTACCAATAACCCAGATGAAGGGGGTGTGGATATTTGATTGATTTGATGTGACACACTGTAGTGTAGTGAGACATACTGTGTCCATCAAGATGTAATCAATAATTTCATTCTGAAGAATCTTTATGTTTGATTTTCTGAATATGATGGAAAAAACATATATTGAAAATGTCTTACCTTCATCAGTTTGAGGTCCAGTAAAACAAGAACAAATAGTTTCAACAATCCTGTCAATCAATAATTTTCCAGGTGTAGTAGAGTCAGGAATATTGGCTGTCAAATGACCATAAGCAATAAGTTTCTGTAGGCAATCCAAAGCAGTAACAACTATCCTGGAAGACTTGCTCTGGCATGCCAATTCAAAAGGAAGAAAGTACTTTTCTGTGGTAATTATGTTTGCTTCCCCACTTTTTGGCAGAGGAAGAGCATCAGAAACTCTATCATCCTCAGTCCTCTCTTCAATAGTTTCATTTTTAATTTGTTCTGAAAATAAATTTGGTGTAGACATCATTTATTCATTAGTGTTCAATTCATTTTGCAATCTTGAACTAATTTCTGAGCCTGACTGAGAAATTATTTAGTTAGCTAAATGATTGAAAAATGTTACATGACTATAGATTATACTTTAAGCTCTAGTAAGGAGTTTATTAATCAGTCTGGTCTTTTCTATACTGCAGCCAACCCATGTATGGCCCTATGATTGTTTAGTCTATCCAGATAATTCAGTGAAATCCTCAGATATTCCCTGGGATATTGCAGAAAAATACACTATTATTATTGTCAAGATTATTGTGATGCATCAGTATAATAAACATTATACCTGTTGAGTATGTGAATTGGTTTTGATTTTGAGCCTTGTTATCTATAAATTATTGACTTCATAGCCTGACCATAGATGAACACATTCATATCAGAGAATAGGTGAAAGCATAGATTAAACAAACGTGAAAGTAAATAAAAAATGCTTGTTTAAAAATTTCATAGCTGTGTTGATGATGAAAACAATAAATGAACAATATTTCCTTACCAAGTGCAGCTTCACAAGCTCTTTTCAGTTGAGAATGATAGGATCTTTTGATTTCCTTATCATTGAGTATTTTCTCCAAAGCCCTTAATATGAACATTTCCTTGGTTTTCGAATTAGATTGCATTTTAACTATGTGAATGGAAAGTTTAATTATGGAAACCCCACAAATATTTCAAGGGGATCATCGCATCTGACGTGTAGAATAGAAAAAGGAAATATCAATGTGGATATTAGTATGCTGACATCCAGAATTCAACCCTTGAAAGATCATGTATCCATTTCCAGAAATATAAACATTGTTTGAAGCTTATTGTAGACCTGAGCACAAATATCACTATTTCTACTATATTTTCTTAAGATATTTCAATTTCAATTTTCAATACTTTTTCTTTACAGCTTTCATCACAACATTTGACATTTGTTTACTTGACAACAATGACCAATGACAATTCCACTCCACTTTGAACTTTGACATTAGATGACATTTGACAAGAATATGACAAATGGCAGAACAATAAACAGGAAATGCTTTGATAGCCGGCGCCGGCTACCGAAATGGCGATAATTCAAACAACCATGACTTTCGGAACTGATGCATCTTGGGATAGAAACGCGTACACCACCTATCGGAGTTCATGAAAGCAGTCAAAGCGGTTTCCATTGGTTCACTTCGGTTTTTTTTGTATGCGATTATTGGTCACATCGATCAAAACAAACCGCTCAGAAGTGTTCAACTTGTTGCCGCCAGGTAGAGCTACGTGTTATTTTCTATCGCGTTGATGATATCCTCATATTCTTGATGGCCAACGGACCAAATAAACATCAATCGCGACAAAAAAAATACAGAAATGGTGCAAGTACGTTAATTAAATTTTTCATGGTGTTCAATAAAATTCTGATAATTGGGTTCCTATTTACATTCAAAAGAGAATTCGTACAATGACATCTCTTTTGTATTCTAGTTTCGAGCTCGATTTTTTTTCTGTATGTTTGAAATGGTATGAATGGATTTACCTGATTATTTTTACCTGCTTGATGGTTACTAAAATCAAACAATTAGTGTTTTTTTTTAAATATTCAGGTTTTTTTTTGACTACTGATATTGGTAATAAGAATGGGCATTTGTTCCACATCAGGTGGTAGGAAATCTAATTTTCAATTTGAAGGCATTTGATCTCGAGTAATGAAAAAATAACGCGTCGTGCGGCGCTTTTTCCTCTTGTGAAGGTACTCTTTGAATAAAAAACGTCTCTTATATACAGGGTGTCCCTAAAAGGCATTAAAAAAAACTCACCATCACATATATTCCTCAGAACAAAACAATTCGATAAAAGCAAACTTACCTTAGTACAAAGTTGCTTTTGGGCGCTAGACGAATCTGAAGTTTCAACTCTCAAATCGTTTTTGCTTCATGACTTTTAAACGATCACCCATGATATTCAACTCAAATCTGGTTTGGTACGTGGGCAAAGCTTTATTGGGCAATAAAATCCATGTCATGATTTCGATGAATATATCATGGTTATAGAGCTTGATTTTTCGGTAAATAAACATCTATAAATTCTACCTACTCCCAATGAAAGAAAGTAGTTTGAATCCCATTATAGACGTGATGGCCACCCTGTACGAATACGTTCGCATCTAGACTCAATTATTTAGGTAGTAGTATAAATAAGTAGGTTCAAAAAAGTTATTGAAATTAAAAATAGGAAAAAAGTTGTAGATTTTAGCTCAAGTTTATTGCGTTGTCTTCCGAGGCGTAGCGGAGGGACACAAAAAACCGTGGGGTAAAATCTAATATTTTTCCCGTGGTAAAATAGTTATTCATTATACAAGGGAAAAAAGTAGTAGATTTTAGCTCCAGGTTGTATTGCCTCCCGACGCGTATACAGGGTGATTCAAAAGTAAGCGGCATCCTTTCAGAGGCGTATTCCTTGCATGAAAATAAGGCAAAAAGTTCCTATTGATAAGGATCCGAAAATGCTTCCTAAGGGAGCTACGGCCCTTTGAATAGGACACCTCAAAGACGGTTTTTTCTCTATAACTTTAAAATCCTTCACAACAAATTTTTAAAAATTGGTGTACGGCATAAACATTCGATGGTAAATAGGACTCCGTATTCGAAATAATTTCCAAACGAAATCACAGTAACCTGAATATCCGGAGAAGAAGGGATATTTTTACACTTACCCTCTCCCGCATGTGACGCCCCTGAATGAAATTCTGAAATTTCGAATACGGAGTCCTATTTACCATCGAATGTTGCCGTACACCAATTTTTAAAAATTTGTTGTGAAGGATTTTAAAGTTATAGAGAAAAAACCGTCTTTGAGGTGTCCTATTCAAAGGGCCGTAGCTCCCTTAGGAAGCATTTTCGGATCCTTATCAATAGGAACTTTTTGCCTTATTTTCAAGCAAGGAATACGCCTCTGAAAGGATGCCGCTTACTTTTGAATCACCCTGTACCGGGTGATTCAATAAGGGTGACGAGGTACTGTATCTCAGGAACTAATAGTCGTAGAAGTTTGGGAAAAAAAATTTTTCGAGGAAATCGACCAAGAAAAACTGCTGGAAATATTTTTTGAATCCATACGTCCATCGCTAGGGGGCGTAATAGCTTCGATCGTATGAAAAATGTAATTTTTTCGAATTTTTTCCAATATAAGTTTAGAAATGAATACTCTCACGTCAATGTCATCCTAATGGTCCATCTTTTTGTTGAATAGATTTTCATTGTAGGACGTAAAATGAAGGCGGGAGGGAATGCTAAACTTTTTGGACTGTAAATGTCTATAACTTTGGTTTGACGTATCGGAAATTTGCTAACAAGGTTTTGTTCGTGAAAGGAAGGCTTGGTAAACAAATTAAAAAACCATCTATGCCATTCTGGTTATCATCGCGCTCGTTAGGGGGCGTGTTTTATAAATTTAACCGTTTTTTTCAATTTTGCTCCTAAATCTTAAATGGAACCGTATGATTTTCTTATTAGATTCCGAAAGTAGATAAAATTTACAACACAACATGTCCAAACCGCATGGCGATATCTTCATTTGTTCAAAAGTTATGGCTCAAAGAATAGTTCATTGACGAATTTATTGATGAAACAAAATATTTTATTGAGTTTTCAATTTTTTTTTTGTAATATGCGTAGACCAGCATGCCATGAACAAATAAAAAAAACGAAAAAAAAAAAAGTCAGTTAAAAACTTTACTATTATAGTTAGTAGCGTAGGTATTAAAATTCAAATATATCCAATTTCTTAGAAAGCCGTGAAAACACTTGGTAGACAGTTTCTATGGAAACGCCGATTTTCCACAAATAGACAGTTTATTATTTGACATTCGAATTTGTAAAGAACCTAATTCGTCAATGAACTATTCTTTGAGCCATAACTTTTAAACAAATGAAGATATCGCCATGCGGTCTGGACATGTTGTGTTGCAAATTTTATCTACTTTCGGAATCTAATAAAAAAATCATACGGTTCCATTTAATATTTCGAAGCAAAATTGAAAAAAACGGTTAAATTTATAAAACACGCCCCCTAACGAGCGCGATGATAACCAGAATGGCATAGATGGTTTTTTAATTTGTTCACCAAGCCTTCCTTTCACGAACAAAACCTTGTTAGCAAATTTCCGATACGTCAAACTAAAGTTATAGACATTTACAGTCCAAAAAGTTCAGCATTCCCTCCCGCCTTCATTTTACGTCCTACAATGAAAATTTATTCAACAAAAAGATGGACCATTAGGATGACATCGACGTGAGAGTATTCATTTCTAAACTTATATTGAAAAAATTCGAAAAAATTACATTTTTCATACGATCGAAGCTATTACGCCCCCTAGCGGTGGACGTTTGGATTCAAAAAATATTTCCAGCAGTTTTTCTTGGTCGATTTCCTCGAAAGAATTTTTTTCCCAAACTTCTACGACTATTAGTTCCTGAGATACAGTACCTCGTCACCCTTATTGAATCACCCGGTATATAGCGGAGGGAGACAAAAAACCGTGAGCTAAAATGTAATTTTTTCCCGTGTATAATACACTATTTTTTTCTGTGACAGAAGAAAGGACGAATCAATATTGAGAAGATATTACATTATCTTGAAATCCGAAAATTATCGACGTGAAATTTTAAGTTTTGAACAGAGTAGGGACACCTGCGTTGTAGGCATCTTTATCATTCTTTTGCGAAGTAATCAAATATCTGATGTCACTTCTGTCAGTCTAATTCTCTGTGATTTGATTTCAAATTATTGCGAATTTAGTGGTTGTTTAGTAATATACGTAACCGCGAAGTCGAATGGAAGATAAAAGGACTTGCAGTTCTTTCTCGGAGACGGTATTATTGACTCATTTTTTGGAACTATAGCACCACAAATCGACGATCGGTGGACCTTTCAATCAAGGTGTCACATGACCCCTATTTGTATTTGAAAAAATCGTCCATTACGTCTTCACTCCAACACCGGTGACGTAACATCTCTCATATGAATATCATGAGATGAGGCTTCAGAAATTAAAACTCACGTGTTTTTGGAATTTTTTCAAATGTCGCCCATTTCTGAAATAATGAATTTATTCCATACATTTGCATTATACTGTATATAATTATATATTATGTGATATATATCCGGGAAAAAAGTACTCACTTTTTTCCCACGGGAGAAAAGTAATTTATGAAAAGTGACATTTTATAACCTGCCAACAGAGATGAAATGCCAAACTTTTTTCCCGTCACAGAAAAAACATATTTTTTGCTTTACTCCCCCATAGAAAAAAATATCTACGTCCTTGAGTACTGAATTTCATGTGGAAACGACTGAAACAGGATGCATTCAGAATATTAGGTCAGGATAGGGAAAAATCAACAAGTCATATTAATGAAAACAAAAGATTTTATTTTTTCAAAAATATGATATACATAATCAAAGTCCACCTATTATTGATATAAAACTGAATCAAATTCAATTGAGAAAATTCATGTAGATCAAATGATTCAAAATAATACTAAAAATTAAAAAAAAATGAGAAGTATAGTTGAAATAATTTTTCTTTCAACAAACTCCTTGGCACATGAATTATCGTATTGGAACTGATTTAATAATATATAGGGACAAAATGGCAAACTAGATAATTTACACCATTTCAAGCATGAGTGTTAGTTGATGAGTATCATTGCAAAATAAAATTATTTCCTCAAATGGCCAAAATTTTGTCTCGATATATTGATTGAGAAACACACTGAAACACACAGAGAATAACTGATGAACTTGTTTTAAGCTGAATTAAAAAAATCTGTGGAATTTGCAGAAAGATTTTGTGTGTGTTGTGTTTCAAGGAACATAAAAAATAAACCTATTTAAGTATGATTTTCAACCAAACCCTGTATTATCAACTTCTCTTTTGTCCATCATCTGGAGAAAAAAATATCCAGATTCAGGTGATAAGGCACCAAGTCACACAGTTCCTTCGGAACTATAAATACTGATTTTCCTTACTGTGTTCACTTGTGTAAGCGTTCAAAACTTCTACTGGAATATAAAGATAACTTTTATATGAAAAATAAAACCGAACCATTCTATTCATTATTCATTTTAGGTTTGATATAATAACCTGATATTTTCAAAATTGTTCATTTAAACTTTTCAATGGGTAATTTATGAATCAATGAATAAAATAATGAGGTAGTATTTGAATAAAATATTATCAACTTCACGAATGACATCAATTTTTCACATGATTGAGTTTCGTATTTAGTTAAACTAATTGATCATCATCATCATCAAAGTAGGTACATTCGATAGTAAAAAAAATCAATTTTGAAAAATTGATATCATTGTAATATTTAGAAATATTACCCATTCTGTTTTCAAACTTTCATAGGAACTTTCAGGTATCGACGCACTCCTCGACGCACTCTATACTAATTGTGAAAGGAATACTTCATTTATTGATTTTGAACAAAATGAATGATATAACTATTTAAAATTTTGTTAAGGCCATTATGGTATGAAGTCAAATGTATTGTGATTCAATGCAAAGGTAACAGATATCGTAAGTAAATATTTTGTTTTCAATTGGAGGCTATGAGAAAAATATTCCAAGAATAAATGAACACTAACCAAACGACACTATAATTTGAGCTTAAATAAATTAATCTAAAAAAATCACATTAAGTTATATAAATATTAGAAATGGTTCATGATTTTCTCACTACGTCATTATGGAACTTGATGAACAACACTAAGGATGAAAAATAATTATTTTAAAATATGTTACTGTCAAAAAATCACAGTTGAAACTGCAGTCTACTCTCTAATAACTTAGCACAGCATTTCTAAACGTCATAAAATTTAACAATAATACATTCTGCATTTTTGGTTTTAGACTATTGAGACCATTCCGCAAATCGAGGTTGTGTTTGTATATTTTTTATAGGCTGACTTTTCTGTGGAAGACTTTTTGTCACCAATTTGCTGATGGCCTCTCTACAGGGAGTCACGCACATTGCTTATTTAAAATGTATAAAAACTTATCTGGATTGCATACCTACAAAGAATAAGGTACTTGTCATAGTACGAGTTTCTTAGATGGATCAGTTGAATATAGGATGTTGTTCTGTAATTTTTGATATTCAATTTCAAAGTTTTTCTTGATCTATATACAGTGTGTCCCGCTTTTCATGAATACACCCTGATATCTCAGGTATTAATGATGCTATTCTCTTGAAATTCAACCTGTGATTGTATGTTAAAACAATGAAGTATTCAGCATAGTAAACAGTTTCATTCACCATTGGAGTGCAATGTTGAACCAATGTTTTCCCAAATAAAGGCCTTTTTTGTACCCCTCAACATCGCACGCCAATGGTGAATGAAACTGTTCATTCTGCTAAATACTTCCTAACATACAATCACTACACAAATTTCATGAGAATCGCACCAATAATAACTGATATATCGGGGTGTATTCATGAAAAGCCCACACTGTATATATATATTTATTTAGTAGAAGGAAGGGAAGTCGTTGCTGACACGATAGAGATACAACTAGCTTGCTGGTGGGAATTGCAGCAAAGTATAAAGAATGCGAATTCTCAATGTATTGCTTTATATCAATATATATCCTTTTTTGTATGTTCATAATTTATCTGAGAATATTCCTTTTCGAACTCATTAAAGTTTGTCCGAGTTTTCGGAAATTTATATTTCCATCTTCAGGGAGATCACAATAGAATTGCTATGGGTAACAACAATGAGGAATGTTCAAATGGTTCTTACACAATTTGAGGATGATTACTATGACGTTGAGAGAAATTTTGAAAGTCGATGTAACATTTTTGGACATAACAGTATCACGATTATGTAATAACCGTCTTTCGTCTTTTACAAGAATTTTAAATGTTTCGTGACACTGTTAATTATGTCCAAAAATGTTACATCGACTTTCAAAATATCTCTTAACATCATGGTAATCCTTCTCAAATAGTGTAAGTACCATTTGAACATTCCTCGATATTACTGTCATTGTACACATAGCAATTCTATTGGAGTCTCCCTGAAGATGGAAATATATACATTTTCGAAAGCTCGGACAAACTGTAATGAGTTCACCTTTACTTTGCTGCAATTCCCACTAGCAAGCTAGTTATATTTATATATATATATTAGGTAATGAATCAATTTAGCATTCTTTATCATCTTCGATATAGTGTATTCCTTGTTTTTGATGTTCATGCGCCGTCGTTGTAGAGGTATATTTGTCTATACTGTCAGATTATTCTGGTTTTTCAATGATATTTACCTACAACCGGTTATCATTATTGAATGAAATTTCATGTTTGAAAAAATGAATGATGTAGAAATGTAAATATCAATTCAAAGTCCTGAGATTTTGAAATCACTTATAGTAGGCATATGAGAACCGAAGTTGCATTGCAAATATTTAGATTTCCAAGTTACATAATTATATACATGGAATTTTCATAGCAAGGGATGTTGTTATTAACTCAATATTTCAAAAAAGGAACACCCTCATCGAATCATTTTCATATGAGTTGAAGAAAAAAAATTGTAAGTACTTATATAGGAGAAGTGCACGAAAAACGGCCAGTGCTGTACTTTCTAAATCATACGACATCGGATTATGAAGTATACCAAATTGCTAATTAATTCACAACACAATATGTGTTCTATCACTTCCGATTTCACCAGAAACGACCCCAACTTTTGATTTTTAAATTCCATAATCGGTTAGGGATTATCATAACGAATTAAAGGATACCGGGTTTGACAGGGCTATTTCAGACGATTACGAAGATATTCGCGTTCTTAGTTTCCATAAGCTCAATGGGTGTGACTTCGAAAACTTCGAAACTTCTTTCTCTCTCGTAAGCGTTTGAAATAACCCAATCAAACCCGGTATCGTTGAATTCGTTATGAAAATCAAAAGTTGGGGTCGTTTCTGGTGAAACCAGACGTGATTGAACAACAATTGTTTTTGTCAATTAATGAGCAATTTGGTATACTTGAAACCCACTTATTTTTAAAATCCGATCTTGAATGATTGTGAAGATACACATGAACGCCTATGGTTCACAATATTCTGGGAGTGTTTAACGATCTCCCCATTACTTCCTCACATTTTATTTGTATGTCGGAACTATACTAAATATTTTTTTATGAGACTGACGACATATTCATCCCAGAACAAAGCGATTTCAATTCTTGTATATATAACGATCAAAACGATCATTTTGAATTGAATCGGCTTCAACTTGATGAACATTTACGAAACTTCACAAAAATACGATAACATGTTTCGCTAACACAGTAGCTTGTTGAAATCAAATATTTGTACAATGAATAGATTTATTTCATGTTCAGAATAGTGTTTTCAAGTATTTTGTGGAAATCTCATCGTTTGTGGAGTTTTTACAATAACTATAGATTTCTATCAAGTAAGTGCCGATCCAATTCAAAAATAACATTCTTCTTTTCAATGAGAACGGGAGTTTCTTCCTAACCTGACAGTATAAGTGCCGTTCAATCCAAACTTTGCGCGTTTTGCTTCATGCGATTTGGCTAATAGTTATTAAAAACCGCAAAAAGCAAGACATTAAAGATTTTGGATCTAGAAGCCTCTGCAAACGACTCCGTAATGAAACAAATAGTGATTTGGGTAGCATGATTGAAATTTCAATAAGTTATTCGAAAAAATAGCTGCTGTTATTGGTGAAACAACGAATTGAGATGACTAATAATGATGATAATGATTCAGCTAATCCACCATTGTTTTAGACCGGGTTCCAGCCGGTGTGGAATACCCTTTGGCAGTGGTTGCTTCTGTCAAGACAGACTCCCTGAAAGCCGACGATAGAAACACTTTTTATGGGGGTCAGTTCACCCTTTAATGATCTCTTGTATACTGACGTAAGTTCCGGTGACGAACCCTAAGAGCCCGAAACCGATAAGGAACATATTTTTCCATAGCCTCCATTGGAACCTGCCCAATCCTGGGTCTTCGTAATTCGTAACTAAGTCAATGATCGCGGGAAATATCAATCCCAACATTGACAGACACACAGCACCGACTAGGGAGATGAAACCTCCGAGATTTGGAATCAAAATGGCTAAAAGTACCGTTATCACTACTAAGGAAACTCGGATGCCGTATTCTGCCAAAGTTTTCTTTTCAAAGTTATTTTTTACCGACTTCCAGATGATTTCCATGGGAACGTAGAATTGAAGGGCATACGTGAAGAATATCGCCACAGCAATCATCAGCTTCACTGACTGAGCTAGCCTGAAATAAGAAAGAGAATATTATATTCCATGGCAATAAACCATAGCATTTCGAAATAAGACAGGTTAATCAGTCTGTTTGGTACAAGTTTGACGGATAACTTGCCCTGGAGGTGATCTTCTCCAAGCATGGGTGATGTAAATAAAAAAAGATATCTTGAGAAACTGTCAGTCAATAGCATAACCGATATTTTGTCAGGAATGAGGGATCATCAACAATTTGAGAGGAATTTATAATCTAAAAATAGTGAAAATTTCCAATTTTCGACATGAAAGAACCATACAAGTGAGATTGTTTTACCTCATGTCAAACTTGCACCATATACTATATAATTCACGTTGAGAAACCTGATGGATTTTTTCTGTTGGTGTTATATTTTAGAAAATGTCTAGCATTACATATGTTTGTGATATTTTGAAATCGAATTAGATTATATTCTAGTGATTTTTTGGACCTATTTTGGACTTCTGACCTGAGAGAGATGTAAAGGTTGATTTTTGATCAGGGTTTTGATCAGCAATCATCAACCTAATAGTAGATGAAATCTCAAATAAATCTATTCATCTTGTTTAATAGTATTTGAAAACAATAAAGCCGCTATTTCATTCCATTCAAAATATCGTGGATTGATGATTTAATGTCCCGGAATATATGGATTTAGACATGAACAATTCAAATTGCAAACAAATAGGAAATTTTTGTTGTTTACTTTTATTCGGATTTACGATTCTAGCTAATAGATATCGAATCATATAACTCTCAGTATGTTCTTTGTTATGATCGACATTGCGTAAGCATCTGAGTATTCAAACGGTCAAAATTTGCCGTTATTATAAATGTAGAATCTTGTGTCATCGTTTGCTCATTTGGGAAATAGTCATTTCTCAATAATATCTAGGAAAATCACTCCCAATTTAATCATTCATCGACTGACTCATTTGCAGATGAGTAAAATATATTTTCTACGAACTTATGAACTGGAACCAACAAACGTTCCATTCACTAGGTACCTTATCTTATCGAGGAAAGATAAAAGTCCGATAATTAATAATTAGGTAAGACCGGGGTAAGTGGAACCGTGAATTTCAATAGTTCCGCTATGAACTAAAATAATAATAATAATAATGATGGGTCATTCTCGTTCCAATCACGTCAGCTTACTGATGGAGGAAAGGATCTGGTATTGTACAACGAGATGAGTGCTCAAATCTTTGATCTACATTTTTTCAATCATAGAGGTACGTGTTACACTTGCCCCTAGATATGTTAGTTACACACCATGCTGGAAGAAATTTATCGACTTTGCATTTGAAGATCCCGAATATTCAATGTACGATTCAACATGGGCAAGTGGAATCTAAAATATGTTACACGTGGTTACACTTTTCCCTATACGTTATTTTGAGTGTAGCCTATGTCTTTTCCTCCATGTGAACAATTAGGTCCTTCATACCTTCAAAATACGAAGTAGCATTTGAGTATTAGAGCTACCTACTTCAAAAACATTGAATATATTCACAAATTTTTGAAGCTCACGTACACTGAGCATTTAGGAGATATGGGTAGGTTCATTATGCGATAGGTAGAGCCACCTTACAGACAAAAATGTAATGATAATCAGCCTGGGTTCCACTTGCCCAAAATTTAAACTTATGTTTTGAAAATGTTGGCATGAAGATGATATTTTGAGACGTAATGTGCACTGACCAAAGAGGTCTTTGAAGGATATTGAAGTATTGTTTTTGTTCTTCTGTGGCATTTCTTTGTTTAGCTACTGAGAGGTATCTCTGGGATGTTTTGGGATGTTTTAGAAATGTAGGCATGAGGATGTTTTTTTGAGGCGTAATATGCACTTCCCAAAGAGGTCTTAGAAGGATATTGAAAGTATTGTTTTTGTTCTTTTGTGCCCTTTCTTTGTTTGCCCCACCACAACGTCTCATGCTTACGTCACAATACAATGAATTCTGATTTGTTTTCGATTTTGTTCTTCTTGTTCGCAATTGGCATTCGCGTTTGCAGCGTGTCACGCTTACATCACGCTGCTAACGAACAGAAAGGAATTTGGTGAAGTTTATTGTGTTAGAAGACTTATTTAGTCTGTAATAATGACCATCCAGATGCAAGATGTGTTGTTCGGTGCCTCAGTGTAATCAATATATTCGAATTCATCAATACACAGCTTCTCCGCAGTTGCAAAATTATACATTATTGTGGAGAACATTTCAAAAATTGGGAAACCTATTTCCAATTATATGTCTGTGTGTAGTAAGCACTACTCAGAAACCGATTAAGAAGGTAATTTCATACCAAGAAAATATTTTTATGTTCAATCTATTTTTAATGCATTTTTTCATTCAAGGGAAATGGAATCCTAATGCAAAAGTTCATTTTGACAAAAGGCTTCAGAAAAGTACCTCGAAAATGTTTTTTACAGCGATTTAATGTGCGCAAGACGCGTTGAAAATGTTCTGTTGTGTCCATGAAAAGGCTTTAAAAAGAACCAGGGAGAAGGTAGTTTTGTGACATATCAAGGACATCTCGATAATTGTCGCCTGCGGCGGACATTGGCTGTTCTATAATAAACTACTCAACACTAATTTCGTCGCACACCAAAATGTCGCCCCTGATATAATGTGAATAACTTTTTTCAGTTTAGAACAATTTAAATTTGGTTCACACTGTTCGATAGCCCAGTCCTTCAGCTATAATCTGGTACTTAATTGAAACATGAGGGTATTCACATAAAATCTCTACATGGTGTTTTCCGACACTGTGCAAAATTTCGGAATATTCAAAAGGCTCTCAAATGGTGAAAACATTTTTTTCTCAACTTCGATAACAGAGGCATGAAGATGATCTCATTACCTCGAGATATTTCGCGAATCAACTTCCTATCTCTCTTATTTACAGAGTGATCTCAAAAAATCAACTTTTTGGTTTTGCAGCCATAACTTTTTTCCACGTCAACCGATTTTGGAAATCTTGGGCTCATTTTGAAGATTAAACTTCAGATGAAGAGATCTGAATATCAGATTTGACTCAAGATGGCTATCAAAGATCTAGAGTTTTCTTGAAAGTGACCCAAATCTGGAACGCCCTCCGAATCTCGGTTGGGAGGAGAACTGAATGAAAATCAACTTGTTCTCGGAAAAACAATTCATTCTGGATGCGTCCATATTTTCCTCGCTCTCAGTACTCAAGAATGTGCGTGAGAAAACACAATTGAAACATGTTCTTGCAAAAACATCAGACCATTTCTCCTCTGTGATGCATGGCCCGTAACCAACGTTACAAGAATCACAGTAAGTGACTGACAAGTCAGGTTAGACGTCGTTTTCGAATCATAAACAGATTTTGATAGTTCCGATGCCGCATCTAACGACCGACCAGTTGGAACTGATTCCACAAATGAGGGAACAAGGGTTATCTTCCCTCCAAATCGCGGATCTGCTAAACACGACAGTCCGATCCATTCAAAGGGCTTATCTCCGACACGAATTTTTTGTTTATTACTGTCGATTCGTTCGACGCATTATTTTGACTGAAAACTTTACGTAATTGGCAAACTGTTTTCGTGAAACTTTCACCATTTTTGAAATGCGTTTTCACAATAAATAAACGTTGTTTGCTTGAATACTTCTCCATATTCTTAAATCGCATGTTATGTACGTGACAACTGTTAAAAAAATCACTTTATTGAAATAATCAAAATCTGTTGCTCTTGTTGGTACACCATTTATGATGAGTCTCAGCTGGTCGGGTTTGTCAGACTAGCGTCTGCGGACAGCCGCAAGTAATAACTCCGTGGTAGGGGAACGTTAGTTAACTTGTGTCGAGTCTAATATAAGGAAGGAATTTTTTTTTAACAATCAATCGACCTAGATGAACCTTTTTTCTTGAAGAAGGAGAATTTTTCTTGGGGAAGGTAAATATTGTTCCTGCATAAAAAATGAGAAAACCTAACCTATCTATTTTATGAGTATATCTGTACTTGTTTCGTTGACCTGTGTAAAACTTGATGTTTATTAACACCAAATAAAATATTCTAGAAGGAGAATTTTTCTCGAGGAAGGAAAATATTGTTCCTGCATAAAAAATGGGAAAACCTAACCTATCTATTTTATGAGTATATCTGTACTTGTTTCGTTGACCTGTGTAAAACTTAATGTTTATTAACACCAAATAAAATATTCTATTCTATTCTAACCTAACCTAACCGAACCTCACCTCTGGCCTAAACATAGAAAACCCCTAAATGAACCTATTTCCCATAGAGAATATTTTTTAGAAATCACTTGAGAACAAGAAGAAAATAAAAAAAAGATGAACCTCGCACGGATTCGAACCCCGGCCCGCCAGCGTGACATGCCGATGCTCTGCTTACTGAGCCAACCAGTTGCTTACGAGACGAAGTATGATGAAGTCATTCAGTCGGCGCCGCATACCGCCAGTTGCATCTACTGCCCACTATAACGTTCTCCCACCACGGAGTTATTACTTGCGGCTGTCCGCAGACGCTAATGTTTGTCAGTCACTCATTGTGATTCTTGTAACGTTGGTTACCGCGGGCAGGGGCCATGCATTACAGAGGAGAAATGATCTAATGTTTTTGCAAGAACATGTTTCAATTGTGTTTTCTCACGCACAATTCTTGACTACTGAGAGCGAGGAAAATATGGACGCATCCAGAATGAATTGTTTTTCCGAGAACAAGTTAATTTTCATTCAATTCTCCTCCCAACCAAGATTCGAAGGGCGTTCCAGATTTGGGTCACTTTCAAGAAAACTCTTGATCTTTGATAGCCATCTTGAGCCAATTCTGATATTCAGATCTCTTCATCTGAAGTTTTATCTTCAAAATGAGCCTAACAAAACCAAAAAGTTGATTTTTTGAGATCACCCTGTAAATAAGAGAGATAGGAAGTTGATACGCGAAATATCTCGAGGTAATGAGATCATCTTCATGCCTCTGTTGTCGAAGTTGAGAAAAAAATTTTTTTCACCATTTGAGAGCCTTTTGAATATTCCGAAATTTCGCACAGTGTCGGAAAACACCATGTAGAGATTTTATGTGAATACCTTTATGTTTCACTGAAGTACGAGATTATAGCTGAAGGACTGGGCTATCGAACAGTGTAAACCAAATTCAAATTGTTCTAAACTGAAAAAAGTTATTCACATTATAACAGAAGCGACATTTTGGTGTGCGACGAAATTAGTGTTGAGTAGTTTAGTTCTATTCATGTGTGAACGGAACATCGCAGTGGAGGTTCAATGTCTCGAAATCTCGTACTTTTAACATCTCTGAGATGTTTTTGTGCTCGCTGGGCTTTATGTAAATCAAGGATAGCTTTACATTCAGAATATAATCTAGGTGAACTACTTACGGTTCTTCTTCTGGCAGGTTCAAAGTGATGCTCCCGATCTCCGTAGCTTCTCCATACTTGAGATAACCAAAGAACCCAGTGATAGCATATAGGGAAACGACGAAGGCCATTCCAGTATTCAAAACACCAGGGCAACCGATGAAATGGCTAGGAGTCTTCATGTTATTCTCCAAAGGCATAACTACACCGATACCTTCCAAAGCGAAAATAGCAGTGCCGAAAAAGCCTGGCAAAGTAGAGAAACTCGCGAAGGCAGGCCTAGAGCTCACAGAAGGCAAGCCTGTGAAGACATAGTAGAAGGTAACGCCCAAACCGATGGCAACCAGCACATTGGCAACCATGGAGAGCGGCGACAGATACTTCAAGTTTCGGATGAGATTGATGCAGATCAACAACGGCAGCAAAGCCGCCATGTAAATCCGCAGGTCGTAATGGTATTCTGTTGCCGTGTAGAAGTCGACGACTTGTTTGAAGTTTTTGGCGACGAATACGATGTAGACGCAGCAACAACCCAACAGATCTATAACGAGGAAGAGATTGATCATGGCCTTCGCGAATTTGGCCCATTGGTGGAATGCTTTGGGACCGGCAAGGAAGGCAGCCTCGGCCACCTCGGCGAAACCTAAGCAAGGGACTTTCATGCGCCTGGATAGGGTGTGGGCGCTTTTGACGAGGATGTGAACGCAATACGTGCAGATGATGCCTATGGCGAAGGTGCAAATGAGGCCGACAAAGAGGCCCGCGTGGGAGAAGGCCAGCGGCATGGCGAGGATGCCGCTACCCAGGCTACCTTTGAGGAGATGGACGAGAGTGTCAAGGTCCCTGAAAATAAAACAAAATCTCAGTGTTAGTTAAATTCAGGGTTGGAATAAGTCACTTTTATAAGAAAGTCGATCATTGATATTTTTTCGCGAAAAAACATGAGTTCTTCACAAAAAAAATACTTAGTATATTGTGCGAAAAGTGTGGAAAGTTTAACTTTTCTCACGAGTGTGAAAGTTTGTGGCACGAGCCTGAAGGGCGAGTGCTGCAAACACAAGAGTGAGAAAAGTACTTTTCCCTACATGTTGCACACTATACTTTCTCTAGAACTGCACTTATCCAAAGGATCCAAGTAATGTAACTTATTGGTATTCATTTTATAATGTGGCACTATGCCACATTGAATATTGTGACCAAACAGTAGAACGCCTTTCCTAGTTCCTCCAAGTATTTCAAAAACGTACACTTTCCGAAAGAGATTCTATTTCTGTATTTTTTCTGTAATTTTTCGTACATGCCAATTCATACTTTTTGCTTGAAATTTCTGGAAACAAATCCAACTTTCGCAGCTGTTTCCATCACCTCTGTCTCTAGCGATGTATTTATCAAAATCGTCACATCTCGGTATATACATCATATTATTTATTATGACTTGTTGGAATAATATTTGATGGAAACAGCGATTTCTATCAGAAGCACTAATGAGAACTACCCTAAAGAATTTAAAAAACTTCTTCTGACAGTTGTGACAACTATTCAAAGCTGAACAGCAACCAAATAAGTTTTGGTCGATTTTTGTTGATTCTCCATGGAAATGAATGTGGTGTTGGAAAAGTGCCGCTGGAAATATTCCTCACAGTATGAGCAATACATGGTTTTGAAACAGTAAGTAATGAGAAATGCGCTACTTTTCATAGCAGTAGTAGAAAAAAGCACTTTACTAAACGACACTCACTTTTTCACATGGAATATCGTATTAAGTCCTATATAATATACTTTCGAAATTAGCCAAGGATAAACAGTAATATATCATTAACCTTGTCCGAGCAAAAGGGTATCAAATGGAGTTGATATTGTTTGAGGAACTCAACATGTGTGTACAAAATACAGTTTTTCCGAGCGAAAGAGTATGATGAAGTTGATATTGTTATAGAAAATTTGTATGTAAGGACATAATACAGTTTTCAGTGCCTGTATTATGTGGGACGAATCCATGGGCGTATTACGTCCATGGACGAATCCAAGTTAGGACGTGGGGCAAATCAAATAGCTCCTGGCATTCTCAAATGGGCAGAGACTTCAAGTGAGAGCATAAAAGAGACTAATATTTTTTGGTCAGATAACTCCCAATCCCAAAACAGAAACATGATCATGATGGTACTGACTTTTATTGCTGCTAATATAAAAGCACCCGATTTTGAAGATTTTAAATCTTTGTAAACTTCTTATAGCTTACGAACTCGCTTACGAAGTCTTCAACATTTACATGATATTTTGTTATGGAGTATAAGCAATATTTGCACATGCTGGTTGCTCGAAAAAGTCAAGAATGAACTAATTTATTATGGCCTCATCCAATTATGTTTTATCTCGTGTTTCATTCAACTACAGGACTCTAATATATTTTTGATAACTCGATAATAATTGGTGACTTGACAATAACCTCGCTTTATGAGTGGGAATGGAAGATTATCTGACCAATAACGAAAGCATAAAAACTGAAGTCATTTATTCGACTTAACGCCAAAATGGCGGCTATGACGGTACGTTTGAAATGAGCTCTGAAATTCACCTACTTTGAACAACGCATATAGTCATTATTTAGATAAAAAAGCGTGAAAAGTGTTGAAAAAATTAATTTAGGTCCCTAGCAACACAGTGGAGTAATTGAATGCCAATAATCCATCATCAGCCCACACGCCCATTGATTATTATTATTATTATTATTATTATCTCCACAGTAATCTCTAACATGCAATAAAATCAGATCAAAATTGGTCTGGGATTGCCTTCAAAGCCTGCTAACCCTGGCTAACCACAACAAGGTAACTTTTCAATGGGTGCCAGGGCATAAGGGAATTGAAGGCAATGAAGCAGTTGACGCTCTTGCCCGGCAAGGGTCTGCGACGTTGTTTATGGGGCCGGAACCTGTGTTCGGTATCCCCAAAACCTCAATACGCGGCTGGCTGGCAAGGTGGATGCAAGAAAGACATCAGGCGGCATACTGGAACAATGTCCCAGGACAAAGACACAGTAAACTGATGGTTGGAACACTGTCCAAAACAGTGACTAACGACATTCTGAGCCTAAACAGAAGTCAGATCAAACAAGTGACGGGACTAATAACCGGTCACTGCCCCTTGAGGAAACATATGCATCAAATGGGCATCTATACAGACGAACCCATATGCAGACTATGCAATGAGGAGGAGGAAACTGCCACCCATGTAATACTGGAGTGCGAAGCACTATAGCGCGTTGGAGATACAACCTTCTGGGAGCAGTAAACTCTCAAGAGGCATTTTCAAAGAATGATCTGGTGAAGAGGCTGCTAAACCTCATCAAGGTAGCGAACCTGTTCACCTAAGTCAACAGCATGATCAGGAATACAATAGGCCCAAAGGCTGCAGTGTTTTGGGCTTCAAACCCTGACTGATCATTTCGCTATTAATCAATCAATCAATCAATCTCCACAGTGATGAATGATATTAACTTCTAGAATCGAATTACCCACTGAAATATACTTGTGTATTAATAGAAAAATATACTCACGATGTTGGGTGATCCAGTTTACGGTGCTGGAACGGGTCATAAGCTCCGACTTCAGGGTCAACTCTCCGAGTATCCACCAATGGGACAGTCGACCCATTTGCTGACTGAGTAGGAACTTCATTTTGGTCGCACTTAAAACTATAAAAATGCATGGAATTAGATGCCGGACCTCACTTGTTCGAATGTGAGTAAAATTTGAGGAAATGTTAGACGAATGTTAATGAAAATGAATGAGATAATTTTTTGTGAAACATTGTGGGATGGGATATGAGGAGAATACGATTTCTAAAATAAGCACAGAGGGTATCTTCTAAGTAAATTACAATATTTCAGGACTTTGTTTCTCCGTCATTTGGTGAGCTGAACGATTTTTTATAAGCAATAAAATTATCATTTTCCACTACTAACCTGGAATATCATCATTACTCAAGGAATTTCTCTAATGAGTAGTAACGTGTTTTAAACCGTTACCACCGATGTTTTTAAACTCAATGATAATGATAAACGTATTTATTATAATATGCCAATATATGCAACCAAGAGAACTTTTATTAACGACCCGAATGTGAAGTAAAAAATGCAAAATTCACTACAGGTTGAAACTTCAATAAAAGAATGATTGGAGTCATGAATAATCAGTAACCAATTAAGTATAAAAATGTTACATAAACTGTCATCGACTGATTGAATGATGATAATGATAAAACGAAGTAGCATCTTCTATATCGAAATTACTTAATTCTCAATATTTTTTCAATCGTATTCACATTACTTACAAATTCATTTTACAGATACGTTGAGTTTCATATTAGGTCTTAGTTTGTTTTATGGTTTGTTTGAAAACTGTACATATTTGAAATAAAAATTACCACGATGAACAGTGTTACGCTTCCTTTAGTGGAATCGAAAATATGAATTAATAAAATATGTTGATAGGTATACCTACTTCAGAGTCAATAGTGGAAAGACTGGAAGTGCTCGCTTTATGAAAGCTTCCTTCTGACCCTAATATGTATATTTTTTTAGGAAATGCTGTATTTTAAGGTACCTGCTACTACGTGAAGTTGAGTCTTCAAATATATCTCATTTGATTAGAAAATACCCTGTATGCAGGGAATGTGAAGGATACGACGGGTCGTTTATTTATAGAGTTTCAACGACATTCCGGCGTCGTTGATGATGAATATCTGATTCATTTCAGGATTGCTCGGTTATTTCGAGAAGAGTTTTTGGAACATTAAGAGTTGTTTATGAAATAAATTAAAACGACGAAATATGTTTATAAACATAAATCTTTTTTTGTAAATATTATATTATACCCAGTCAGTGGTGACACCTATATATATCGCAAAATCATCAAAAGGTAGTTCTTCATTTAGAGGTAGGTATATCCCATTGTCTGCTGAATATGAAGACAAAATCTAGTGAGCTGTAACTTCTGGTCTGCTTTATAGCTCAGTTGAGTGTATGACCACCAGAGGATGTTACCGTATCGGACGAAATGATCTTCACTTTTTTCTAGAAACTTTTCGAAATTTGTGGTTATGTAAGTTGCCAGTGTCAAGAGCTGTCGTGCCATCGTAACTTGTATTGTATTTTTCTTAAAAAGGAACCTTTCTTTTTCAATTCTCATTGTTCTAATATTCCTTTCATTTATAAATATAGTTTTGTATTGTGCTCCCAGTACCTATTATAATTTATTCTGATTGCTAATTTGTTACAAACTCTGTCTCTCAATTGTGCCTACAAGAAAGTGTGAAACCGTCTCCATTCATAGATTCCCAAGTGATATTCTTTTGCGACATAAGTGAATATACATTCGATATCGAGTGTTACATGCTCATTACAAGTGAGATAATCAGAGCCCTGATCAAAAGCTAATAATCGATACTCTGATGCTCATTCTACCTCTTATTTAATTTAGGTGTTGAACGTTACGAAATTGGGGACTATTGTAGTGTCTGTAGCAACCATTTTGTGAAGGAATGATTTTTCGAATTTTTGAGTTACTGAGTGGCCGTGACCCGTGACTATATGTCGTGATACTGAACTCAAACTCACTGAACAAAAAACTACGCGGCAGGCCGAGAGTGCCGAGAGCACCGCTGAGGGAGCTGCTCGACTCGTTTACGATTTTTAAGGTTATAATATTGGTTTGACAGGAAAACGATTGAAATAAGTGTTTCCTAGAGTTGACCGTATGGCGGCACTACTGTATCGATCACAGGAACCTGTAGGCGATTTCCCTTGTTTGAGCAGACCAGATACTATACAGCTCACTAGATTTTTTCTCCATATTTGAGGACTATGAAACTTATTAAACACGAATTCGAGAACAGAGGTACTGTTGATAATTTGGATATGGCATCATTGAATTTGAAGACAGTCATTTCCAATATTTCGATGCCAGGCATCTTTGTGGCGAAGTGGCGTCATACTATCAGTCAAATATTTCATCTTTATAGATTATATCATTATGGCACCCATTATATAGTGCAACTGCCATCAGTGCCATTTTGTCAACAATGTGAAATGTTGAAAATCCATCAATAACACACAATGATATGAAATATGGCATTATAATATATGCCCCCATTTGCAGCAATGATTTCAAATGTGAAGGAAGAAATAGTGAATACATTAGAGACAATAGGAAAATGTTGGATTCTATTGCCTCAAAGTGTTGAAATAATATGATCACAAGTGATTCAAATTAATGTTATCTTCTCTTGTAGGTACCAACACTGCTTTGTTTGGGTAGAGAATAGAGATCTAATGACTGCCATGTATATGGCAGTCATGGCCAACTACATTTGACTTATTGACTATATGTATAATTGGAGATAAAATGAACTATCCTTCAATATAGCTATTGAAATGATTTTATGAGATGTCAACATTGACCAGGTGAATTGAAAGTAAGATACTTTTATAGACAACTCTATAGGATTAATGAATCAATGGTTTTGATGCTAGAGAGGATGGAATAAAGGAGCGTGGATGAATATTAAGAGAATATAAAAAAATAATTACGTTCAGCAACTGAAGGAAGGAACAAAACTTGAATATCAAAAGTCTATCATTCTCTATTCTGAACAAAAAGAGGTACTTTCGCTATTTTAATAAAATATAGTAATTGTAGTAATTGTACCGTTGACAGTCCTAGTCATCCGCAGCTTCTGATGGAGCAGACTCAACCACATCTCGTGCGGTATTCAGCATACTTCTATCATCTCCGGAATAAGTTGCCAATTATCTTACAAAACTAGCAAAATATAATCAACACAACACTATGCTAAACCATGTATAATTGCATGGCACCCCTAGATAAATTCGATTTTCAGGTGAATCGCGAGCAAACACGCTACTATGTGTAGAATTAGATTAGTATATAATACCGGCAAAGAGGAAAGTGGGTACCACCAAGTGTAAATCAACTTAGATGCCAAAGGTTTCGGACTTCTTTATAGTTCTGTAACTGATATCAAACAGCCATTTTTGATTGAATTTTTTATGCATCAATTCACTTAATCATTATACTGTTGCGAAAACAGATGAATGAGCATGCAGCATGAAAATACCTTATAAGGTGGATTTATGCACACCGCTTTTCATCATCTGTTGCTTTCATTAACTGTCATTAAAGCTTATTTTCATTCAAGGACTCTATGACTTTATGCACCGACTTTTTTAAATTTCAAACTCTTCTACTTGGCCTAATGGAAATATTTGTGTTATAACAAGTCTATGGTTATGACATTCAGTGATCAAATAATTACAATAAGAATCATTCATTCATATCGTTTTCAGAGTCTTATTTGAACATACGACTAGAATTCTGAGAATTTTCAACCACATTTTGGAAAAAAAAGGAGAATTTGTTTGTCTGACTTCTGATAGAGTCACGCCTGCGCATGTCACAGTTTGAATTGTATTTGTCGTTAAGAGATAAAAGTTGGTAATTTTTTAGCGAATAGTTAATGAAAGATAAAATTCAATTTAGGTGCATAAATGGATGAACGGGAATACAACCTACTATTCTGAATCTGAAATATTGGGAACTATGAAAGATTTGATTTTCAAAACTATACCGATCGATATTGATGAGCTGGGAAGAACCATAATCACCACTTTCAGGACTAAGATAAGAAGACGGGACATCTCGCGAGCAATTCAGAATCTGAGGAAACGCGTAGAATTTTGTTTAGACTTTGTTTTGTTTTGCGAAGAATAAACTTCTAGCTCATTTCGTCGTTACTAATTCAAAACCATAGTTTTCAAGTAGATGAGCTTGACGAAAATGTTAACATTCCAGATCCAAATTCAAATTAACTATCGAAATTCACAAAACTGTTGGCGTTCTTTCCAAAGCTCTCTTCGCAAAAATGGTTTATTCCCAATTTTCATCAAAAGGAAAGATTCGATCATATCGTGTGATACATCATTGTAAAAAGAGAAAATAAGGCTTTTAATTCAATATGGCGCCAATAAGAAAAAACAATGATGTGTGTTGTAACCTTGGTCATTTTTTAGCGAATAGTTAATGAAAGATAAAATTCAATTTAGGTGCATAAATGGATGAACGGGAATACAACCTACTATTCTTTGGTTTTAACTTATTAGTGAAACCGTTAATGATTGTGAAATTACAGATTAATGAAAAAGCGATGTGCATAAATCCGCCTACTTATAGTGAATGAGAATTCAGCTAAGCATAATGTGGAAACGATAGGAGCCGATTGATGATCAGTTCATTCTGAAGGTTTTCTTTATACTGTGTTTAATAATTGCGGGATTCAGAATTTTTTTTTTTTGAAAATAGTAGTGTAATATATGAACGAAAAGGTATAGATGCCTTATCTATATGATAACCATGAAACCATGACTATATGGTATTCGAATTATGCAAACTTTGTTGATAAGACCAAAATCAATATGAAACAGCGATAACGAAGCTAGTTAGATAATACTACCTATATCGTCAATGGGTAGGTATAAGCGCAGAAAAATGCATTCATTCAGCGGCCGTATCAATTTTATTAGTGTTGATAATATTGAATATTGTTGATTTATACTGGGTGAAGGAATAAATAGGAGGTTAAAAGCGCCCTATAAAGATTGCCCGCAAATATACATGGTTTTTAAAAATCATACAATAATTTAAGTAAATCCAATCACCAAAATAAGTAGTAAAGTGAGAATATCATGTTGATAGTAAATTAAATAATTTGAATACCTTCAAAAAGAAGCATTGTGATGTTCGATGAATGAAAGTATTTTTTGGAAATCTGGAGCTTTTAGTACTTACTTAGTCATTATAACAGTGTTTACACCGCCCTTTTTCTGGTCAACTTGGGCAATAATAGGCTGAAACAAAAACATAAATTATTAGTTTGATACACCAGAATGTGTATATATACCTTAAATGGTTCAACATAGGCATGACGTCTTGACTAGATGCTATTCTCTATAATTACGTTATCAAGTTTCGCGAATAACTGACTGGAATCTGAGACTGGTAAAAAAGGTATTCAAATGTTATTCTGGCAGCAGTTATTTTTTGTAGACGAAGTGAAGGTGTGTAAGTGAGTTTTAATTATAAGTATCTCAGATGAGCAAATCGATTTTTATGAAAAACAAGATCGATTAAAATGTATAAAAAAATAGCAATGAGCTAGGAAGCAGCCAATAAAGAATATGCAAATCAAGTTGCCATATTATTGATAGTATCAGAGGTACTATATTTCGACTAGAAATATTGAAATTTTTATATGATAGATATCCAGAAATGATGTTCACCTTGTAGAATAAAACAATTTCAGCAAAACTTCATAGTTCAGCAAATAATATTCTAAGTATGTCACTGTTATATAAGTGAAGATAGATTTCTCTACAGGAAATTTCATGATGAAGAGAAGTCATGCAGAAGTGCAAATGTTTCAAAACAATAATACCTACTCGTATTCCGTTAAAATAACTACTTATTTGGATTACTTATATGCGTAGTTCTGCTATGTATATCCAGGTAAATGACCTCTTGACACTCCTTTAGATTACCATTCATGTTATCGAGTAGGTACTTAGGTATGTATAATGTACGTTGTATATTATGATATAAAAAGAGCTAACTAACCAAGAGACCTAGACGTTTCTGACTAAGACATTCTTAAGGCACTTTTTCACAAGGAACCTGAATCTGTCATCGTATTTTCCATGACGTTTTTGATGCCAAAGCTATACAACACTCAACTTTGTTTTTTCTCATAGGCGTAGGCGCCATATCGGATTTTTGCATTTTTGAAAAGTCTTTTTTTTTATTACAATGATGTATCACACGATATGGTTGAATCTTTCCTGTTGATCAAAATTGACAAAAAAACATTTTTGCGCAGAGTGCTTTGGTAGGAACGCCAATAGTTTTGTTTAACAAACTGAATTTTGACAGTTTAATTGAATATGCGAACAGAGCTGTTGAATTCTTAAGCTTATCCAGATAACGCAAGAAGGGTTGCCGAGTGTCTGTCAGATATGTTCCCTTACAAGGTAATTTTCCAACAACGGAGACTTACGTTGGCCAGCGCGGTCAACTGATCTCTCTCCGCTGGATTATTTATTATTATTTATTGGGAACTATGTAAGATTTGATTTTCAAAACTGTACTGATCGATATTGATGAGCTGGGAAGAACCATAATCACCACTTTCAGGACTAAGATAATAAGACGGGACATCTCGCGAGCAATTCAGAATCTGAGGGAACGCGTAGAATTGTGTTGACTTTGTTTTTGTTTTGCGAAGAATAAACTTAGCTCATTACGTCGTTCCTAATTCAAAACCATATAGTTTATAAGTAGATGAACTTGACGAAAATGTGAACATTCCAGATCCAAATTCAAATTAACTATCGAAATTCAGCTTGCTATAAACAAAACTGTTGGCGTTCTTTCCAAAGCTCTCTTCGCAAAAATGGTTTATTCCCAATTTTCATCAAAAGGAAAGATTCGATCATATCGTGTGATACATCATTGTAATCAGAGAGAAGAAGACTTTTCAAAAATGTGAAAATCTAATATGGTGCCAATAAGAAAAAACAAAGTTGTGTTTTGTAACCTTGGTATCAAGAACGCCATGGAAAATACAATCACAGATTCAGATTCATTGTAAAAAAGTGCCTCAAGAATGTCCCAGTCAGAAACGTCTAGGTCTCTTGGTTTCCGCTTGAAAAAATAAAAACGAAAATAAATATTCATTTTCCTCGAATAATTCGAAAACTAAAAATGACACATCAAAATTTCTTGCAGATAAAAGTTCAGCATGAAAATGCGCAATAACTTTGCCCTAATTCAACCGACCCCGTATCTCTTATAATAACTGAGATCCTCATGGTGGAACTCGAAAAACGGACACCCTGTATAGTATACTATTGGGAGCAACAACAATATTTATCGTCAGGTGATTGTCTGTTGAATGTTAATATCGAAGAAAATACGACCTCTCAATAATTATGTTCTATTCGGAACCAATTGAAATGAAGTGGCTAGTGATTAGTCGTAGATTTATTAGTAGGTATATATACCTATGATAATTTACAAGGATAAGGCTGCCTGAGAAAAAAAAACTTCAGCGGAAAGACATGATGGATGTCGGATGATGGTTGCAAATTAACCGATTTTTTCATTATTATTGCACCAGGTTTGGAGAATCGTATTTTTTAGCGTCTAGCTATAGATATGTAAAACGATGCCCTCTTATTGAAATTCAAAAATTCTTATATTGTTCGACCGGTTCCTTCTTGTGCCAATTGTCCGTGTAAGGAATGAATAATATGCAGATATGAAAAGAGCAGATGTTCACTAAACAATTGCAGAGCTAAGTCTGTTTGTTCTCCATTCAAAATGGTCATCCAATTCACTGAATAAATAAATAAAAAAGACCAGAAGCTTTGAATCTTTGAAAACTCAACAAGAACTTCAGACATAATATGAGCCGTGAAAAGCTTGAGAAACTTGAGAGCATTTGAAAAAGAACAATGAGCCATATATAACAATATACACACTGTTCAAAGTGAGACTTATATTTCTTATTGATTGCCTACAACTCACATGATCTACTATACTACAAATCTTGATTTCAGAGCGATACCAACTACCTATAATCTTCAGAGAATTATGTGAATGAATCTTTTTAATTCAAAGCTCACTCTGTCACTATGAAACAATCGAAAAGTAAATGAATTAGGTATCAATGCAGAAAAAAAATAACAATAAGTGCAGAAATACCTTTTCTATGAATCTATAGTTAAGATTTCTTTAAGGAGTATATATATATACAGTATGATGCAAATGTATGGAATAAATTCATTATTTCAGAAATGGCCGACATTTGAAGAAATTCCAAAAACACGTGAGTTTTAATTTTTGAAACCTCATCTCATGACATTCATATGAGAGATGTTACGTCACCGGTGTTGGAGTAATGACGTAATGGACGGTTTTTTTAAATACAAACAGGGGTCATGTGACACCTCGTTTGAAAGGTCTACTGATCGTCTATCCAATAGTCAAAATTTTGCAAAAGAAGATTGAAATTAAAATGGATTATCATTTGGTTAACTGAATCTTGCAGAGATCTTCTACTGAGAATTGAACATCGATAAAAAAGTTCTGAACTCTACTTTTTGGATTTTTTTCGAAAGTCGTCTTGTTTTGAAATGAATTTGTTCCATACATTTGCGTCATACTGCATACTATATTATGAGATATCTTCATCGGTATTATTCATGTAGTGAACTATAGAAAACATCGAATATCATCAAGGATCATGATATTATATTCCATTGAATAGTTATCAGGCAACACAACCAGAATTGAAAGAAATATCATATGGTATATATACGTTTCTTGTGATGCTGACTAGTTTTTGTTTTCAATTGGTAGACATTGATTATCAAGTAATTGGGATTCATAATCATCAATGAAATAGTATAGTGACACAACTAAATATATCACGAGTGAATTTAGTTTGTAAATAATATTATAAGCTTCACAGATAGGTATCAATACAATGTTAGTTAAATCAACATTTCATTTCATTATAGAGGTATTATTATGATCCAGAACCTTTGTATGTAAGTAGGACTCGTTTGTATGTTTGCATAACCTGTTAAGCTTGATATATTTTTTATGCCCATCTATTATTTTTTGATATCATTTTCATGATTCTAATGCAGACTGAGGTATAAGTATATCGAATCAATGAAAATAGATCACTACTACAATTATTTCAGTAGCAATGAGGTAATCACTTATAAACATACTATATAAATTATGTGATCAGAATTCTGAATCTTGAACCACCTTGTATCTGTTACGATTGAATATCAGTAAATAGTGAATCAAAAGTTGAGATAGGAACATGTGAGCCGTTTTGACTGATAATAAATAGTTTCGATACAAAAAAATCATAAAGTTGCAAAATCTCGATTTTGAACAACCTAATATATCTCTGTGATCATTTTCGATAGACTCCCAAGTGTGATATATCGATGAAATCAGCTCTTCAGGAAAAATCTAAAAATGTGATACAATACAGGGTGTTCCATTTGAAATATCAATGTTCTAGCACTTCTAGTAGGAACAGCAACACTGCATTGTCGAAAATATTTTGAGTGAAGAGAGCGTATTCTAAAATATAAGCATGCACATCTTCATGGATTTCGCCCAAATGATTTTCGATATAAAGATAGTGTAAGCTCGTCGTATATATCTAGAAATCTTCAAGATGCGAAAATCACACTCAGGCCGGCCCTGAGAGTATAGATATAGACAAACACGAAGGAAAAAAATGTGTCTTAATATTCAGAAAATGAATATACGATGGAAATGTGTCCACTGACAGGATGAATGATTTGCAAGTTTTTAGACAGTAGTTGCGAAAATAGCAAGTCATAAATCCATAATGAGTCATATTTAGCAGTATGAAGAAAAATTGTATTAATATTCAGAAAAAAAATGAATATACGATGGGTATATATCCACTGACTGGATGAATGATTTGCGAGTTTTTAGACAGTAGTTGCGAAAATAGCAAGTCATCAATCCATATGAGTCATATTTAGCTAATCACAAGAGTCAACAAGTTGGTATGATTTCTAACACTAAAATAATTTCTTCTCATTATTATTCAAATGGTGTGGTGAAGCCTATTTGGTATTATTCCACTGTTGAATGGTCGTTAGATATCTATATCATCATCATCAAGAAACGATAATTCGAATGATTCGCAACTTCTTTATTCAGGAACGGACTAAGATAAATCATCAGGCATTCACCTAATTTGAACCAGTACCTACTGTTATTTTTTTAGTGA